GGTGTTATGCCTAAGTGTAAAAAACTCTGGTCTTGGCAGCCAAGCAGAGGGGACATAAAAACACCTCAAAACCTTATATAGATAGCCCGGCAATGAACCTTCTTTGTTAGTCAAAGCTCTCACAGACAGAGCAAGCGGAAGACGTCTGACTGTCATAAGAGCTCCACTGGTACGCTTTGCGTTACATGTCGTTCGATCTTTAGGGCGAGATTCAGAGCAAATTCAATAGACTCAGGCTTCCCATTACAGGACGAAAATGAGACGGGGCCGCAAGATATCTTGTGAGCTCAGGGCAAACTCGACGAGGCTGTCCAAGCTAGCACGAAAGGGCAAAGGAAGGTAGCCAGAGCTGTTAATGTCTAATCCTAAACGCGTCGGTTATAACAGCGTCCTTAGGCATCGGCAAATCCCACGCTAAACAGCATCGTTGAGTCTTGACAGCGGCGACATTGAATGTTACCTCCCGATTTGATAGAATTCGATTCCGTCAAACTCAAGAGCGACTCTTTATTGCTGAGCCCGTTGCTCCTTCCACATGTATCCAGGTCCTTTGCAAACGCCGACGAGCGTAGTCCTTCAGAATGATTGAGGTTGGCCCATCGAGATATGCAGTATCTTGACTTTACGATTGAAGCGAAAGCAATAAACGTATTCCGGGATGGAGACAATATCCCTGAGCTCCGTGAGCCGGGATGGGTAAGTCCAGCGCCTGGCAGAGCTGTGAGAACGACGCACTGGCCTTCTAATGTCTTTTTCTGATGAGGACAGGCATCTGCGCGCCCGATTGTAATTGTGTGTGCATGGTTCGCCTCTAGTACGAGGACTCGTGAATTGATGTTAGAGTAAGAGTGGTATCCTAGTTACAAATGAGCAGATCATTGTCCCGTAGTTCCATACAAGTACCAATCTCGTTATGCCAACGCCTTCGCCCCAACATGCTCATGCGTAAATTTCCATCATGACCAGAACCAGCCTTTCTTCTTCTGCTGATGTTCCGCAGCGGCTTGATGCTGCTCTGTAACATTCTCGTTGGTGGTATGCACGCTTTCCGTTGTCTCTTCTCTTCCGTCGGCAAAACGCTTCTTCAGAACGACGGTCGTCGTCACCGTTCCATCGGGCAGCCTGGTCGTTTGGGTGGTGGTGAGAGCAGAAAGCACGTCTGGCTTTTTGGTTGAGGCGGCATCCGAGGTCGTTGGAGCCTGCTTCGTCTCTCCCGTCATTTCCAACAGGTTGCCATACTCTTGCTCCATCCCAACGATCTTCCTCTCCAACTCTCTCGTAGAACACAATGACCAGGGAAGATAACGTCCAGCAAGCTCATCGCCGCGCTCCATCAATCGCTGCCTGTATGCCCTCTCTTCCTCGCCTGCTTGATCCGCTTCCTCCATAGCTTCAAATTCAGGACTGAACGCCCTTTGCTTCAAATAATGATGATCGGGAATATCACTTCGTCGAATGGCCTCAGTCAGGACGGAGAAGCTCCCATTGTGCGGTTCACTGGACCATGTCTGGGATAGCGCGGTCAATGAATTGATGACAAGCTCCATAACGTCGCCATGCTCCTTGTGCCAACGGCTTATGATTTGTGCGGCAGCGGCAGGACTTTTGTTATCGATTGCTTCCCAGAGCGCGACGTCGGCTTCTGCCCAGTCTTCCTCTTTGCTTGGCTGGTATCTCGGCGATCCAAAAGCTCGCGACACAGCTGGTGGACAAAGATGCTCAGAGTCGTACAGATCTTGCTCGGTCTCGGGCTGGGCGGTCAATGGGAATGGTTCGGCTTCCCATTCCGCGGTGGATTTAATGGCGACTTCAGACATCAGCTCTGAGAAGTCGCGATTGAGAGCACTGTGCCAGTTCAAGGCATGTTCGCTAGACCAAGGTAGGTCCCTTTGCACTTGGGACAGAATGTGGTGAGGGGCAGCACGTAGAGTCAGTTTGCCTCGGGGATCATTGAAGAAGCGTGGAAGCAGCGGGGGCAGGATGCCACGACATTGCAGACTGAGCATCCATTCGAGTCCAGGGCCCCAATATGTAGACTGCGGCCTGCCATGTGGCTCTCTGATGCCCACCTGCTCGAACGATGCCATCGGCTTGTCCAAAGCGGCGTCCATCAGGTCTTCGAAAGCTGCTCGCCACTTTGAGCCTTCCGGTCCAAGGTCTGGGTGCTTCTCTAGTCGAATGGGTGAGTAAGGGCTGCGTTTGAACCACTCGACAGAGAGCCAACGTGGCGAAGGAGCCATCCACTGCCACTTGTCCCTACCTACGGGCAATCTGTCACCTGTCTCCGGCATGTAAAACCACGCTCCTCCAAGAGCCAGCATAGGATTGACCAGACGATCCAGTTCTCCAAGCGTGCTTTCTCGATCCTCGTAGAGCGCTGCTATCTTCTCCGCCGGGACGTCCGCATTTCGTCTGAAAGCTTCGGTCAACAGCATGAGCGTAGCAGCGTGGGCTTCATCCTTCTCAGCTCTTGAGCTTCTTAGCACTTCCATCTGAACATGATCCGGAGAATCGGAGGACCCCGTCCACGCTTCTGAGATGTCCTGCTCTTCCTCTTGCCGCCGCTCTTGTTCGCGCTGCATCCTGGACCGCAGTTCGGAGACGTTGGATGGGAAGTTCTTGAAGCTTTCGCTCAGTGTGTTGAAGTTGCTGTCGACGAATCTCTTGAATGAAGCGAAGGGGCTACTGCTGCTTTGGGCCTCGCTCTCGGTGTCTGCCTCCGATCGTGCCATTGCTAGACGCCGCTGGTGCTGTTGTTCCAACAAGCGCCACTGGTCCTGATAGTCTTGATAATGACTAGCGCCACTGTAGTCTCTATTCTCATCGTCCCTGCTGCCGGCCATTTTGAAGACGGCGCTGTTGTTGGAAGACGACTCGCGCAGAATCGAAGATGATGAGAAGACGAGACCAGACGGAGGGGTTTCACATCGTCGAGGCGGAGCTTCGCGATTGGAGCTCGTTATCCCCGCGTTTAGAGGGCTAGGATGCTCGGGAAGATAAGGCAATAACCTTCCGCTTTCCTCCCCACGTCAAGAAGCACTGACCACTGTCCCTGGGTCGCGTGGGGGTGGTCTGAATTCCTTCCCCGAATCAACGTTTTACATTCACTCAACCTGAATTTCACATGCATAACGCTAGCGTGATAGAACCAATTCTCGCCCTACGCAAGGAGGTAAAGCAACCATGAAGTCCTAAAAATTGCAGACATATCGCTTCCTAATCAAAGCCTCTATCGTTTGTATCACCTTCAGTCCCTTCACATCTCCCCAAACGCTAATGCTATGCTTGCTTCTTCATTACGGAATACTTAGAGTTCGACCTTGACCACGTCATTGTCCCTCCCGTCTCCTATGGCCCACTTTCCTGTCCGGTCCTTGCTTATCGAGAACCTAAGCACTCATACTAGGAAAATGTTATGAAATCCATATAGCTAGCAGTGCCTCGATTTACTACACTGCAGACGCTACTCACTCGCAAGATACTCATACGGATCCGCCACCCATGCCTGAAAATCCTCCACTTCCTCCCATACCGGACCCACTACCGCCACCCATACCTGGAAATCCTCCACTTCCTCCCATACCGGACCTACTACCGCCACCCATACCTGGAAATCCTCCACTTCCTCCCATACCGGGAAACCCACTACCGCCACCGCTACCGCCCAGAGGCCCTCCTCTCGGCTGTGGCGGGCCCATCAACAGCATCATTAGCAGCATGTCTGTATAATCAAGGCCCGCGTTTTCATCATCGCCTCCATCTCCATAATCGCCTTCGTCTTCGTAGCCTCCAATGCCTTGTTCCATTGCTTGGAGTTGACCTGCTGCCTGACTTTGATCTGCCTGACCTTGGCCTTGTCCGCGCATCTGGTTCTGAGCGGCGCGCCGGTATTGCACAAGTCTGGAAGGGTCCCACGGTGGTAGAGCTGACATGGCTGAGATAGTTTTTGGTTTGTGATTCGCGGATGGAGAGAAGTTTTGTAGAGAGAATGGGGGAGTTGGACTTGGTATTTAAAGTAAAGGCTTCCCGGTGTTGACCTTGCTTATAGCTTGTACGCATTATTTACGAGAGGTAGTGAAGTCATCTGCGATCATTGACTATTGCATTATGCGAAGGCTAATCTCTTGTTCCATCGCTGATTCACCATTGTGTGCAACCGAGCGACAGTCAGGGGAAAGCAGTGATCATCAACACTCCACTGCTACAGATAGAATAGCTTGTATATGAACTGTCAAATCGCACACTAGCCATCGAAGCAAAGCAAAGATACAGTGCAATCGGAGGATTTCATAATCGCACGACGCTTACTGCCCTTCTTTCGTTTGCTTACCCTCCTCTTCGCCTTCCCGAACTGCTATCTCCATCATCGCCTTCACAACCGCCTACGCGACCGCCTCCGCCACCGTCTTCACCATCGTGTCCATATGGATCTTCCACTCCAAGAGACGATGTCCCACTACCACCGCCGTGAAGCGCACAAGAACCTAAGAATCCACCACCGTGAGGATCCATATACCCGCCCCCCAAACCCATGCACTCTTCGCTGTCCCAGCTGATCAAGATATGGCTCGTAAGGTTGAATTTCTCGTTCCCAGGCTTGCATGGACACATCGCGGTCTTGCCGATCTCGCGTGATTTGTTGTTGGATGTCGTTGCCGCGCGATGGGTTGGCATACAGGGGATGGCAGCCGCCACGGTCCCAGGACATTTTGTTAATAAGGGATTGATTTGATGTTTTGGGCTGTGCGAATCGGTGTTGAACGATAGGGAGTCTAGATGTCAGAGTCGAGTAATAGAAGAGCAAAGGGAGGAAGTCCACAGGGACGGACTTGATTCCCTAGCAAAAGGTAAGCGCTTCAATAGTTTATATTGTTTTGGAGAGCGGCGTACCTTAATCATCATCCTCTAATCCCGCGATCTCCAATAATCCTCCCATAGTCTTTCCGCCATCTCGTCATCGAAAGCCCAACTCTTATATCCATCATCTCCATGAAGCGAGGATCCCCGCTGTGCTCAAAAGGCCTCATCTCCTGACATTCGGCCAGATATTTTCCTCCTTTATTCTTCCACTCCGCACTCATAGCAAAGTAAACACTCGTAGCCGCACCCTGTTCCGCGCTGAATCTCACTAGCTTCCAAGTCTCCCATGTCAACGTGCTTTGAAGGCCCGTCATAATTCGGTCAAGATGAAGACTTGTGGCATGGAGGTCTTGGGAGCCGTGGCGTCGTTCGATTTCGTTGGCGAGGTAGAGTTTTGCAGTTTTGGCTTGGCTGTAGGCGACCCACGAAGAGTACGGGTTCGGTTCGGTGGAAGGTTAGTCGTCGGGGCGGATTCCACTGAAGCGGTGGCCCATGCTAGGAAGAGACGACGCCTCCGGCAGAAACACCTGTAATAACGAAGACCTTGTCGTTCAACATGCCAACAAGACCTTCGTCTTCGAGGCTTTGAAAGGCTGTTGGTCGAGCATCTCCAGGTCCTTCGGTATTCTTTGGAACGTGTACTTCGGCGAAGCGTGACATTGCGAATGCTTTGAGCAGGCCTGACTTTTTCGTGAAATGCAGCGAAGTTATTGTATGAAGAAGTAATGATTTATAGATGAACGAAAAACGTTGCGACCGTCAACGACATATTCATACCTGTACAGCCTTTTGCACTCTTCGTGGTCTTGTTGCGCCATCACCAGGCAACACGCTTGTGTAAATCTAGGCCGCGTAGCCTTGGTAAAGTAAATGCTTAACAGATATGAAGAGAATATTTTGCGTGAATAGAGCAGCTGACACAAAGTCTGCGCACGAAGCGGCCGCACAAAGCTTGATCAGCACCCGCATTCGACCGCTTCCGTAGAGACAACTATCCGATCTGTCGCGAATTTTGCAGCGATTGCGAATGTCTTCTCTATTGCCCTGCAGTCTCGGCGTCCAATGTCTGCCAGTTGAAGAGGCTTTTCCAATGTGACCAAACTGGAGCTCAAATCAAGAAGTTGTTCGAGACGACACAGTATTCCAGAGGTATTACACCGGAGTCTAGCCTGCCTTTGCGCAGCGTATCGTGGCCTCCATTGGACGTGGAACGGAGTGTGCCTGAAGCAACTGTGGCACGGTAGCATTGGAAGCTTTCCCATAGGTCCTGTCATACAAAAGTCGGGAGGTGTACAGGCGAGGTTTCCTTCGGTAGGCGATGCGGCGATATCATCTTTGAAGATGCTGCGCTTTTCCACCCGGATTTTATCCGAACCTGGTCAGTAATGCCATCTTGTCGCTTGTTGATGCAAATTGCGTAGGCGATGAAATGCCAAGAGAGGTAGCTAGAAGATGGATCTCACTTCCCCCTTCACCAGACCCCCGAGCTAGCCCCAAAGCAGAACGAGAGCTCATTCACGTGACAATGAGGGGAGTGAGTCTCGACTACGCAATGTGCTCAAAATCACGCAACCAATTCTCTTCTCAAGATGAGCACGCTCGTCCCTTGCGAAACAGATTGCATCTCTTTCTTCGCACAAATAGCCCACAGGACCCGAATTCTCAGGCGATGTCTTCTTCTTGCGGCGAAAAGCTCCTATCAGCGCGCGCCGCGGCGAGCTCTCTTATCAGTGACCTCCCGTGGGTACAGCTCGAGATGTGCAATACACGCGAAGAGCTGCGCGTAGTTGGGCGGGGTTCGGAAAGATGAGGTAAACTCATTGGCATTCTACTAAAGTCTCCTCATGATATTAGATCTCTTCTTCCTGCTATATCGCAGTGTCAGCACTTCCTTCTTCCACGTCTTTGTTCGCGGGCTACACCTTACGAGCAGACAGCAGCCGCCATTATGGTCCTCGAACGACTTCAGCAGATGGCTTCCCACGTCACGGGTCAAGCTGCCCAAATGCACCCTCTCGATCCACTCTCGCAGGACGAAATTCAGAAGGCTGTCACCATTGTCAAGAGAGAACATCCGAGTGTACACTTCAATGCGGTATCATTGTGGGAGCCACCGAAGGCAGAGCTTCAGAGATGGCTCTCATCACCCAAGGCTGTGCCCCGGCCGCATCGGATAGCGGACATTGTTGCAATTGGACGAGGCAGCAAGGTCTTCGACGGCTTGGTAGACTTGGATGAGGGCAGAATTGTCAAGTGGGAGTTCACAGAGGGCGTACAACCATTGATCACAATGGAAGATCTTCAGATCGTAGAGACTGTGGTGAGGAAGGATCCAAAAGTCATTGAACAATGTGGCCTTCTGGGCATTCCACCTCAGGACATGCATAAAGTCTACTGCGATCCCTGGACAATTGGCTACGACGAGCGATTTGGTTCGTCCGTTAGGCTACAGCAAGCTCTAATGTACTACAGACCTCATGTCGATGACAGCCAGTACACATATCCACTGGATTTCTGCCCGTAAGTTATGAACACCAGGATATCGTATCACAGACTGATTTTAATAAAACAGAATTTACGACGCCGACGCGCAAGCGATTATCCACATCGATGTACCGAAAGTCAGGCGGCCCCTCAACACTGCAGCGCCCATCAACTACCACGCCGAAGCAATCGCAAAAGAGACGGGTTTCAGGAAGGATATCAAGCCCATCAACATCACCCAGCCAGAAGGCGTATCGTTCTCTGTGGACGGCAGAACACTGAAATGGCAAAATTGGAGCGTGCATGTTGGCTTCAATTACCGCGAGGGGATCGTGCTCTCAAACATCACATTCAACGACAAGGGCAATGTTCGGCCCGTGTTTTGGCGCATGTCGCTGGCTGAGATGGTCGTACCATACGGAAACCCTGAGCATCCTCATCAACGGAAACACGCATTTGATCTCGGAGAATACGGCGGGGGGTACATGACAAACTCTCTGGCTTTGGGTTGCGATTGTAAGGGAGCCATTCACTACATGGATGCTGAATTCGTGAACCGTGCTGGCCAACCGCAAACCATCAAGAATGCGATTTGCATTCACGAGGAAGATGCTGGCATTCTGTACAAGCACACAGACTTCCGAGACAATTCCTGCACGGTCACGCGCGCTCGCAAGCTCGTCGTGAGCCATGTCTTCACGGCTGCCAATTACGAATACTGTGTTTACTGGATCTTCCATCAAGATGGCACAATTCAGTTGGAGATTAAGCTGACAGGGATCCTGAACACGTACGCACTTGCTCCAGGCGAATCTGCCGCTCCATGGGGTACGGAGGTCTATCCGGGCGTTAATGCGCACAATCACCAGCACTTGTTCTGTCTCCGCGTGGATCCCAACATCGATGGGTCGGAGAATACGATCTTCCAAGTCGATGCAGTTTGCGGTGACGGAGAAGTGGGCAGCAAGGAGAATTACTATGGCAATGCATTCTACGCGAAGAAGACCAAGCTGGACAGTGAGTGGATGAAATTACTTCTAGACATATGTCGCAGATGACTAACACCCTGGGCAGCGATGAGCACCGGCGTGAGCGACTACCAAGGCTCGACAAGCCGAACCTGGGAGATGGCGAACACCAACAAGCTCAACGCTTACAGCCAGAAACCGGTGTCGTACAAGCTGGTCAGCAGAGAGGTGCCGAGCTTGCTCCCGAAGGACGGAAGTCTCGTGTGGAAGCGTGCTGGGTTCGCCCGTCACGCTGTCCACGTGACCAGATGTAAGTGAATGCAGTCCACTACTACGCACGCAGTATGCACACGTGCTGATCGTAGATGCCCTACTGTGCTACAGATTCGGACGATCAAATCCATCCAGCTGGTCGCCACGTGCCTCAGACGTCTGGAGAACCGTCGCAGGGTCTTCCGGCCTGGATTGCCGCTGACCCCAACGGTAGCCTGGACAACACCGATGTTGTGCTTTGGCATACCTTTGGCCTGACGCATTTCCCTTCGCCTGAAGATTACCCCGTAATGCCGGCAGAGCCGATGACCGTATGAATCCTCCATCCGATTTCGCGTACCATTTCATCACACTGATCAATCGTAGGTCTTGCTCCGACCGAGGAACTTCTTCACGCAGAACCCGTGCATGGATGTTCCTCCTTCGTACTCGAGCACGCCGAGCCAAGTCGCGGCTGGCAAGAGCGGCATCCGTGGCATTGTGGATAATCTCTCGCGTCTGGCGTTTGGCGGTAAGCAAGAGAAGCCAAGCAGCAACGATTGCGGATGCAATTAAGCGGCCTCTCCCCCGACCGATTGCCAGACAGTCTCCATGGCAGCACAAATCGTAGTCTTTCAGCCGTAGCAGACCGATGTAGCCTACGTATTTCGAAAAGCGAGTTCCATGTTGAGTAGCGCCGCCCGACGCAAGAAACTCCTCATCATCGAATCACAGTGCGAGAAGTCTCTTTGCGGAGAGACTCCAAGACAGTGGTACGACCGGGTCATGTCGGGTGTAAATGCCGGATAGAAGAGGGTGCAGTCGGCGCAGTGGTCGTATGGCGACGATCCCTTCCGGATCAGAGGTTGATACAAGGCCCGTTGGTCGGTGCTTGCTCGGACAAGCATTCGGGAGCACGTGAAAGAGTGACATCATCGGCAGGGATATCAGAGGTTCCTTGGAGACATGAGAAATTCGGGATACCCTTTGGGGAAAAGCGCGAAATCTGTGTGCGTCTCGGCCCCCACTCTTATTCTGACGTCCCCAGTTGCTCCGTCGGCTTCAGCCTATCGACGCTCAGCTGTACTGGCGGTATGCTTGGCGTGGACCACTTTTTCTTCCCTCGCCCTGTCACCGACGCCACGACGTGTTGGATCTCGTCGTTCAGGTTCTCTCGCGGCCCCTGCGCTGTCCGCTTGGCGTCTATCCGCATGCTACTCCACGACCACCCGCAAATGGCAGGGTGTGCGTCCGCAGGGTCTCCACGATGTGGAGGCTCCCATCACCCAACTGACGTACAGGCCGCCGCAATCACATGCTGCTGGTACGCTGGGCTCGACGGTTGCGCTTCGGAGCTGAACCGGTCTCCGTTCATTGCCTGCAAACGCTGCGTCGGCGGCGTTTCGACGAGGCGCTTCCTACCTGTACCCTCACACGCCGCCGAGACGCAGTAGTAGGTTAGGCGTGCCAGGAGCGAGTGGATCCCAACATGGCAACCAGGTGGGTAACTTTCTCTCTGAACGGCGGGCGGTTGTGCTTATTATTGATAGCAGCAATTTCCCTCTCTTCGGGGTATCCTAAAAGGTCCCCCTCTTCCTCCCTCTCTCCATCCTCTCCGTTCTTCTCCTCAACTCCACGCTCTCCGCCTTTTCTCTCATATCGATCTGCGGTGCTGCGCATCGCCTGGTATCCGTCACGAGTTGTATTCCGCCTTTTGGACATCCATCACCTCTAGGCCTCTGGAAGGCCGCGGTCTGCAACCATGGGTTTGGGATTCACGGCTCCGTACAAGGACAACAACCATGGCGTTCCTCACTACATGGGCCTCAGCGGCAAGGCGCTGTCTCTCGCGGTTTCCATCGTAGCGACGAATGGCTTCCTTCTCTTTGGGTACGATCAGGGTGTAATGTCTGGAATTATCACCGGAGCGGACTTCAACAATGCTTTTCCCGAGACGAAGGATGATTCGACTTGGCAAGGCTTCGTTACTGCTATCTACGAGATTGGATGTCTTGTTGGTGCACTGATTCAGCTGGCATACGGTGACAAGTTCGGTCGACGAAGAGCGATCATTCTGGGCGGGTTCATCATGATTATCGGCGTCATAATCCAGATCTCGGCTGTTCCAATTGGCGCAGGAGCGACTGCCCAATTTATCATTGGTCGGACTATCACTGGTGTGTATACTCAGAAAAGAACCTCGTCCAGAAATATTGTGCTGACAGTTCACCAGGTCTTGGAAACGGAATCAACACTTCAACGATCCCAACGTATCAAGCCGAATGCTCGCACTCGACCAACCGGGGTCTACTCATCTGTATTGAAGGTGGCACAGTGGCTATTGGCACCGTCATCGCCTACTGGATCGATTTCGGTGCCAGCTACGGACCACCAGATCTCACATGGCGTTTCCCCATCTCGTTCCAGATCGTCTTCGGTCTCTTCCTCTCCGTTATGATGTTTTGGCTCCCCGAATCGCCTCGATGGCTGCTCACCCGCGACCGACACGAGGAGGCCATGACTGTCATTGCTGGTCTACGTGGCCAGACTCGCGATTCCGAGGAGGTGAAGCTCCAGGCTCAGCTCATCAACGAGTCGATCCGAGCTTCTGGCCATGTCGGCGGCAACACGCCCATGAGCGCTCTATTCACAGGTGGCAAGACTCAGCACTTCCGACGTATGGTCCTCGGTGCTTCTTCGCAATTTTTCCAGCAGGTTGGGGGCTGCAACGCCGTCATATATTATCTGCCAATTCTCTTCCAGAAGAGTGTCGGTCAGCCACGCACTTTGGCCCTTATCCTTTCCGGTGTTAACATGATTGTCTACGCCCTCTTCGCTACGACTTCCTGGTTTGTCATCGAGAGAGTTGGACGACGAAAGCTGTTCCTCATCGGTACCGTTGGCCAATGCTTGTCTATGGTCCTCGCTTTCGCCTGTCTCATTCCGGGACAGCTTAACCCGGCCAACACGGAGCCTGCAAAGGGCGCTGTTGTGGGATTCTTTCTCTTCATTGCCTTCTTCGGCGCTACCTGGTTGCCTCTACCCTGGCTGTATCCTGTCAGTCTCAAGCGATGACATCCCTTCATGATTGAGACATGCGCTGACCTTCAATTTTTTAGGCCGAAGTAAACCCGATCAAGACTCGTGCCAAGGCCAACGCGATCAGCACCAGCACCAACTGGCTGGTCAGTATCTCCCAACCCCACTGCCAACTCTTTATTGACATCACATTAGTTCAATTTCCTCATCGTCATGATCACTCCCGTCATGATTTCTGGTATCGGCTGGGGTACCTATCTCTTCTTCGCTGCCGCAAACGCTTGCTTCTTTCCATTCATCTACTTCTTCTACATCGAAACCGCCAATCGCTCCCTGGAAGAGGTCGATCTCATCTTCGCAAAGGGCTACCTCGAAAAGATGTCCTATGTCCAGGCTTCCAAGGAATTGCCATTCCTCACCGACGAGGAGATCGATGCCAAGGCCCGCGAATATGGTTTCGCTAGCAGCGATGACGAGGCTGGATTTGAGAAGGTGAAGTTCGACGAGAAGGAAAAGGACACCGGTCACCGCTATTCCGGCGGCGGCGAGGGTGAGATTGCGTAAACAAGATCTTTGTTGGAGCAACGTCTTACGACTCCGATGAGCCCTTCGTAGGAGAGGGTTTTCGGTTTTCACGAAATGAATTTTGATACCCAGCGCGAAACTTACACCGCGTGGAATAGAAAGTGCGGTACGCGTGCGCGCTGCTGCAACAGAGAAAATAGATGATATAGGGCTCATCAACAAGGTCTTCAGAAGAAGAATAGTGTTTCTATTGTCACTGCGCGTCTTCCCTGCTTTCGCCGCCTGCCCTGCTACAGGCGATGGAAGATGCTGAAGGTTGGGAGGATAAATCTTCCGATTTGTGGGACCTCACTGCTTCTGCTCGTCGTCCCTCTGAACGTCCACAAACCGCGACCAAAGTTGATATACGACATCATGGCCTTCGACTGGCTGGGCACCGTTTCGATCGTTGGTTTGACGCTCATGATTCTTCTAGGCTTGGACTTTGGAGTTGTCTTCCCCCCCCCTAAACCTCCGCTGCAGTCATCTGTCTCCTCATCTCCGGCGTGATCATAATCGTCATCTTCCTGTTCCATCGAAAAGAAAGGGTCGCAAGAGATCCACTAACGCGTCTGAAATAATAGAAATCGAAAACAAGTCCTCCAATCAATGCTGCATTGCTCGTCGACTCCTGCCACGGGATGGGCTTCCTACTAGCGGCGTAAGACCACCTCGCATTCTTCTTGCAAAGCGTGAAAGATGCCTTTCCATTACGATTTGGACATCTCAATTACTTCGCCCTTCGTGCTCTGAGAAGCCGTAATTAGGGGGGGCTTCGTCAGTGTGGTGCGAAGGCACAGAACCGGTGGGTTTAGAGAACTGATCGGGACTGGCTGGCTGGCTTAGTGCTTCTCACTCTGGCGACCAGGCTTTTACATCCTCATTACTCACTCCTACGACGACCACCACACCCACAGCGGCCGTGGCTCGCTTTCAGATCATCGGCGGTTTGATTTCTAGCGCGTTGTTACAACCACCACCATCGATCGCTCTGCAAGTGATAACGGCAACGGGATGATGTCGCTGCGGCGACTGCAACCTATAGCTTCTTCATTCGCAAACATCGCGACCGCCGTGTCCCTCGGCCTAGGGGGTGTGGGATTTCCAGATCGGCATGAAGCAAGCGGGCATTGGAGCTTCGGCATCCAGGATTGAATGACACACTCCAAAGCCTTTCTCGGGCCGCGAAGCAGCGGCGAATGCTGAGCTGATGAAGACCCCGTCGGCGATCGCGTGCAGCATCAAGCAGCTGTTAAAGGCAGCTTTTGCCAGAAGTCTCCGCAACATGGGGATCATGTATATATGCGTCGTAGGTCTGGGTTTATGTGTCAGTTACTTCATCGTCCACAGTCATTTGGACACCGGGCATAGCGAGACGAAGACCGCCATCAAGGAGAAGGACGCTAAAGCGGCGGATCCCGTCATGGGAATGCTACGTGCACATATCATCATTCTAAAATTGCTTGCTCTCAAAAGAAGTCTAGGTGACATGAGAGATTCGATCGAATACTCGTGTCTTTTACTCCCAGTTACAAAAGCGGGTGGTCGCTGTTTCGGCAACCGCTACGACGATGCTATGATACAATACTTTGTGAGAGTGGATGGTACTCTCGTCGCTGTCTCTTGTGCTGCTGGGTAACAAGAACTTGTTTCATGCGTCATTTACCTGCGTGACCTTCTGATCTTCATCCAGAGCTCCTTCTTTAGATCCGCAAGTCGGCAAATGGGGTCGACGGGATTGGAAATGCAGCCCCCTCGGATCCTTTGAGGATTTGGCGTGGTTGCGCTCCGCCTATTTCTGTCATGCCATCGTTTCGTGTTCGAGTAAGTGCATCAATGCTACGCGGTAGCTGTTGTCCACCGTGAAGTACGCATCGATCGTATCCAAGGAGGCTTTTTATCCGGGATTTGCCTGCCCAGCCGTCTCTTGACCGGCGCCATGAGTCTCGCCCTGACCTTGCGCCTGGTTTGGATCTGGGACTGGCAGGGTGCCGTCGTGGACGGCACTTATGTCCGCATTCATAATAGGCATGCCCACACCGTTCAGACCCGACAGGTCAGTTGACATGTCCATTGGCACGCTACTCACGCTCGTGTAGTCCATGGTCAGCTCCGGAGCCAAGGTGAAGAGGCAGTAGATCCTACCATCCATCGCATCGCCGTCAAAGAGGGCAAAGTTTTGGATTGGCTGCTCGCGCTTGCCGAGGACATTGATGACATCTTCACTCAGACGTCCACCGACGAAAGCTGCAGTCGGCGTAATCTCAGAACCGATGTTCTGGACGAAGCTTTTAAGGAAATCGCCAGTGACCGTCCCGGGGAGCAGCTGCAGCTCAGCGACTTTGCTGTTTACCAACTGTGAGAAGACCATGAGATCTTGTTGCTGAAGCCCTGGAAGACGAAGCTGATTGGTGCGCTGGAACTCCCACAAGGCCCGCAAGCAAGGCAACAATGCTGGAACAGCCTTGAGCTTCCGCCGGTTTGTGAGAATGTCCTGGGGCAATGGTGAAGAATTTGCGAGAAGCAACGGGCAGTAAAGTTCCTGCTTCTTGACCATCTCGATGTTCTTGCCACTGTTCTCTTTCTTGTTCGTGACACTGACAACGCAGCGTGTCAGAGATTCAGCTTGGAGCTTGGTTGGCACGTTGGACCTCTCGCGCTCGACGACGAATTCGTGGCCAACCAAATCAGCGAAGATGTAGCCATAGAATCCATGAATACCGGCAGCATAGAATGGCCTGCTAGCCACTCGAGCTGCGGTGTTGATCATTGAGAGCGTCACGAGGTCAAGATCACATGCGATCACGCAATTGAATGGCGCGAAATAGCTCGAGTCCTTTACGATTAGATCTTGGAGACTTCCGCCGTCCTTTACGGTCACACGTGGATTGAGCTCCTGAATTCGAGGTATTGCTGCTTCGGCGCGCTGTTGCATGTCAGCGAGAAGTAATCTCCAAATGATAACTATATCTCTCACCGGCTTGCCCACGTCTTCTTCTCTGAGGAAGAACTGTGCACCGAGATCCTCTTTCGTAACTGGATCATTGTCGGTGATGGTGAGCGAACTGATACCAGCCAGCGTGAGGTTCTTTGCGATTTCGGTGCCGAGAGCCCGCAGTGACACGAGCAAGACGTGCGCTGAGCGTATGCTCTCTTGTGCTTTAACACCCCATAGACGGATCTGACGATCGTAGAGCGCCATATCATCCGCACTCAAGCCGGGGTCTGTGGTGGTCGTTTCGCCGTTCTGCGCCACACCATTGGAGACAGGTGGTGGAGCCATCGCTGTACCGTTCGTGCCGTTGATGCCATTGGGCTGAGCCTGAACCGGAGCCTCGGCCGGGTTTGCCATGGCTGGCGAGTCGCTGCAGCGGCCTGCGAATGTTCCCAATTCCGACTTTGATGGAATTGTAGGTGACCTTGTTGGCGACAGTCGTAGTTCCGCGCGACCTACTTTCGGTGCAGCTGTCGTGTGCTACCCAGTGATAAGGAGTATAGATTGCACAAAGAGTGCTTTTGGTTTTGATAGTACGGAGTAGTGTTGTGGCAACCGAGTTGAATGTCGTCGAAGTGTAGTGTAGTCGGAAGTGTTTGTATGTGTGCATGTGTTCCTGGAAGTGAATCTTAGCTCGCAGGTCCGTGCGCCGGCTCGGCCCTATCTAGCGCCAAACTCTAGCGGGCTAATGATGTCTTTACCACTCACCACTCCCGGCCGCCTTTCACACATCACACATGGCTGCTGTGCGCACACTGCTACCGTCAAGCGTCAGCGTATGAGTTGCATTCCCCGGAGATAACAGTCTCTTTCTGGGTTCTCAGGCAACGAGTTCAGTTCGCCGAGAGCGGACTACCAAAGGAATCGCAGGCTCCAGCAGGATGCCTGACGCTCGCCCACTGGCCTCGCTGAGGGTATGTTCGGTTCATTAATCACATGAGCGTCTCCTCGGCTGATTCTCTGCCAGTACGGTCAATATGATGAACCTCCAGCGAGCTCCGAATCGTCAACACCCCGCACACGCCGCAACCGCCTACATCACGCCCTGAGAGCGACAGCAGACATGGCTGCCAATGATCTGGCGGAGATGGGCGCCCCGGCACACCCACCTGCCCCGAGGCGATCTCTACTGGGCCCGCTGCAGCGGCGACGGCAACGATCGCCAGGCTCAGAGCCCCGAGAACTTGGCAGCAGCGAAGAGACAAGGAGACGTAGGCCGAAACGTAGGAAGCTTGATAACGACCTGTCTCCGCCTCCGAAGCAACCCATCAAATATGGTCACTTTGGACAAGTGGAGCCAGGGAAATTGAGACTCGAGATCATCAGCTGCGATGGAGGCGAGCACAGAGATCCTCGCTCTCCTAACACATATCTCGGTCCGCACAATCTGCTAAGACACGATAAGAGCGTATACTGCTCCGAGAGACCCAGTAGCAGCATCGTTCTGCGTCACGCGGACGATACACCATTCTGCCTGGAGAAACTACACATTGTTGGTCCAGACAATGGTTTTACTGCTCCGTACTTCTCTCTTTCTTGATCCATCCTGCTTACATACTAACTTGCTACAGTGTTGCCGAGGGCCTCGTCTATGTCTCAATGTCACTCAACGATCTATCCAAGTATATGGACCCGCCGCCTCATGCCCGGCTTGCGGGTGTACACAGCCCGCCTTACCGCACTCGTAGGAGCTTTAGGAACTCACCAGAGCGGATAAGTCTCGCGGATGCTCTGCGAGATCCTGAGGTCAGCGCTGCACTTGATGGAGGCCGAACGCGAGACTATGCCAGCCGTGCTGACGCTGAGCATGGTCTCTCCGAGGAGCCATACTACGGCGATGACTTCGGTTTCGGTCGCCACGATGCCGAAGCTCATTGTGACATCCCTTCTTCTGCTGATGCACCAGATATCGTCGTCGCGGCTGAAGATGAACACACACCAGTAGCGCTACTCTCCGATGAAGACCCAGGTCCCGAGGAGAGTACCGCTCATGATATAATCGATTTTCGATTTCAACGTATGATGGCGATGCGGCATCGCTTTGAAATGGCGAATTGGGACCGCGAAGATCGCTTGGGTGGTGCCAGTAATACCTATGCTAACGATAACGACCGCCATCGAGACGGATCGTGGGGTCTGCGTCACTTGGATGCGATGATGGCTCGCTCAAGAATGGCAGACTCTCCGCAACGAGACGACTCCGATGAGCGGGAACGGAGCGATCGACACGCCTATAATCCTGGACCCAGCTCGTACTATCATGCGACGAATGACAAAGGTCCTGGGCTGGAGTATTACGACGACGGGCTTAATGATCCCAACGTCACTCGCGCTCGCTTCCACATTCGCCGCGAAAAGCACAAAGTGGCAATCAAGTTTGACCCGCCTGTGTCGGGAAGATTTATTCTTCTGAAGTTGTGGGCCAACCGAAGCAATGTCGATGTGCAGAGCGTTATCGCCAAGGGCTTCGGTGGATCGAGGTTCTTTCCGGCGATTGAATTCAGGTGACACGATGGAGGTGGCAGCGAATCTGGCATGATTGAAAGGTCTGAAGCGAATGACCAGCGGTTCCAGCATTCGAGCCGATACGGCTTGCTGAGATCTGTATCTGAATGCGCAAGACTAGTAGTATATCTATCTCAATGTGCACAGCGACGCGATCTGTGCAAGTCTCGCGCCAATACTGTACAGCTTGCTTCGATCCTGTTCTGCTCGGTGTATGTACACTCTGCTCGTGATCGATCCGTGATCACGTGGTGGTTCCAAAGCCGGCTTCGGCAGGTGAAGTCGATACTAACTTGCAACCTCGAACCACACCACAACCTACGAAACCACCTATCGACCTGTCACGAAAATGACGTCCGTCGCCTCCAAACGACTCTTCTCTGAGTACAAATCTCTTAGCGTGGACCCGCCAGAAGGCATCACGGCGGGTCCCATCAACGAAGACGACCTCTTCGTCTGGGAAGCTCTCATCCAAGGACCAGAAGGCACACCTTTCGAAGGAGGAGTCTTTCCCGCCGAACTCAAATTCCCGAGAGACTACCCGCTCATGCCGCCCACGATGAAGTTCACATGCGACATGTGGCATCCCAATGGTGAGCGGAGCGAATGGAAGCCACATAGAGTGTATGTATCATGCTAATCGACGGACAGTCTATCCTAACGGAGTGGTGTGTATAAGCATCCTCCACCCTCCAGGCGACGATCCAAACCATTACGAATCCGCTTCGGAAAGATGGAGTCCCATACAAAGCGTGGAGAAGATTTTGATTTCGGTCATGAGTATGATCGCCGAGCCGAACGATGAGAGCCCTGCGAATGTGGACGCGGCGAGGATGTGGCGGGAGCGGAGGAAAGAGTATGAAGCGCGGGTGAGGGCGGATGTCAAGAGGAGTTTGGGACTCTGAAGAGAACGGTCATCGGGAGGGAGTATGGACACGTGTGCTATGAGCGAGGCGTATGGTGCTCTTTGGGATTGGAAAGTGGAAGATCAGTCATGGGTAGGGATATGGATAGACGTGGTATGCATGAGCATGTACACGTACATGGCGGAAATGAACACTTCGATTCCAGCAACAACCATCTCACCTGGCGGCCGGTCGTCTTAAGGCCCAGAAGTATCGGACAAATGCTCTTCGAGATCCTAGATGGCATCGCCATATTTGCCACCTCTGCTATATTCCCGATCTAGCCGGCCCAGTCGATCTACCATTCGAATTGCTTACGCCCAAGGCAAACACTTGGCTGGCTCATTGTTATAATAGCTGCGTACATATCAAGTCACCCTCGCAAGCCGTCGACAGAGCCATGCTTTGGCACAACATGCCAGCTCGGACGACTATCAGGGGCATCCCACGAGTACCAGCAAGCGAACCGAATGAGCCCGAAACACCGGAATCAGCACCTTTCGCGGGAGAAAACACATGGGAGCTAGCGCAGCCTTGGACACTCTTCGGCTTCTGGATAGTCATCATAATCATGGCATGGCACAGGATTATCCTACTCCACAGACAGCGTCGAAATCGCGCTACACCTTGGTACCCAGAATAATAATTCAACTCAGGTACAATCTCCCATCTCCTCCACCAACGCTCTTTAAACCACTCTCTGCGCTGTCGCGTTCACTCCCTGCCAGCCCAGCGTCCCATTCGACATCGGTATAGACGTGTTCGACCGAATCCAATCGATTGCAATATTCGCCGAAAGATGAAAGAATTCAATGCCTCTCGTCTTCGCTGGTGGACCCGGAGTCTGTGGCGAGAGGAGACAGGTCATCTCGACTGCCGAGGAATCTGGGATGAAGCTGATCACACAGGCTTTCTCTGAGCTTGGGGTCGCGGCGGTCATGGTGTTGTTTGGACTCGCGTTGAAAGTTGCCCGGAACCCTGGATCTGCGCCCGCCAAAGTTGGACTGGGTGACGGCGGAGATGATGGCATTGGATGTGCCGTGATGACGCGATAGGATTCGGGAAGCTCTTGGTATGCTGGTGTCTGAGAAGAAGCTGCTGATGCGGACTCGGGCAGATCTTGGAATGCTGCTGTCTTTGAGAAGATGGCTGAGGTATAGAAGTGGTCGGCTTTGGACCCGGACCTGTGATCGACGTGAGCAACGATGGAGATGACTCTGCGAGCATGAGGTCGCACGAGGATGGGGCTGGTGTTGTAGCAATGGCTTGTCGGGGTCGGATGTGTGCTATGGAAGACGTTGCGAGTAACACGGCGGTGATAGCGGAGTACTGCATCTTGCTTGTCGTATGGCGGGCTATGGACACCGTAGTTGACGAGAAGGAATCGACAGATGAAGCTGTACTTGGCCTTTGATCTTGATTCTTGGATTACATGGAAAGATCCATCTTGCAAACGCGACTGCTGTTCTCGCATTGAGATGTCTTGTCTTCAGCAAGAGCCTCTATCCGCGTTCATTGGCCAGAAGTACAATCAACTGCTCAACAGAGATCACACAGATTGCCAACTTGCCATCATCTGAATAAAAGCAGCAATCGTTGACATACGATGAAGTCTTGTTCGCATGGAGGAATCTCGGGTGAAGCGATTCGATCTAGGCGTGTCGGAGGGTCCGGCAGAGAGCTTGTGGTCACTCTCGAGATGCGTTTTCAGCGAGTAAATGTCCACAAAGAGGAGGCCACGTCGCGGGAACCGCTAAAAGACGGCCGTAGGCAGATGTTGACTGATCCGAAGCTGACACGCGAGGCAGATATAAGTACCGGGACGCGAGAGCCGAAGAAGCCGAAGAAGCCGAAGAAGCCGGAGTGGCACCTCTTTACGTGCGTACACGGATCTTGCTCCGCACCAATCATATCCCTCAGGGTCTTCCACATGACCTCGTCTCTATGACCTCGGTCCAGACGCAACAGCCGGCTGAAGACGTCTTGGGACAGAAGACATGCAGCTTCACTTCATATGTAATAAGACTGGCTCTGCACGACTCTCCTCTCCCTCGTGCTCAGCAAGCCTATCATCCCTCTCCTTCTCCTCTTCTTGTGACAAGCTACCGACACCCTTCACCACATAGCGACTGACATCCATATCATGCCTTTCAACACCGCCCTTACCCGAAAGCTCGGGATTCGAGGTAGAAGCTCACCTAACCTCTGGCAACGAACATGGTCTTAACAGCGTATAGTGCCGGTCGTACAAGGTGGCATGCAATGGGTTGGCTACGCCGAACTGGCCAGCGCTGTCTCTAACGCAGGCGGCCTCGGAATCATCACCGCCCTCACGCAACCCAGCCCCGAGGACCTTCGCAAGGAGATCCGAAAATGCAAATCGTTGACCAAGTACCCCTTCGGTGTCAACTTGACTCTTCTACCCTCCATCAACCCTCCCGATTACCCAGCATACGCCCAAGTCATCATCGACGAAGGCGTTCGAATCGTCGAAACAGCGGGCAATTCCCCAGGACCTATCATCAAGCAATTGAAAGAGGCGAGCCCCCCTTGTGTGATTCTCCACAAGTGTACGAGTATTAGACATGCTGTGAGCGCTGTGAAGCTCGGCGTAGACTTCCTCAGCATCGACGGATTCGAATGCGCCGGACACGTCGGTGAGACGGACATCACGAATCTCATCTTGCTCTCTCGCGCACGACAAGTCCTCCCAATCCCCTTCATTGCTTCGGGGGGTTTCTGCGACGGCCAAGGTCTCGCTGCGGCTTTGAACTTGGGAGCAGAGGGGATCAACATGGGAACGAGATTCATGTGCACGCTGGAGGCACCGGTCCATCACAATATCAAGGAAGCGATTGTCAAAGCACAAGAGACAGATACCAAGCTGGTGCTGCGGAAATGGAAGAACACATCGAGATTGTTCAAGAACAAGGTCTCGAACGAGGCGTATGAGATTGAAAGCAAGCCGGAGACCAAGGACTTCGAGGCCGTAGGGCCTCTCGTGAGTGGACAGCGCGGAAGGCAGGTCTTCATTAACGGAGACCCCGACTTTGGCGTAAGCTAGGGCCCCAACCCTGAATCAAATCTGTTGCATGCTAACGATACCAGGTCTGGACTGCCGGCCAAGTCGTCGGTCTCATCAACGACATCCCAAGCTGCCAGGACCTCCTCAATAGAATCGAAAAGGAAGCCGTCGAGAGCTTGTCGAGGGCACAAAGTTTGATCGTCGACAAGCAGCCCCAGGCCAAACTCTAGAATCTCTCACCATGTAGAGCGAGCGAATCGGGAGTTTTTAACGACATTGCTGAAAAATCTGAAGACCCAAGATACGATAATTCCCCAAATAATCATTGGTCACACACAGTGCTACTGCCTCAATGTTGCCTGCCTATCTGTGGTCGGAACCCAATCACCAACGCGTTCCGATTTTCGATATAAGCATCTTGAAGTCAGCAAAAGTTTGGAACAAATGATGAACATTTTTGCAGGACTCACAACAGTAGTGTCCAGCAGCTACCCATCGACGCAATCGACGCAGGGGGTCTCAATTGTCCTCATCATCATCCTCATTACCATCTTCGTAGTCGATGTAGTCCAGCACGTCGGAGGCGATGTTTCGATCATCATCGTCCTGAAAGTCGCCGTCGTGGCATGGAGCTCCAGGCATGCTTTTTTCTTTTCGTTTCGAGACGTCTGTGGAGAGGGCTTGTATGTTTTTCTTCTTGTCGTTGGTGGTGGTGGTGGTGCCGCCGCCGCCGATCTGTACCTGGTTCTGATTTTCTGAAAAGCGAGGGGATACATCACGTTTTATGTCCCAATGCTGGCTGGGCCCCTTATGATATCTGACGAGTTACGAACCCACACACAAGACATGTCTCACGGGTCTCGATTCGCAATGTCGACGAACAGATTTTTCTCTACCGGAGATCGTGAATGTCAAGAGATAAGGAACTGAATAGGTCGTTTTGTCTTGGAGACACGTCCGTCCATGCGAGTCTCTGCTGAGAATGTTGTTGTCTCGGAGTCTTGTTCTGTGTGGTATGTCGCATTACTGGGACACGAAGAGATCGAACGGGAGGGATACTCTTGGGTCGAGCTTTTTTGGAACAATAATGAGACGCAACACTCGAGTGGCCTCTTCTCGCGGATTGAACGGAGAGTGAGGAGTTCGATCAAAACGCCACGAAATGAACAACGACGGCCATCACAAGACGGGGACAAGACGAGACGAGACGAGACGAGACAAGACCCTACTCCTGCAAAGACAAAAACCTGACCGGCGAGAATCCGAAGAGATAGGTAGATCATGAACATCCCCCCGTTTCATTTCTTCCCTTCCATACTTTCTATTTAACATCGTCCATGCGCGTGTCGGGCTCTACAGTCCATTCTATTATCCAGTCCTCCCTTCCCCTCCCGTCCCCTCTCGTCGTTCGTGTCAGTACAGTACAACGACATTCTTCTTCTCTTAGCGGATACAGCCACCAAACCCACCCGGTGCTCCAAAATCTAATGTACCCAACTCGTCGTCGTCGTCATCACGATCCTCATCCTCAAAAGGATCATGTTCCCTCCGCGGCCGCTGCACCCAAGGGTCGTGGTCGTAGCAGACACACGGGTCGTGAAAGCATCGTCTGCAGCAAGGGCAGTGAGAGCCGGGGAGGTGGTTGCAGGGGCCCATATGATGGATAGCAAGTTGTTTGCGATATGCAGAAGTTGAACTTTTTGGGGGGCAAAGTGGTTGATGTGACTGATTGATCTGGATTGCGATTGTTCTGCTGTAGGTTCGGTTGCTGTTTGCTTGGTCTTGGAAAGTGGAATGGAATGGATGAATTGGTAGAGACGAGGCCCGCTCGTTGCTCATCAGAAGGTTGGAGAATGGAATGGGTGGTGGCTTAGATTGACAGGAGAGGTGGTCGTGGTGTGACTTTTTTAACTTGACGGTGGAGTCCGCTTCGTACTTTGTCTCTCTTAACAACGACACAAGAGTCTCTCCCTGCGCAAGACCTCTCTTCATGTTGCGACACTCGAAATTGACCAAAGTATTAGTCGCATTGTACCGAACAACCACAGGCTTCTTCTTTCACCTCCTCTTTCGTCCTTGCTGTCCTCCCGTGGATTGCCCTATAGACCCCACAACCGTATTCCTCCTCGATCCATCCGCGACGAAAGGTCGAGAGGCTCCAGGAACACTCTGATGCATTTCAGTAGTGTGTCCCAAGCCGCCGCAGAAGGAACAGTCGATCTTGATACCATTCGGAGCTGTGCCAGTCTTGAACTTGGCTGTCTCGCATCTTGGGTGGTAGAACCATGTCTTTCGTATTCGCGTGAGGGGCATCGTCTCGGATTTGTGATGCTGGTAAAAGCGACTCTCCTTGCCCTGCACGAGGTATTTTGAGGACGACCGCGCTTTTTGAGGTAGATGCTCAGCGCGTCGCATGCTTCACGCGACCATTAGAATAAGAGTGCTCCTTTGTTCCATGTGATGGATCGGGGTGATTCATTCCCGCCCAGTAGTATCCATTGCGTTCTTGAAGCATAGCACAGTGAATGCATCCTTCCAGATTTCTCTAGTCTCTGCTTCGATTCGCAACCCATCGCTTGATGACGAATTCTCGTACCCGGTACGCTTTCAGTAGCTTGCCGACGTCCTGGCCATCTCCATCTTCTGAAGGTGGCGGCACGTCCACATACACAAGGACGAGGGTCTTGAGGACTTGACTCTGTACTCGATTGATGCAGTGTAGCCACCACCAGTCCTTCTGCTCGTCTTCCTTGATCCGGCGCTTGGATTTGCCCGCATGCGAGCTCCAATAGGGGTCAGAGTACGACGGCATGATCATGATCGCGAACTCCGCATGTGAGAAGACTGGTCCGCGGTAGTACAGTAAGTAATCGACCGAGAACTTGACACCTGGTCTGACCACCCAACCCAGCGATCGAAAATGATGATACACAACGTAGTTCAACAGGAATGGATCGTCAGGAGAGACTTGATGGGTTGGGTGCCGAGGCGGGAAGTAGCTGTATTGGCAGAAGCAGCGTAACATTTCCGTCGCGTCCAGAGCGGATTCAGACTCCCTACTCCGGATGTCCAAAACTCCAAGGCCGTACTTCAAGAAGAATGCTTCCTCCATAGTCAGTTGGAGGAATTCCTGGTTCTCAACTATTATTTGCTCTTCCCCACCTTCCTCGCTGATGTCTGAATTTTGGCTTAGAAGTGTGGATGCCCTCTCCCGAGGCTGGATGGAGCCATTCGAGGTGGAATCTACTACTGCATCGTTTGGCTGAGCAGCCGCGTTGGTCTCGGTAGCCGCGTCGGCGACCTCTAGTACCGAAGGATCCAGCTTCCCTTCTTCCACGAGCCTTTGCCGCTCAATCTTTTCGGCTTCCAGGCGAGCTCGCTCCAGCTTGAAGAGTCTGCGCTTCTCTCGCCTCGCATTCGTCGCTTCCTCTGCAGTGCCACCACCTGCTCGGTTTGCCTTCAGTCGCGCGGTTTCTCGATCAAGCCAACTAGGCTCGCTACGGGAAAGAGTGCCCTTTCCGAAGAAGCCCATTTCCCACAGAGCACGCATGTGCTTTGGATCAGTCACATGCACCGATCTCGATTCGGGAGAGAAAAAGCCAAGGTAGGGGTCCGGATTGTGCGACGAGGGTGGCATGAGAAGTTGCGAGAGATATGTGTAGACGAGACGAAGGAGGGAGACTGGGTTGGTGGGATGAAATGCAGGCAATGGGTGCGCTTCGAGTGGTAAAGCCTTTCGGTGAATGTATCCATAGTTGGGTCCTTTCTTCTTGCGTGGTTTCTTTGGTGGTGACGCTGCTGAAGTGGGCGTCGCCTCAGTCGTATTGCTTTCCTCTTGGATCCCAGGTGCTTGGCCGTTCAACCCGGTATCTTCACCCGTAACTGGCTTTGACAGCGTCTCGGGCGCGGACGCGGGCACGTGGCCGTTCATCGTTGCCATTACGGGATGTTGAAAATGTCGGATGAGTGTAGACGTTAAGTTTGATTCACCAGCTACAGCAAATCTGAACTAAGAAGTTGCCATGAGTGCGCTAGCGTCGGTCCCTCCCGAGATTTTGAATGATGCCTTAGGCATTTACATACTTCGTTCCGAAATCAGGGGGGATTTTGGATTTGATGGTACGCTGATTGCGATATCAAGCGGGAATCATGAACAGAAAGTAGTCATTCTGCAATTCCCTAATTACGGGAGAGACTAAGCATTATATATGATATATCTACTTTTCCGTGCAGTGCAGCGACAAGCGCGAATACGCTCTGTATCAGCTGACTCTGATCCAATACTTTTTCAGATTATTCCCCTTCCTTCCTTTGATTTCATCATCAATACCATCCCTACTGCGGCACCTTATTCAACTTGATCACAGCACACTTCTCCAAGTCCCTGCCACCCTTGAGGAGATCCTTACCCGAAGCAACCCACATCAACTGGTTCGCATCGCACACGTACCAAGCACTCCAGTTGGCCGTCGAATAGGTCATCTCCTTGGCATTCCTCCCGCCCGCAGACTCGCTTCCGAATCCGGGCGTCAAGACGACCGGGGAGATCTTGGACTCGTAGAGCGTGGACAAGGCTGACTTGCCTTGCTCCGCTCGATGTGACTCGGCTGCTGCCTCCTCGCGCCACAGCCAGTGATGCCTGAAACCGGTGGGAATGAGCGAGATGCCGGTGCAAATGTAGTCTGTGCGGGTGCCGACGGTGACGATGACGTGCTTGCCGTCATAATAGAAGAGATCGGCTGCTTGAGAAAGATCGTTGGTAAGACCGGCGAGGGTGAAAGACCCTTCAGCATTTGCTATCAAGAGACGTCAGCCTGGACGCGGACCTCTCTTGGCAAGGAGACTCCGGAGCAGAAGACTTACTGAAGTTGGGGTTCGCAAAGTACAGACCACCAAAAGCAGGATTGCCCCTGAGTACTTCGCTGATCAGCCAGAATGACTGGGTTGTTGACTGAAAAGCACGGCATTGGTCACCACCGGGGAGGTAACCGCCCGCGACCACGGTCGTGGAGGGGATCGAGACGGCTTGAGTGGTTGTTGCGACTTTGGGGATCCTGTGAAGGTCAGTCTGTGCCCATAGCAAGTAGTATGCGATTAGCTTACGATGCAGTGCTGAGTGAGGCCGCAGCTGAGGCTTGCCCTGGAGCAGTTGGGCCGCCGACGGCGGGAATAGTTACAAAATTGGTGACAGTGCTCGATGCAGGAGCACTCTGGGTCTGGGCCGGCGGCGAAGTTGGAATGGCGAGCGAAGTCGAGGCAACCGATCCGGCACTGGAGAACTGCGAGATGACGGTATGAGTGACGACACTGGCCACCATGGAAGCACTGGCGGACGGCACGGGGGGCGGTGGAGCACTTGTTGGCTCGGCCGCAGGGGCAAAGCTGGTGCTGAAGGACGATGGCACAGCCAACGAAGTAGGCACCGAGAAAATGCTTGCAGGAACAGCTGCGAAGCCCGATGGAACCGAAGCGCCTGATGGAGCCGAAGCGGAGGCCAGCATGCTTGCAAAACCAGTCGGAATTTGGCTTATGGGCACGATGGTGAATCCGCTCGGGATTCTGGCGGTGAAAAACGAGCTTGAAGAGGCCGATGGTGCCGACTGGGGGTTTGAAAGACCGCCTGCAGAGTTCAATCCCGAGGGAGACACCGTCACCGTTGCTGAAGTAGCGCCCGATCCAGAGGCGGAAATGGTTGTGACAGGCACAGGCGTGGATCCAGACATTGAGACAAGCACGGTGTTGTGAGGAACAATCTGGCTGGCGATGCTATTGGGAACGAGGGCCTGTCCAGACGGTACCACGCCAGATGCCACAGCTGGTGCGGTCGGAAGCGCATTTGCCAAACTGGCAGGAATAGCGCTAGTAGGAAGGGTAGTGAAGCCTGATGGGATGTTCGTGGCCAAACCCTGAGCACCACTGGCAGTCGCGAGATGACTTGTTAGGCTGTTCGGTACCAAGGTCAAGCCCGAAGGAACATTGACAGAATCCATGCTCGCAGGCGGTACGATGGACAGACCGCTTGGGATAGCGCTTGCTGGGATGGCCGTGAAGCCAGATGGGATGCCCGTTGCAAGTCCGCTGGGAAGTCTGTTGCCGCTTGCGCTGGCGAGATGGCTAGCTACGCTGTTGGGGACCGCAGTCATTCCTGAAGGGACAACTCCCGAGGCCAAAGGAAGGCTTTGCATAGACGCAAGACCAGTAGGGATGGCGGTTGTAGGCACTGCGGTGAAGCCAGAGGGAATACTGAACAAGAGACCAGTTGGGACGCCAGCAGACGACTTGCTAGCAGATGCGGCGAGACCGCCTCCGATCTGGCTCGCCACTGAATTGGGAATAGGTTCCATACCAGTGGGCACGACGCCAGGAGCGAGGGTAAGCTTCGGAACAGATGATTCAAGAGAGGCAGGGACAGCAGTGATAGGCACAGCGGTGAACCCAGATGGAACGCTCGACAGGATTCCAGTAGGCAGTCCATTAGGCGCGCTGGCAGCTGGGATGCTTGCGCTTGGTGCACTGCTACTGGGCAAGCCACTAGACACGATGCTGCTGATGACGCTCTGAGGCTTGATTGCGACATCAACACCTGAGTTGTTGGTTTGCGGAGAGAGGCTCGACTTCAGGTAGCAAGTACCTGGGCTGGAGCCGCCGATGTAGGTGTATCCAACGCACTCATCCTCTGCATCGCAAGGCTCCTCGCATCCCAGGAAAGAGCTGGCCATCACAGAGTACAAATCACCTCCAAGTCGATCCGCTCCACAAGTATTGGTGTAGAGGCCAACCTGCTTAGGGAGAGCTGTACAAGCAGCGCTCGGCGTGACAGATGGTGCGCCTGGGACGGTGGCGGTGATTGTATTGTTGCCAATAGTTGCCGTCACACCATTGGCAGCCTTCTTGACGAGTACGGCGACATCGGCAGCAGAAGGCGATAGGTTGCCAGATTGTACGGACTTCAAATAACAGTAGCCGTTGAGGTAGGAAAAGCCTACGCAGCTCTTTGCCTGGTCACAAGGGGCAAAGCAGCCTTGGAAAGCACCAGCTTGGACGGACTTCAGGTTTCCGCCACCAATGTCTTGCTTGCAGGTGATGTTGTAAATGGCACCATTGGAATCGGTATATTGAGCGGGACCGCTACCACTTGCAAGAGCCTCACAATCAGTGGGCGCAGTCGACGTCGGAGCGGCAGCTGCAGAAGTGGTAGTGGCTCCTCCTGGAGACGGATTTTGCTTGAAGCCAGAGATGATGTTCGAGCCAGCAGGGGAGAATGAGCCTTGGGAGTTCTTCAGGTAGCAAAAGCCGCTGCTGTCGGAGCCAACATACGTCCAGCCCAGGCATCCACCGCTATTCTCGCAAGCGGCTACACACGAAGCAAAGCCGCCGGATGAGACCTGTACTGCCTGATACGAACCAACGGAATTATCCGTACCGCAGCGGATGGTGTAGCTGCTGTTACCAGAAGTGACTTGCTGGTTGGTTTGATAGGTGGTGCCGTTGGCCGAGCAGTAAGAGGAAGCCGCACTGCTCGAAACCATGGCAGAAGAGTATGCACTAGTGGCTGGGCCGATAGAGACGCCGGTTGGGAGGAAGGACATGATGCTGCTGAGTGCAGAAGCCGCTTGGGTCGGGATGGCGGGCTTGTTGACAACGATGGCAGCAGAGGTGGGCGCTCCGCCAACACCTGCACCGGCGACAGTGCTCCAAAGACCTCCCTGTGACAACTCATTAGTCTGTTCTCCGTGTATGATCTTCCATCAAGTTGACATACCGCTTGACGAGGATCGAGACCTGGCAAGGCATCAGCTGCAACGGCAAGCCCAGCGAGGCTTGCTGCAATGCGAACCATGTTCAAGGGCATAATTCAGACACTATCCGAAAGCAATGGGATGAAAAGAAACAAGGAAATACAGGTCGATGGTGAAGAGGCTTGTTTGAAATACTTCTTCCGCCGTGGCCCGCCCGCCGAAGGTCCAGTTCAGGATTTGTTGAGCTCGTCTTTCTCAGTCTGGTCCATCTATATCACTTTCTCCACGAATATGAGACCCACTTCTGCCATCATAGAGCGGAGCAAGAGGGGCATGTCCTCGCAAGTAGACAATGGAGAAGTAGCACAACGGATTAGCTTCACCAGATATCCAAGCGAGAAGCTGGAAATCAGCAAGCAAGTTTTCCACGCACCAAATAAGGCATGTTGGAGGGAAAGATGGGACCATGATGGCCTTTTTGCAGCACTGCAACTCCGATTGCTTGCAAGCCCGAGAGCGTTGGACTAGGCGTACGTTGTGAGGCGCGAATGCATGCTCGTGTTTGGGCGCGAATATTTCATTGCAACATGTTTGAAGTCCTTTAGTCGGCTTTCCGTCGCGAGTCAGGCGCATCAATCCAGATACAATGCGAGATGATTGCGGATGGCTATAGATGGTAAGCAACAACAACTGAGCTGTCGTTCGTCGATTCTTGGCACCCGAAACATCGATGGCGGTGATCGCTGGAAACGCCGAGTTATTGAAGTCTCCAGCCAGTCGGTCCACCGTTGAGCAATCATTGCGAGCCTGGAGCACAGAACCAAGTCGCTTCTGTATGTTCGGTCGACATGCCAGATGCGATAGACCAGAGCCATTCCCTGTGCAGAGCATCGAGCATGCTGCTGGAAGCCCCAGCAGATTCATTGCTTAGGCTTTCCCGAAAAGCCCACTTGCATTAATAGCATCACTCCAGCTGTCACTTCGGTGGATCTCTGCCGTCTTCCAGAGTTGGCCTGGCTGTCTTGCGCTTGAGATGACCTCGTAGCCAAGCGGCCTTTGAGAGCTGCTAGGATTGACACAGCCGTCCATACCACAGCAGATCGAGAAAGACATAATGTTGTCAGAGAAGTCACAAATTCCTTCAAGTGTCTCAACCCTCGGCCAGCCCTTTCAACTTTCCAAGAATCTCGTCTACGGAACCCTCAATGGCCCTTTTGTCATTCGCGTCCATCTTTTTCAGCACGTACCGTGCTACATCATCACTCTCCCTGCTGACCGGTCTCCCAATGCCCACTCCAATTCTCCAGAACGGCCGGCCACCAATATGCGCCTTGATACTCTTCAATCCATTGTGTCCCCGCGGACTCCCACTCCCATCCCTCAAAGTAACCTTCCCCAAGGGGCTCTCCAATTCATCGTATACAACCACCATCCGCCCGCCGTCTTGGCTTTGTTGTTGCAGAAACCTTTGATAGGCAGATACCACGCCCTTTCCGCTTTCATTCATATAACTCGTACTCTGCCACAAAGTCCACGCTGGAGCAGCGGAACCATTCGTACTCAGCAATCCATTCCCCCAACTCTTCTCTTTCCTGAATCCAGGATATCCCAGTCGTTCGGCAAGACGATTGAGGACCGTGTGTCCGGCGCTATGTAGAGTATTCGCGTACTGCGCGCCTGGGTTGCCGATACTGCAGACTAGCAGTGGGAAAGGTCGCATCGGCTGCGGAATCGCACTGGCAGCTTCGGCGATCTTTTCTACAGCGACGTGCTTTTTCTTCTTTTCTCTCCTTTGCTGTCTCTTGTTGGATGTTTTCGTGATCGAGGCAGAAGATCTTCGTCGCTGTCGCGAAGGAAGCGAAAGTGAAGTTGCTTCAACTTCGGGTTCTTCATCCGCGGTGGTCTGTGCATCCATCTCGACCTCCTCCTCCGCTGAAATTAACTGTTTCTGAAGAGACAAATTCGACAAGAGTTGACAGTTCCAAAGCGTCAGAGTACTGCGTCTTGACTACGAGACCAATGCGATCGAGTCTCTAGGGCGACAAAGAAAGGCACACCCTTACCTCCACAGGCAATTGTCAAGCACAGCTGATTCACTTGAGCTCAGCCCCAGAAGTTTCTTTTGAGGACGCCGATGACCCTGTCATCTTCTGACAGCAGCAATCTCGCCTATAAGGTTGAACATTTGCTGATGACCTATAACATGTTCCTGGATATATACAGAGGTTTTTCAAAAAGGCCTCTGTATCAGCTATCCAATCTTTGCCACCCACTCTTCAACATTTCCCCCGTGACTATCCCTCTGAGCATCCCAACAAAGCCGCATGAGCGCCTTGAGATCTTCCTTCGCATACCCACCCTTCACACCGTCGTTCACGATCCTGTCGGGGTCGGATAAGGCGTAGAAGCCCGCAGCATATTCTAAGCTTGCATCTTGTTGTATCGCCGTCTTGAGCGTCTGTTGCAAGACTAGAATGTTGAGCCCCATGCGGTCAATGCCATACTTGTCAAGTGCTTGAATACAGCCGACGAGTGAGACAAGGGCGTTGTTCGCCAAGACGTCGAGGTGTGAAGTCAAGAAGGCGTACTGTTGTGGTAGCAAGTTGTTAGAGATTGCAGTGTCGTACGTTCCAATAGACTCGCTGAGGTTAATGGTAGCGGCGTCTGGGTCGTTATACGGCTGCCCAAGAGCGTAAGTGGTGTCGAGAGCAGTGTATATACCGTGCAGCAGGTGCAGTCGAATGTCGATGTGTAATGTGCGGAGGATCAATGCCGATAGCTCTGTGAAAGAGACGAGGACGGCGTCAAAGCCCTCTGCAGTTTGCTGATCCAGTGGCAAATATGGTCCGTTCGGTGTGTTGTGCTGATTGAAATTCTGCGTCCATCTCCTGCGATCATGAGTCTGCAGGTTGGACGTGTCGACTGCACGCGGAGAAATATATCGAAGTTTCTGGCAGCGAGAAGCTAGCCACTTCATGCTCACTTGCAGCGTGCAAAGTGCGGCGAGTGCCTTCCGGTCATTGATTAAGTCTGCTTCCTCTAAGGCCTTGGTCTTGATCTCTCTGAGCAGGAGAGCCGTTTCCTTCTCCGCGAGGACTGCCGCCTGGTCTTCATTGGCCTTCGTCAGCTCGATAACAACAGGGTTGATGTTGCCAGATGTCGCTAATTGCGCCGCCAACCTCATTTTTACGGTTCCTTCTTGTGCCAACTGTGCTCGCTGCAAGAGACCTTTTGACCATTGGTAGCATCTGTCGTAATATGTTCTCATGTGTGTGATGATTAGCTGACTGAAACTCTGGTCGTGAGGTAAACTGTCCAGCATAACGCAAAAGGCTTCGACGAGCTCGTAGAACCGTGCTGTCCCTCGAAAGATCGGCTTGTGAGATCGTTGTTGCCATTTGGTGTCGACTTGGAACGCATCCATCTCGTTCATAGTGCGGCTCGACATCTCGAGCAATGTCTCATCGAGTTGTGGGTAGAAGACATTGACAAGGAAGTCGTCCAAAAAGGAAGTGAGTGTGCTTGACACGACGCCTGAGCCTGGAGGTACAACGTCTTTCAGCCGGGTCAAGAAGTCCAAAGATGGCTTCAGCAATATTGCCATGTTGAATACGCTTGGTTCGACCAAGAGTTTGTGTCCAGTCGCAGAAACGTCGGTGATTGTGTCTCTATCCTGCTTCGTATTCTGCGCATTGCTGCCTACTAGCCCAGGTACTGACTGTTTAAGAATGAATTCGAGATCTTCCCTTTCCGTCGCGAGCTCAGTGGATTTACTGTCCGTATCAGCCATCTTGAACAGCCTTCGGCTGCGATCTCGAGGCTGTGGCCTAAAAATGTTCGCGCTTGGGTCATTCTCCTGCCGTGATCGATGTCCGAGATTGCCATTTGTGGCTAAATGATCATGCAACAGAGATCTGATTTCGCTCTGCAAGAGCTTCCACAGCTCACGGAAACTCCTGTTCAACGTTGTCCCGTCTTCGTGTCCTTCCCGCTTGATGATCGCGGCCGTGACATCGTGGAAGATGCGGTGCCCTTCTGCGATCGCTTCGTACTTCGCAAACAGTGTTGTGAGCAAGTCCTCTAGAGTTGCTTTCCTTTCGGCGTCAGGGCCTTCGTTGACGCCGATTTTCTTTCGCTGGCTTCTCGCAGCGTTGCGCATTATGGCCGGATGCCTCTGCTCCACCTCTCGATGAGATCGCTCCACGACAGTGAAAAGCTCTACGGGAAGACGATGTTCAATCGCGTCCACGGCTACATCCAACCTATTCATCTGGTTTAGTGACTCGACAAGTAGCTGGATGTAAGAAAAGGTGTCCGCCTCGGGGTTGCGGGTGGTATCTTCAAGCATGGGCTTTGAGCCGTCGAATGTTTCCAGAAACTGATGCATCGCCCTTTCGCCGTCGTCCAGCGTAGCGTCCGACATGTCATGCTTCTGATGCGACTTCCATCTCTCCTCGCAATAAGGGCTCTTCAGGTAGAGATGGTTGTGCAATTCCTCGACCAAAATATCGGTCAAAGAGTGCTCCTGGTTGCTCAAGTATACCCGCAGGTCACTCAAAGCCCCGATCTCTTCCATCTCTGGCTTTCGGCTGAGGCGCAGCGCCTCTTGTAGTGTGTCCACGGCACCGAGAAATCGCTTCTCAGAGATCTGCGCCTCGAGAAATTCTGGCACTTGCTGCAATTGCTCGATAGTGCCCAGAACCTGCAGCATCTGATCGTAGCTCTGACTACTTTGTGCAAATGCCTTCAACTCCGGCCTCGCGCTCGCCAAGCTTGCCTTGGCCTGCATCAGTCCTGCTCTCAAATTCCTTACTCGCAGTTGCGACGCCTGAATAGCGGCCTGGATCTTGTGAAAGGTGCCGATGCTGCTGTTGAATCCCTGATGGTGCTCGTTGACTATGACTTTCAAAGCATCTTGTAGCTGCTTGTGCACTTTCTGGAACTGGCCGTACTGGTCTGCTAGGCCTAGAGAGGATGGGTCCATGAGCTGCAAGGCCACCTTGACGGGGTTGCAACTCTCGTCGGCCATGAAAGACCATTGCTGCTCGATGAAGCGCAGGATGTCTGTCCAACTGGTGAGTGTGCATTCGAAACGGGACGGCCATGTTGAAGCGACAGTTTGTATGTGCATGGCGGATCGGGTATTGCGGAGTGTGGAGGGATTGGAATGTTTGCGCAGAGGAAGCTTCTGCCATTGCGAATAAAGGTTCCTCCACACAAGGTAGTCTCGAGGCACTCGCCCTCGCGGACAGAGGGAAGGCGCATCGGCTCTGGGGAAGGGGCTGTAGCTGTCCACAACTCACCTTCGACCTGGCCGCTTGCAGGGCCATATCGCGCCCCATCTGGTCTGCTTCTGCTCCTGCTATCATTGAATTCCTGGCTCCTCCGTTGTGCATGTCCCCGGTTCAACCGTGCTACTCTTCCTACCGGCGAGGGCCTGCCAAACCCGCCATATCCTCCAGGCCCCCTCGATCTACTTCGCTCTGCGTCGCTAGTCTCCCTGCTGCTGTCCTCGAAATTGAATCTGCTGAGGTGCGCGTCGTTACCGTTAAGGTAGTTGGAATTGCCATTGGGCTGCTGTCGCATCCACGACATGGCAGGCAGGAGCTATCGCAAGTCGGGTCGCTGGGCACGTGGCTATCTTCTCGGTACCATAGTGATACCAGAGGTGAAATAGTGGTGTATTTGTGCGTCGAAAATATTCGTTGCGATGTGTCGCGAATCGCGACTCGGCAATGTAGAAGCAATCCGACTTGGGTGAGCTCAGGGAAGGTGCCTAGCACATGCGGCTCTGCGGGATCGGCAATCTAGCGGCCGATGGTCTGTGCGCTCTCTTGAGATTCATTCGCGTGCCGCAACTCTCGCGCATCCATCTGCAACAACACCGCACGATCTATCAATTCCCACCACACAACCACGAGGCGCGAGTGGCCCCGAAACATTCTTCAGTGGCATCACCTTCAACGCCACACTTCAGCAAGCTAGCAAATAGCTTCACCGACCACCGACGAAGAGATGCGATCTTGAACGAGCACAAGCTCTCACACTCTCCTTCCTTCGATCCTTGCGCCCTCACTATACGAGCTCTTTCGCAGCCATGGCTTCTGCCACGAATGGATATACCAATGGCGTCAACGGCACGGCGCATCATGCACCGTTCGCGCGCTTCTCCGGAGTGCCGGAGCAGATTGATGTGCCAGTGGGCGGAAGCCAAGAGGAAGCTGTCAGTATTGATCTGATAGAGCAGCCGCTCGAAGAGCAGGAAATTGAAGAGCTCTGTGGTCTACTGGAATCAGAGAATGCTGCTCGCAACTACTGGATAACAATCGCGCTATCCTATGTCAAGACCAACCACGCCGATGTTGCAATCGACATCCTCAAGAAAGCGCTGGATGCAATGCAACAAGGCCGTGTAGATGATCGTCTCAGCATACTCACGTGTCTATGCTGGCTCTATCTCTGGAAGTGCCGGAAAGCGCCACGTGTAAAGCCTACTCAAGGGACGGAAGATGAGCGCACTAAAGACTATTGGCTGGCACAGGCAACCTCTAGTGTTAACGAGGCCTCAAAATTGAATCCTGGATACGCACCGCTCTATCTGGCAAGAGGCACTTTGTCGCTCCTCAAGGCCTCACTGCAGCAGGCCGGGGATCGAGCCGAGTCGCTGAGACAGGCCGCCAAGTGCTTTGACGATGCGTACATGAATTCTGGCAACAAGAACCTCATGGCCATACTCGGAAAGGCCAAGACACAATTCACGAATGGCAAGTATGCTGAAGCTTACATTCTCTATCAGCAGGTGCTGGAGCGGGCGCCGGACATGATTGACCCTGACCCACGAATTGGCATTGGCTGCTGTCTTTGGCAGATGGGTCATAAAGACATTGCGAAAGAGGCTTGGGAGCGATCATTGCAGCTGAACGAGAACTCCAAGATTGCGAATATCTTGCTTGGACTCTACTACCTGGACGTCAGCAGCCACTTCAATTCAAACGATCCAGAGTTTGCGTCCACCTATCGGAAAGCCATGACCACATACACGCAAACCGCTTTCAAGCTCGACGATATGCACGCGCTCACTTGTTCCACTTTCGGTGGCTACTTCCTGCTTCGCAAGACGTGGGCAAATGTGGAACGACTTGCACGACGCGCTATCGAGCACACGGACGTCAACGCTATTGCCAGTGATGGCTGGTATTTGCTTGCGAGAAAAGACCATTACGAGGGTGACTTGACAAAAGCACAAGAGCACTACAGCAAAGCTGACCAAGCAAGAGGCGGCGATGAGAAGGGATATCTGCCAGCCAAGTTTGGCGTGGCTCAGTTGAAGACCTTGATGCAGGACTACGATGGCGCAAAGTTCAGGCTGGAAAAGATAGTGTCGAACAACAAGAGCGTAGAGGCCATGACATTACTCGGCATATTACATGCAGAAGATGTGTTCACAAGTCAGGCCTCTGCTTCGAAAGAAGACAAGAGCGTAGAACGAAAGAAGGCTATCGGTCTTTTGGAGCAAGTGCGAGTTGCCTGGAAGGATGCGAAGAGAAAGATACCACCGGACAGCGCTGTTCTCCTCAACCTGGCGCGACTTTACGAGGCAGACCAGCCCGACAAGGCTCAGGCTTGTTTATTACAAGTGGAGCAAATGGAGCTTGACGAAATCAGCGAGGAAGACCTGCCTGAGGAATATGACGATGAGGCTGCGATCAAGAGTGCCAAACGGAAGATGCTCAGTCCCCAACTTCTCAACAACATCGGCTGCTTTCATTTCCAGGCCGAGAAATACCCACAAGCGCGGGAGTACTTTCAGGTTGCACTTGAGTCGAGTGTCTCGATCGGGAACAAGGATTCCTCAGTAGACGTCGACTCCCTGGTCTCCTCCATCAGCTTCAACTTGGCTCGAACATATGAAGCGGAAGGCATTGAAGACGAGGCTGAGAAGATTTATCAATCCTTGCTTCAGCGCCATCCGGACTATATCGATGCGAAGGCTCGCATGGCATATCTCGCGCTACGATCTGATCCAGCGAAGGGAGCTGATGCTCTCAAGCAGCTGCTTGACTCTGATCCAAGCAATCTGGAAGTTCGCGCCTTGTATGGTTGGTACCTGCATCGCAAGAAGAAGCGGACGCTCCAATTACAGGAAGACCAGGAACAGAGGCATTTCAAGCACACGCTCATGACATATGACAAGCACGACATCTATTCGCTGACAGGTATGGGCAATATGCACATGGCAGTCGCCAGGGAGATGCCAAGAGACACCGATCAGCACAAGGAGCGACGCTCGAAAACTTACATGCGCGCCGTTGAGTTCTACGACAAAGTCCTTACCCTTGACCCCAGAAACGCATTTGCTGCGCAAGGTATGGGTATCGCAATGGTCGAAGAAAAGAAAGACACCACTGCAGCCATTCAGATCTTCTCCAAGGTTCGCGAGAGCGTCAAAGATGCTTCGGTGCATATCAACCTGGGCCACGTGTTCTGTGAGCTAAAGCAATTTAGCCGGTCGATTGAAAACTACGAGCTTGCACTTCAAAAGTCGAGAGAAAAGGATGCGCAAATCCTTGCTTGCCTTGGCCGCGCTTGGCTCATGCGTGGGCGCGCGGAAAAGCAAATTGAGCATTACAAACAGAGCTTGGACTTCTCGCGACAAGCGCTGGAGATGTCGCCGGAGAGCATCAATTTCAAGTTCAATGTAGCGTTTGTGCAAATCCAGATTGCGCAGCAGATGATCCAGCAGCCAGAGGCCAACAAGACCTTGGAGGATGTCGAGGTTGCCAGCAAGGATCTTGACGATGCTATCGAGTCTTTCATCGAGATCGCTCGGAGTCCCCAACCGCCATTCCCAAAGAACGACATCGAGCAGCGCGCCAATATGGGTCGCAATACCATGAAGCGACAGCTTGCAGCTGCTAAAGAGCGACAAGCTGAGTATGAGCAGAAGAATGCCACTCGTCTCGAGGAGGCTCGGGCACGCCGAGAAGAAGAAGTCCGCAGGAGGGAGGAGGAGAAGCGTATCGCGCTGGAGAAGGCAGAGGAGGAGAAGCGCAAGATCCGTGAAGAGCGTGAGCGGATCATGGAGGAAGATCGCCAGCTGATCGCGCGGCGTCTTGAAGAAGAGAAGGCTCGCGAGGAGGCAGAATACACTACTGATCCGGAGACTGGCGATCGCAAGAAACGCGAGAAGAAGGTCAAGGAGAAGCGATCAAAACGCAAGAAGAAGGGCGACGATACGGATACGGATGCTGATGGCCTAGTGGATGGCACAGGTGACGAAGATGCAGGAGGCCGGCGAAGCAAGCCGCGCTCTAGGCTGGCGAGTACGACTGGTAGTGACGGTGAGGCTCCGAGAAAGAAGAAGAAGAGAAGACTTGAGCGCAAGGGCACGGCTGTTAAGAACTCCAAGTACAAGTCGGCGGAGATGATCGAAGACTCGGACGAGGATGATGATGCTGGCTTACAGCCTGCTGCGAAGTCGGACGATGCCGAAACTCCTGGCGCCGCCAGCTCACCAGCCCCAGACGACACTATGGCAGATGGCGGGGACGAAGATGAAGATGACGCTGTCGCTCGCCCATCCCAGCGAAAGAAGCAGACTCGGGTCCTGGACGACGAGGACGAAGACGAAGACGGAGCTCCCGCGACGACAAATGGTGGCGATGTCGATATGGGCGAAGAGGACGATGCTGTCGCCGCCGGCCAATCTGATCACGGCGGCGATTAGAACAAAGCCGCTTGAAGACAGCAGGCTCTCATCAAAACATCTCGACGTTGGAGTCGATCAGACTACACGTTGTTCTGGCTGCGTACGATTGAGGACGCGATCCGCGGCAAGCTGGCGCGTCGCGACGTTGCTGTACTATTACACCCCCCAATTGGAACATCGAAGCGCAAAAGGCGAACAGGTAGAGTGGATTGGGGCAGGGCCCTCAAAGATCTTCCGTAGTAAGAGGACTCACATATCAAATGACAGTGAAACCTTGGCTAGCAGGGCACATGTACATGTATCGATTATAGCATAGCATCGGCGCTCCCGGAGAACCTGAAGGAATGAGGGCATAGCGAGAGCTCTTGCTGCTTGCTGAGAATTATACATCCCACCGACCACCGCCTCGACGACCACCTGTTCCCTTCTCTCTCCCCCTCTTGCCACGCTATAATAAGGCATACCCACATAGCCGCGGATTCCAAGGATTTAGAATTCCAGACCGAACGCCATAATGTCTCGGTTCCAGAGACTAGCCCCCGTCTACCCGCAGCCACGAGACCGAAGATGGGGAATCTCATTTGTTGGATAGAGCCGTGTACTAATGGATGTCTGTAAATCTGAAGGTGAGACAAGATGGAAGGGGAACGGCGTATCCGATGTAAAACATTGCGCTACTGCGTTGGCGATGCGCCGTCGCTTCAAGTGCATGGTGTGGTTGTTTGTGGAGGTCACGAGGGGGGGAGGAGGGAAGGCTGACGTAGTAAGTAAGTAAGACCTGAGCGATTGCGGCTGGGTGTGGACAACAAGCAAGACTTTTGCTCTGCGGCATGAGTTGTCTCAGGAGTGGTAGATTAGATCATACTCTTCTTGTCTCTTGAAGAATAGGTCTATTCCAGGGTGAAGCCTCCTGCGCCCGTTGCTCGTTTCGCAAGCTCAGAAGCATCATCCGTTCGTTCTATGCAATACCCTGCGGTTCCGCCGTCCAACCCCATTCTTGCACCAGTTCCTTACACCTAAACTCCGTTGAACATCCCGTATCCTTCTCAATAGCCCTCAGCAATTCCAGAACAACTTTCCTTTCTTCGTTTTCTTCCAGACAGGCGCCGGCAGTAGCAAGAGGTAAGAGCATCTCAACGCGGATAGCAAGCTGGGGTCGTCCCAGTGCAATGCCAATGATCTCATGCGCATGTCTGATGGCCTCGTTGGAGACCTCGCGGTATTGCTTGAGACGGTTGCCCCAAGCACTGCTGTCCACGGGCCGGTGGAGGAGAAGTAATATGCGAGCGAAATGGTACAGTTGAAGTGCGGCGGCGCAGACGTCGATGCTGAAGAAGGATTCTATCAATTGCGGTGTAGTGCCGTTGTTCGTTCGCGGTGCGAGCGGATGTCGAATTTGCGCGACGGGTTGGTATGTTGCCGGTAAGTTACCGTACCAGTGATCGAGTTGTAATGTAAGTTGATCCCATTGAGCTTGTTTGGCTTTCGCGCTCTCTTCGCTCGCCAGGTAGTTCATCACCCGCAGAACGAGCCAGAGCAAAGTGTGTGCGACGAGCTCGGCAAGAGCACGACTGTGAGACGGATCGTTCTTCACTGATTCCGAAGAGTTGTACAAAGACCCATCAAGCTGTATTTCCAGGCCACAGCTGTTCCACATCCCGATATCGTCGGTGTCGAGCAGGGTTCGCTGATGGTTGATATACGCCGCTTGATAGTCGGCTCGAGCAAAGTTCCAGAATGAAGCCATGCATCCACCGGTCAGAGAACACGCTGATTGATCAGGCGTTGGCTTGAGAGGGCAGACTGCGGTCAGTAATGATTTGAGTCCTATCAAATGTCTAGGGCGCGATTAGCAGCGTGCTTCTGCCATTATGAGACAAGCGGGTACTTACTGCAACCAGCCACTATCTAGGTTGTCCAATGATTCGTACAGGGAGAAGATCGAGACTGCAACCAGGAGATCATCCGAGTTCGCTGTGGCCAGAGAAGATTGCATACCGGGTGAGGCGCCAGCTGTGACTTCTCCAGAAACCGCTTGGAGGTACTGGCGTGAGAAAGCTATGGCTTTGTCGTAGTAGTTGGCTGCTTTGTAAAACCAGTCGACCTCTACATCTTCGTCTAGAACCTCCATGGCTGACGGTTTTTGGCACTGCCGGCCCGCAAAGGGCTTCTGTCCTCTGGTCCTTCCGAGTTGCTTGGCTGCTACAGCTGCGATGGCGTTTCTTAACAAGGCATCTCTGAGTGCTTTGAGTGGAACAAGGTGAGTGAAGTGTCTGTCTTTGTCGAAGAGGTCCATCCTAGATTGAGTTAGTACAACATGCCCTGTCCAAAAGAGGCAGAAGCCTTACCAAGGACCTAGCGTGTCTGTGAAGTGTCGTATTAGATAAGCCATCTCATGATCCCGCTCATGTGTTATTTGAGCGCTGGTCTTGAGTTGTGACTCGGGCGCCCACACATTGCTGTCTTCTGCGGAGAAGAGGCCAGTAGAGCCCAAGCCAGTGGATAATGGTGTTGCAGAGGCGGAGTTGTTCAGAAGTATGTCACTTTGGTCGACCTCATCCACAATCTCCGGTATGTTTGGGATAAAGCCGCAGGTGTTGCCTGCCTCGGAGTAATACAAGTCAGGCTGTAAGTCGAAAAACTGCGGATCGAAGGTTTGGTTCTTCCACACCTCATCAAGCATCGGATCGGTATCGGACAAGGGTAGTTGCAGAGGCGGATCTGCGAGCAAAAGGGCCTGCGTTGCTGGATCAATCGACGGTGGAGCCGTTTGTAAGAAGGCATCATCTTGAATGGTGGGTTTCTGGTCGAGAGCAAGCGGAGAATGGTGAAAGGTGTTGAATGCATTCGGAGGAAGCAGGTTGGGGGCCTGAGGCAGAGTCGGTGCTCCAGTAGACGCCGTAGATGCTTGTGGCAGAGCGGGACTAGTAGAAGTTCCAGCAACGGAACCCGTGTCGCGGATCGGCACCAAACCGTTCAGTGATCCATCTCCACCGCCATGGGGATATCCGCTGTGGGGATATGGACGATCCGAACTCGCGTTGCTAAAGATGCCCTGTTCGCTACCATGTGGCGCTTCGGCAGAAGACTGATACTTCTTTCGCAGACCAACACCTTCGTCGACGAACTTTCGTTTCTTGTCATAGCCAGGACATGGTTTGCCCAGCTTCTCGCAGCGCAAGCATGAAGGCTGACGTTTGTCGCACTGGATACAGCATAAGCAATGCTGGCGATATGCCCCGGCAAGTGCTGCTCACCTTGACCCGTCGCTCTCTGCACCTGTCGCAAGCCCTTTCAGAAGTGGAAGTGGTCGTGGTGGTGGCGGTGGTGGCAGAGGCAGAGGTATTCGAAGTTGCCGGCGTCGAGGATGTTTCCTGGGCCATGGAAAGTGTCATCCAGCAGCAAGTCAGGCGATGGTGAAGAGTATGGCCACACCGGTCCAGCCGGAAGGATATCTGATCGGAACCGGCTCGGGATGAGAGTTAATGGGCGTGGTAAGGCGTGCTGGAATAGGAGAGGGAGGTGAGCGTTGATCGAGTGAGGATAATCGGGGCCGCAGTACGTGATGTACGGCGGACCATATCGTGTGATATCGTATCCTGAAATCCGCGCCCTCCTAAACCTCGGAACAGTCTCGACTTCGATTCTCGCTGACGCTTCGGATATCGACGATACCTCCCTTTTCTTTCTCAATATCAGCCCAGCATCGACAGCGGAGATCAAGGTTCGGGTATTTCTCCAACACCCAGCATGCGATCGAGAACTTGTCATCCCGACAACCATGAAAATACAACGGGTATGTAAGCAAGCTGCACCGATCAGGCCATGCGCTGATTAACGCTGCAAGATCTTCATCTATCCCGTCAAGTCGCTGCGACCCGTCGAGGTCAAGGCGGCAGAGATCACTAACGAAGGTCTGCGATTTGACCGCCAATATGTCCTGGTCAAGCCGCCTTCTGCTGAGACGGAGGGCTTCGCCGAACACATCACGATCAAGAACCACTTTGAGCTCGGCCTATTCCATACAGACATCGACAGGACGTGGTCCAAATTGACCATCACTCATGCGACATCAGAGGAGAACGGCTCCGTCACTCTGCCACTAAGCCCTTCGCCGGTCAGCTTGATGAATGCGAAAGTTTTCCACGTTAGCATCTTCGGGACGAAAGCTACCGGTATAGATATGGGAGAAGATGTGACCAAGTACTTCTCCTTCCATCTTGGCAAAGAAGTGCACTTGCTGTACATCGGTGGCAGTGGCCAAAGAGAGATCCCAGGAGCCGTCTATCTCCCAAAGCACAAGATCAGAGCTTTGTCCATCGCAGTAAACGACAAGCTGCAACCTCAGCGATTACGCTTCGCTGATGCGGCGCCTCTGCTGGTCACTTCAACTGCTTCAGAAGAAGATGCGCGGCGAAGACTTCCGCCTTCAGTCCGCGGAGAGGACGTCATTGTCCGATTCCGACCAAACATACACGTTGACGTTGGCGACGAGCAGAAGCCATACGAGGAAGACAACTGGAACATGTTGACTGTGAGGTCCAGAGCTGATCCAGCACAAGAAGTCTCGATTCGATGTCTCTTCCGAACAACACGATGTCTGAGCTTGAACGCGGACCTCGCGAAGGGCACGATGATTACGACTAACCGTCAACTATACGGTCTGCTTGCGAAAGACCGCAGAGTCAATCCCGCTCATCCCCGTATGTCTCCATAGTCAACGGTCGCGTATGCTCTATGCTTACAATACTTGTAGATAAGCCTGTGTTTGGGCAGTACGCATGCGCCGGTCCGAGTGGAGCCGTCCTTAGAGTTGGCGACGAAGTTGAGATCACAGAGTCAACTAGTCGACCATCTACTCCAGGAAACCCTGGTTCTCTATCACCGGCGATCACTCCTATCATTGAGAGCGACGACTATGAGAAGTCGGCAGCACCTTTGGCGACGTGAAACGCCCATCCATAACAGTAGTTTTCGGCTTACGAATGATGACGATATCCCAGGAAGAAAAGTTTCCACAGTGTACAGGAGTCCTTCCAAGATTTTGGTAACCACGGCGGGAGCTCATAAGCTGTCTGTACGACGGCAAGTCATACCAACCACTTCTCAACAATCATCGCACGACGGAAGGACTGTAGCTCTTACGGTTTCACAACAGCACGGCCATGCACAAATGCAACCGGCACACGTCAGCACAGCATTTTGGCCAGAGCCACGCACCGCGCTGCCGTAGCTCGCTGCTTGGCTGCCGAATGCGGTAACATATAGCGACGACATCGGACTTTCACCATCTCAGAATCATCACCTGCGACAGCGACGTCGGTCCCGGCTTCGGAAACTCCAGCAGAGTATGGTTCGATTTCGACGACTCCATGATTGTGAATGTCCGGAAACGACAGGTAGTGACATCCACGTGCGATGCACACGGGAACAAAGTTTTTTGCAACTCTTGGATGGACAAACCCCCAGCAGCAACACACCACAGAGACGCGCATCAGACCATTGGACGACGGAGAACGGACGCTAGCTTTTGTCATCATGCTGCTGCTACAATTGCACGGGTACTTATCAGTGACCCTTGTCTAATGGCTCAAAGCAGTTGCTTTATCAGACTACAGGTCCACGACGGCACTGAGATATTACATCGCGCACATGGCCATTTCTTGCTGATTTCGGCAGCTTGTCTGTGTTATGACAGTATGCGAGAGGGTTTCCTTGATTGAGGCTCAAGATTTAGTGATAGCACGACTGGCAGGTTTAGGGCGTGACAGGCCCTTTTGATGCATTGCTTTCGTCTTTGCAGATGATTTTGCTCGGCTTTCCTCTCGGACCATTATCTTCTCCTTGATCATCATCGTTGTTGTCATTATCATCATCCTCCTCCTCTCCATCCGCCGCCACCAAACATCGTCATATCCCTCCCCTCTCGCCGCCCCATTCTCAGCGACGACCCATCCACGCGCACTCCAACACATCATCGAGCTACCAGGAAAGAAATCGCCGTGCCAATCGTCGTCCGCCAACGATAGCAAGCGCACAAGGCAACGTCTGTCGTCCATAAGAGTAAACCTTTGCAGTGAAGTGAATGGATACGTTCTTCATAGTAGAGGATTGTTCGCACGGTGTAGTTTAGCCCCGCATATGACTGCGAAGGAGGAGAGGCGCTATGGGGGTGATGTCGCTGGGCCAGCAAGCGGTTCGGAGAATGCGTATGAGAGTGGGTGTTGGGGATGAGCGGCAGGGTTGCTGGGAGAGAAATGAAGGCATGGTCTGTTTTTCTTCCTTCTCAAATCATGTAGACTTTGCTAGACACCATCAAGCCAGAAAAGGTAAAGCACAGAGGAGGGTTGAAGTTTTGAGTTGAAGTTTTATTCATTGAGAAGACAAAGAAATGTTTTCCCATGTTCTGGCATTTCATTCCGGATGCTGATACGCTACAACAGCTACGGATGAATCTAGTTCTAATACTATGTAGGACACGAAGCAGCAGACTTCGCCCTTGCCATCTCCAGACCATTGGGCCGTAAAAAGCAGACAACTGCAACTGCCAACCCATTTCCCAACTCTCGTACCGTGAAGATGATTCTCAAGCGCGGACGAGAATCTTCATGGCCTCGGTCAACCTGGCCATCTCTTTCTTCAGCTCTCCTCTGAGCCGCTTCATGGCAGGTGCCTCGCCGGCAATCTCCTCCAATTGCTCCGGCGACAGCTCGGCGACGAAATTGGGCGAGAAGAGGGCCAGTGGACCCCTGTCAGGGCTGAGGAGGAAGTGAATGACGGCCTGCTTGCAGACGTTGTCGACGAAAGTCTTGAGGCTGACCTTGTAGTATGATTGGAGAATGTCGTGGATCTCGAGGATGACGTGGTCGTCATTGCTCATGTTGTGAGATGCGATGGCGGTTTCTACGGGCACCATCTTTCTAACGCCATTGGGATGGTCGTCCACGTCGATGGCCTTCTTCTCCAGTCCCGCAATAGCTTTTCCGTGTCGACTAAGAGGGAGTCAGCAGCTAATCGAAGGTTAACATCTTGTGGATCAAAACCCTTACCTCTTCTGAAGGTTGTCATTGAAGTAATGATTGAGCGTCATTGGCGTATCCCCATTCTCCACCTCAACTAGGAACTTCGCGCTGTCGAGTGCTTTCTGGTATCGCTGAACAAGGTTGTCGAAGAGAGTGTTAAGCAGGGCGCGGCAGATCTCACCATCGGCACAGATGGAGGTCAGGGCAGTATGGACGAATTTGTGTACCAGAACGACAACATCGCTCACGAAGCCAGTGCTGATGTCCTCCCACTTGGAAGACTGCTTCTTCATGACTGTCGCGAGAATAGAAGCGTTGAAGGTGCCCAGTTCAAAGCCACGATTGCTCTCAAATACGTCCCGGAGCCAGCGCTTGATCCCCCCAGCCTTGGGATAGGACAGAGTCATGTCAAGGCACTGGATGTTTGGAAGCTCTTCGAGGTCCTCTTGCTTTCGGACGCTGTACTCTTTCTGCTCAGCTGCGTCGAGCACGGCGGAGCCTTGCTCCTCTTGATCCTTTCCGAGAAACGAGTACATGTGGCCATAAGTCCACATGTCGTCGGAGAACGTCTTCATTCGGGCCATTACCGCAGGAGAGACTCGCAACTCAGGCTCTGAATCGAAGAGACTGTCGGCGCCATGGTTGGCTTTGAGAGCGAAAGCGACAAGACGCTGGAACCGGGTGGCGAGTTGCGTGAGGTACGTCCTCTGCTCCGTGAGGCCGCTACGCTCAGGACCCAAGTCGTTCAGCTTCTTCTGACAGCTGTCCAGTGTACCCTTGTCTCGAGCTTCACCTTTGGAAATTCTCGCTTCACGAGAGAAGAGAGCACTTCATTCAGGCGACCTTTGAGGGCATCAATACCCACTTTGTCCTTGTCGATAGTGTCCCATGGCTTCTGAGAGCGAAAGAAGTCTGCCTCCATAGAGTCGCGGTCCAGATCCGTATTCGCTAGGTCTAGTTGACCTGTCGCGACATAGAAATTAGCTATCATCTCGAAGCCTTTGGAATACAACGGAGGGCAAGAAGTCGGACTGGTGGCTCGGAATAGTGATTGCAATGGGGATGATATTACCTGGGTTGCGAATCATGTGCCAGCCGAGCTTCATAGAACGAGCACGGCCCTCAAGAAGCTCAATCACCTTAGGCTCTGCGCCCTTGTCGACCAAATCTGGCTTGGTGAGTACACCTAGAGTGCGATCTTGTTGAGGGTCCGCCTCGCCTGCAAGCTCGAGAATTTCCTGAGTAGCGACATCGACGTTTGCCGGGATGACAGCCAGTATGACAGAGCGAGGGTTGTCCATGTAGCTCTTGACCATATTGCGCACCAGTTGAATATCGGCTTTGGTGGTGAGGCCTTCTGTCGTGCTCTTGAATATGCCCGGGATATCGATGACACTCAGGTGCTCTTGGTCAGGGCCGCAGATCTGCCATGAAAATGTCAGCGAACGCGTTCCAGCAGAATGGCGTAGGATATAGAGCTAGGAGGTAGCGTAGTGGCTCAGAATTGTGCCATGCGTTCGAGATGGGTCTTTCATACCTCAAGGCGCAGAACATCGTTCGAGAAGGTGGGCTTGCGAGCTCCTGTGTCGTCCACCCCACCAGACAATCCCATCACTTCGTGAACCTCTCTCATAATGTCGACAAATGCCTGAGAATCCAGCGATGGCACCGACTTAGCCCAAGCGCGAAGCGAGCTGATGTGTTCCTGAGGAGCATTTTGCTCTGGCATGATCGACACAAAGATTCCACTCTGGGCTGCACGGCGGAAGACGATCTGAGTAGCAAACCGAGTGCAGAGACCACTGTCGCGGGGGAGAGGCTTCTTGATCAAGCCTTCGAGAACACTACTCTTGCCGCAGGATTCGTCGCCGACCACAACAATCTGAGGTAGATCGACGTACTCTCCAACACCGCATGCAAAAAGCTTGTCGATTTTCTCGAGCATGAGAGGAGATGCGAGGCCGGCCATGTTGGGCTGCTTGAGATCGATGAGTCTTGTGACGCCCCGGCCAGGAATAAAGGTATATACTCACAGAGGGGACTCCAGTGCCTTCGTCGCTGTTGTTTGTGGGATAGAAGAAGTTTCAGTCCTGAAGCAGATAGGCGAAGGTAGACGGTGCATGACAAAGCCGCCTCCAACTGGCGCCATGTCTGCGGCGGCAGCATGTGTTTGTAGACTGAACGGGCCGCGCCCTGCGCCCTGCGCGCAAACATCTACCCCCTCGCGTAGCTGCGAAGCCCGTGCTTCCGCTCCTAATGACAAGACTTCCACCCATTGCATACGAGATAAGATCTGGAAGAGGGACCGTTGTTCTTTGGAATTCAAGGGCACCCCGAAGATCGGCCATTGCGCAAGGTGCATCCTGGATGGTCGCCATTCTAATAATCTCCCATGCATACCAGTATCCATGCGGTGCAGGCTCTGTTAGTCTTGGAAAGCATTGCCTACATCAGTCCAAGTCACGGTCGAAAACGCTCTGTGCTTTGAGCCACCCCCATGGCGCCGGATACCAGCCGGCCTGATGCCAGTCAATGATCGCTTTGACCTCGCGGGACCTTGCCCAGCTTGAGAAAGGAGTATGCTGCTCGGATGCAGATCGAAGTGTGTGAACACCACTATTCCACCGTCTGCCAGGCCGGACAGCTATGGGTATATATATCTTGCATCTCTGGTGTCTCTGTCCTTCGTAGCGTGAACTTGACGAACCGATTGTGGAATTTGATCAAGTTCTCAAAGAGTCCAGCTGGATATGAGCCTCCATCATAGAACATAATGTTTCGGAGAGGTTGACCACCGATTCGAAGGAGCTTCGTGCTGTGGTCGGGTTTGTATGCATGCCAATAGTCAATATGGAGGATATGTTGCTAAAGAACCCATTCCATCACTGAAGCGAGACTGATCGATACGCCTCCAGAAACGGATGATACGACGGAAGTTGCTCGCCGATTGCATGACGATCGGCTTGGTAAGATTTTCTTCCAGAGCAGCTGCAGGCACAAGTTCCACGTAGACCAACATCTGATCCTCGTCTTTTCTCCATCCATAGATTTTGTGGGACTGGCATTTGGTGTGGTAGATGCTTTCACAAGAACCATAGCAACTGGCCATCAGCAATCGTGATGTCTTCGCCCATTGCACAATGAGGTCAGACATGTGAAATCGCACCGGCCTGGGCGGAACGTGGCGCTGACGTCGATTCCATCTTTTCGTGCACGAGCGCGTCCATCTTGTGGTGTCGGAAGTACAATTCCTGGATGACCACAGTCGCAGTTGTCGCCCGAGGGCAATTCCTCCGTTGACACGTCGAGAGATGCCAGGGACGTTGCGAACTCCTGCTCATACGCGGCGTATCTTCTTTCAAGGCCGCGTCAGCTGATACATGCGGTACAGGTAGAGGACAGGATATGGATGAGGGACTTGCAAGACCAGATGTTCCTGTTGTACGTCATTAGGTAAGGTACACGCGCACGCGTGTTCGGAGCAGGTGCCTGGTCTTGGCTGCCGAAGCCGAAGCCGAAGCCACTACGCCGAATGAGGAAGGAACGCATCGTGTATTGGGAAGGGAAGAGGGACCTGAGGCATAGTATTGAGAGCATGGCCCGAGCGATTCCTCATTTTACCACCGTCTTGTGCGGTGCACGGAGAGTACGTCCACAGCATGCACAGGACTTCCACTCTGTGCCTCGCCGTAGGTAGCTGTTGTTGAATCTAGCATGCGATGGTCTGACAGAGCCTCCACCGCGAGATACTACGCTTCAATGTTTGGCAATGGCGTATCCGCGGATGATCTCAGCTTGAGAGCATTCAGCCTATCGCCGGAGACATGTATTCGTCTTCCAATGTTGGATTCTTCGTGTCGACGAGTGACGGGATGTAGTCCAAAGGGTTGGGAATGAAGAAGGCCAGTAGGCGGCAAACAGCGGGCTTGGCGGGACCAGGACGTGGAGAGTGGTAGCTGGCGTTGACGAGATTGTTGACTGTTCACCCACGGCGCCTCTGGTCGGTGCAGAAGGTGTATGGTAGAGCAATCCGTGGTGGGAGGTAAGTGGTGTGGTGGGGGAGGATTGATTGCAATTTGGAGGTAGTGCGCCGTCCTGCATGGAGGATGAAGTCGGATCCGTCGTGCTCCAAACGTTTCAGGGTCTGACATGACGACGGGATGCAAGGCACAGGCACACCTCACGATGGTTCGCAGGGACGCCAAGCACAAACTCAGAGGGTGCACAGCTGTTTCCGGCTCGACCTCACTCCTCTGCTCTTGCTCCTCTACACCTCACCGTCCCTGACTCGCCGCCTGTCAATCATCTGCCTTATTACGTTGCTCTTCCCACGCCGCGGCTCACCGGCGCCCACGACATCTCCACTCGCGATGGAAGACCGGTTCGGATGCAGTGACGATGATGATGATGGCAGGCGCGTGTCTAGTCATGGGCGTGAGGGGCGGCGGCGTGGCAGACGATAGTATCTCCCATGAGTCGGCCGCTTGCTCTTCTTGCTTGCAGTTGCGTTGCAGTCGAATGATGCTGTCCTTTGCAGTCAGCCGGCGCTCTCGCACGCACGCACGCACGCACGCACGCACGCAAGCACGGGAGAAGCGGTGGGCGGACGGCGGTGGACGGTGCGCGCGGGTGCAGGGGAGAATCTTCGGCCGTTGTACAGTAATTCGCAACTGTCCAAAATTGATGACCGGGGCGTCAAAAGGCCCATGTTTGGTCAACACGCCTTCACCTCCTCTTCGCCTGCTGCAGCGCCTCACTATACTGATTCATTCACAACCACCTACATCACTGATCATCGCCTGCGCCAACCTACAGACTACTTCACTGACCTCATCCTCTATCTGCTGGGGCAGTACACCTATACACTGACACTCCCATCTGCCGAGAAGAACAGACTTCCGACACTACCGTGATAGCGTCGCGAACGGACGACAAGACTCCACTAACCCTCCCTTCCTGGTCTGCTCCTCCTTTCGCAGCGATACCATCGACGCCCACGCAGGACGGCAAAAAGCACTCCATCATCGAGAAACTCAAAATGGGCGGCGTCCTTAGTAGCGGTGTTCCCAAGGAGAAGTATGAGGCGGCGGAGAAGGAGCTGAGAGACAGAGATGCGGCCATCGCGAGCAAGACCCAGGAGCTCGCCGACAAGCAGAAGGAACTTGCTGAGACCAGAGACCAAGCTTCCAAGGCTCAAAAGGACGTCGACGAGCTTGCCAAGAAAGTGCAGGAGCTGGAGAGCCAACAAGCGCAACTACAGAAGGAGAGAGATGATGCTGCTCAGAAGTTGCAACAGGCGGCACTGGATGGCGAACAACAGCGAAAAGCGCTCGAGCGCGTCTCTCAATCCGTCACACAGGAGCGTGATCAGGCCCGAGCTCAATTGAGGGATGCACAGGACCAGCTGGCTGGCATCCAGACCAACACTCAGAAGCTCGAGGACGAGCTGGAGGCGACCAAGCAACAGCTCGCCAACGCTCAAAAAGCGCGGGAGGACCTGGAGAGGTCTCTCAAGGAGGAGTTGGAGACTGCCCAGAAGCAACTCGGAGAGTGGGACACCAAATACAAGACGGTGCAAGACGAGCGCTCCGAGCTTCAGGAGGAATTGGGCAAGTCCAAGCAGGAAGCTGAGTCTGCTCGCACTGCAGCTCAAGACGCCGACAGCAAGCTTCAGGCTGCCCACACGGAGCTTGACGAGTCGCGGCAGAGCCTTACAGCCCTGCTGCAAGACCACGAGAACCTGAAGAAGGACTCTGCAGAAAAGATTGAGACTGCTCAAGCAGAGCTTGCCACTACTCAGAGCAAGGTTCAGGAGCTCGAGGCCGCTCGTGAGGAGCTGACCAAGGCGTCTGCCGAGGGTCGTGTCGTACTGTCCCAGCTCGAGGAGACCAAGTCAAAGCTCGCTACTCTTGAGAAGGAGCATGACGACCTCAAGTCCAGCACCGATGCCATCATCTCAAAATCCCAGTCGGATCTCGACAAGGCACGCCAAGACCACGCGGCGCTCCAAGTCTCGCATAACAAGCTTTTCGAGGAGCTGTCCGTGTTTAAGAAGCATGCCGCAGAGTCCGACGAGAAGATCAGATCGCTTGAGACGGCTCACGCTAAAGAGCTCGAAGAGGTGAAGAACCAGGCGACCGGCTCTGATGACAAGATCAAGTCGCTCGAGACTGCGCACGCCGAGGAGATCGAGAAGCAAACCGCTGCGTCGGAAGAGAAGATCAAATCACTTGAGGCTGCTTACGCTAAGGAGCTTGAAGAGGCGAAGAACCTAGCGACCGGCTCCGATGACAAGATCAAGTCGCTCGAGACTGCGCACGCCGAGGAGATTGAGAAACACGCTGCTGCGTCGGAAGAGAAGATCAAGTCACTCGAGGCTGCTCACGCGAAAGAGATTGAAGATGCAAAGAAGCAAGCGGCCGCATCTGAGGAGGAGATCAAGTCTCTCGAGACTGCGCATGCCGAGGAGATCAAGAAGCAAACCGCTGAGTCGGCAGACAAGCTCAAGTCACTTGAGGCTGCGCATGCCGAAGAAGTCGAGAAGCTCCGAGCCAACACTGCCCAGCTCGAGGAAGAGGCAACAAATGCAAAGGAGAGTGCAGAACAGGCGGAAGCTGTAAGTCATGGACTAACCACTTCTCTTCTTGAACCATTGCTAATCATTCCTCAGGCCAAGTCGGAACTGCAGAGCAAGCTCGACAAGATCACCTCCGACCTTGCGAGCGCCCGAGAGGAGAAGGAAGCAGCCCTGCAGAAGGCGGCCAACTTCGACGAGACCACCAAGAAGCTCGAAGCAGCACAGCAAGAACTTGATAAGGTCAACAAGAAGCTCGACGAGCTGGCCAACGTCGGCGCCGCTCCCACGGAGGCTCTCGCCGTCACCGAAGAGAAGGCACCCGCGGAGGTCGCTGCCGCCGCATAGAATGGGGTCGCACATCACCCTGGGATATGAGAGAGAAGAAAAAAAATCCAGAGGAAGTGGAGGTTTTACGAAAAATTCCTGCTACGCGCGAATATACCCCAGAGACACAACTGCATGCATGCTCGCGTTTCCACGCAAAAGGGGTTTCCCACCCCCATGAACTGTAGCGTTCTTGCTCTCTATTCTCTGTCTGCTCCCTAATGTATTCAATAGAGGAATCGAATCTAAACGGCTGTCATCAATCTTCACGGATCGTTTTTCCTTCCATTCGCCTACCGCTCGTCCCTGTGTGCAATGTTTGTTCGCTTCCAGTATGCACTATTGTCAGGCAATTCCATCGACTACAGCCGTTCGACCAGTGTGCACTGCACTGCATTTCGGAGCCGTAGTGAAGGTTGCAGGGGGGCAGTGCAGTATGAATAGAAAAAAAAACTCCCTCCTGCCGTCCTCCACAGCGCCTCTATCGCACAGACACTTCGCTCAACCAAAACAACCTAACCTTCGAAGCATCTCAAGAAATGGAATACGACAACCCACCCCCACCAGCCGAAGGCGAAATCCCAGCCCCAGCCCCAGCACTACCAGCAGACGGAGCTGGAGAAGGCGAACTCCCCTGGCCCCCAAGCGCCGCCCAACTCATCACAGCCCCCCAACTCTCACAACTCCAAATCCAAGACCTCCTGCTGCATTCCACCCCAGCAGACCGGTCGGCCCATCGCGTCCGCATCATGGCCACGTCTCTGCTCGTGCTGGGCACGGCGTCGTACCTGTGCGGCGGCCCGGCGCCGGATTCGCGCGCGGAGTGGTTGGCGGGGAGGATTCAGATGGAATGTGGGCAAGGGGGGGCGCAGGAGGAGGAAGATGAGTTTTTGGTGAGGGAGTTGGGGGATTGTTTGGTTTGGATGGGGAGGTTGAGGGGGGTTTTGGGGGGTGGTGGGCGAGGAGGTGGTGGGATGGGGATGCTGGGTGGCGCGGGTGGATTTCTCGGCGGAGGAGGGTTCGGTGGCGGCGGCGGTCGCGGTGGAGGGGGTTACATGGATTGGAGACCCTCCTAGAGAGCTAAAGACGTTGATGCTGGTGTTTGATGTCATTTTTCTACCAGCCAGTTGAATTTTAGTATCGGCTCATTGTGGCTCCTCATGTCAACAAGTGGTGCATCGTTCCAGTGTAGAAGAATCAAGAGTCTTAAATTCAAGGTATGAACCTGGTGAACAATGCTTTGTGGGGGTATCGAGTATCGTCAAATTCATTGAAATGAAAGCATGTGCGTCGTGATCGTCCCGTTTCCATCCCCTGACAACCACCCTCTCCTCCATTCCGTCTTGAAAGAATCACCTCGCATTCGGGTAGCCCCACTCGATGTGATCAAGATCTCTTAGATCCTTCCCGTCAGGTCGCTTCCTACAATCTAGGAGCGGGATCTGGCCTTCCTCGATGCGCTCGAGCCTAAACTGCTCGTATTTTCCTCCTTTGGCGTTACGTGGTGTCCTCACGCCAACAACGTTGTATAGTCCATCATATCGTAGACCTCTGGAGGGCGCCCAGCGACTCGTACCGCTGTGAGATCGAAGCACGCGAACAGGATTCCCTCTCTCGATTGAAGCGTGCAAACTCCTCGTTCCAATGGTAGCCTCGGCAGGTCGTCTCGGGTCCGTATTCTCATGACTCCCAGAGCCTGAGTAGTATAGCGTATCGCCGTTGTCAGTGTCCAAATCGTCGTACTGTCCAGCTACAACGATGGAATAGGCTCCCTGATCGGGGTCACCGACGATACCTGCTTGTGACGAGCCGTGTGCGCCGTGAAAAAGAGCGCAAAGTTGGAGAGGAAACCATCGCCCAACTTCAAGACCGTTATGCCCGTACACTTTGGCATCGCGCTTCTCATGCATGTAGTCGGGGTTGAGCACTTTGCTCTTCTTGCCTCCGTTCCTTTTCAGGGCTATGCCATGCATGATGCCATCGACTCCCCATATGGAATGATTAGTGGGTGGCCGCTTAATGTTATCGGGAGTTTCGTTGACCCTTGGTTTTCTTGCTAGGCGGCTTTCCTCTGGCTCTCGATCGCTTTCATCTCTTTTCCTGGTCTTTCCATTTTCGGGTCCGCTTTGCGAGCTGTGCCCACCATTGCACCGAGGTGATCCGACTGGAGGTTGTGTACGCGCGGTGCCGCCCTGATTGCTCGCCTCCCACTTGTCATGCAACTTCTTTGCCTTTTTCATATGCTCCGGTGCAAAATGAACTGAGTTTGGTCCAGAAAAGATGAGCTTCAAGCCCTCATCGATCTTGCTTCTCTCTATGAGGGTATGGGTCATTTCGGCGTCAGTATCCAGCCACGCGAGGAGAGCGTCTAAGCGAGCGACTAGGGACTTGATGGGTTCTTCGGATGGATCTGGCACCCCTTTGGCCTTTGAGCTTTTCACGGCAAGCATCTGCACGACTTGGACGCGTTCTTGGGTCAGAAAGCTGACACGGCCCTCCAAGTCCGTGGGAAATTTTGAACCCATCTTGGTGACAGGCTTGATCAAGTGTAACGGCTGAAGTCGGCTTTAGACTGCTGCTCCGTAAAGTATCATCCGTTGAAGTCGAGGGTCCCTTCTTGACGTTTCCAAGCTCTCGAGATCGTGTTGACATGTGATGATAGTGTCGCAGCCACTACGGAGAGGAATCTGCCGTATCGGAATCGTCGCTAGAATACCGTTGCAATGATTGGCTCAAGAATAATAGCAATGTGTGTGGAAGTTGTGGTGGAATCGAAAAGCAGATGTCGTTGACTCGAGGTAAGGCAAGGCGATGACGCTAACCTTGATTAGGTATAGGTATCGCGTCCCGAATTCGGTAGCGACGATGTCCTCGGTTGCTCTTTCTCACTTCCTCTTCCTCACTTCCAATTTCAGCGGATGTAGATTCCCTCATATGTGCACATGTTCAGCAGATTCACGAGTTGTACCTACTTTGGCCCGACAACAGGAGACCAGCTCTGGCCAATAGCAGCGTCAATGCAATGAGATGCATGGTTGCAACACCGCAAATTCACTCATGGAGTATTACGGATACCCAACTTTGGAAGCAAGGATCTGAAATTTGCATGCACAAGTTTGTATCCCATGCAATTCATATGCTTTTGATTTCATGATCTCATATCTATGTATCCCTCGAGGAGACGATCATGTGGGCCTCGCCCGCGACCGAAGTAATCCACGTCGAGCCGCTTTCATGCATCGAATGGTGCTGGTGATTTACCACTGACCGAAGTGGTCCTCCAGCTCACGGTTGGGGCGGTGCTGGTCGGGGTCGAACTGGTCATTGCCGCCGTACTGCTGGTCGTAGAGCTGCTCGGCGTTGTCACGAGCCTGACGCTTGGCCTTCTCGCGGTCGATGTAGTCGGCACCCTTGGTCTCGGCGAGCTTGTCGACCTCAGCACCAGCGAAACCGGCGATGAGCTCTTTGGCGAACTGGTGGGAGACTGGCTTGCCTATTGTGTGAAGAGACAGGTCAGGTTTCTGTTGGTACGGTGGGACATATGGTGTTGCTGCGTACCCTCCTTACGCTGGTGGTCCTCGAACATCTTCATGGCGGCGAAAGATGCGCCACCGGCGAGCACCTCATGGCTGAGCTCGGCCTTGTTGCCATCGTCAGACCCGTAAGACTGCTGGTATTGGTCACGGGCCTCGCCTGCGTAGAGTAGAGCCTGTCAGCATTGCATTGGTGGCAGTCCGGTAGAGTGACTCTGCCATACCGAATCCGAACATCTTGGTAGAGTTGTGAAGAAGTGTTTGTGTGGATGGTAGTGTGTAGTGAAGGTAGTGGGTTCTGGTGGTTGTTTGAGTGGAAGATGGGTAGAGAGAAGGGTGGAGTGTCCCAGAGACAATATATACCGCTCGACGAGCTCGAGCTCTGGACCCCTCCATCATCGCGCCTGCTCAGCCTTCCACTTCGCGTGGCCCCGCCAACTCAGCAGCTGTGCAGCGCCCACCTGAGGCCTGCAGGACGCTTTGCCATTGCATCACAAGCGCGGCCTGAAACGCAGGAGTCCTTGCTAGCGACGAGCTATTGGTCAGGAGCCGAACACGCCGAAGTCACCGCCGTCATGCTCGCGCGCGGTATGGCTCATCGGGCGACAGCAAGCTCTTCCCCGTGTGTGATGGAATGGTTTGGGTCGTGTCAGGACCAGAAGAATCAAACATCACACATGCACAGCACAGCACAGTGCAGCATGTTTGACGTCGGCCGACGATCAGCGTTGATATGTGATAGAGCTGACGTGACGAATCGATCGTCCACAGGTCATCAATGCCAGATCATCAAACAAGTCAAGCACCTGCATGCAGTCTTGGCAAGAAGCTTTTCTTTTCACCCGTGCAAACTCAGCCACAGTCTTCGGCAGCCTGGAGGGGCATGGTGGCTGTGCCGCATGCCGGAACACATTGTGCATGCCACAATCCTCGTCATGATACGCCGCCATCCAAGCCATCGTTTCCATCCACACATCGGCGACGACGAACATCAACGGCCTCAGAGCCATTCGCACCGCTCTGTTAGATCCGCATTAATCGCGAAGCTCAGCCCAGCTCAGCTCGAGGCCTCCTCGTACCTGCAGCAAATCGAAGAGAAGCTCTAAACGGACCGTCAGGATGCCGACCATACCAAAGAGGGAGGACTTTCCGGCGAACCTGAAGCTCGATCTTGTGCCACGTAAGTTCTCGACAATGGCAAGCAACAGCACGCTGGAGAGTAGCGGATCAGCTGCTTTTGCCCGTCGGGATCATCTTCCATCGCCACAAGCTGCTGTGACCTCTGTAGATCCTTGCTTGTGCAAAGACAAGTACTGAGAACGAGTATAGCACCAAAGGGAGACGAGGCCACCAACATCCTCGTGCTCCTGCACGGCCTCGGCGACCATCATGCCTCCTTCGCTGTCCTCGGCGGCCAAATGAACCTTCCCGAAACCGCGTGCATTTCCATCTCAGGACCTTCGGGCCTGTTAGACCTCGGCGGTTTCCACTGGGGCGATGACATTATCTTCGATTCCACAAGCGGAGGACTCGACGCCGATTCCGGCTTCAAGCAAGCGACCGAAATGCTGCAACACGTCGTCAAGAACGTCCTCGTCGACAAGTGCAACTACAGCCTCCGCGACATCATCTTCTTCGGGTTTGGACAAGGCGGTATGGCCGCTCTGAATCTGGCCGTTGCTCTTGAACCCGACGAGCTGGGGGGAATCGTCAGCATCGGCGCCGGCCTGCCCAGTGAAGCTCCAGCGACTCTGGATCCGAAGTCCAAGACTCCAGTGCTGGTTTGTGCGGGTTCAGATCAGTCCTCGGTGACTTCGGCTTCCGAGGAGAAGCTCAAGCGTGTGTTTGAGTCTGTCGAGATCAAGCGGTACCGCAAGCCCGGAGACAGCATGCCCAGTAACCGTGACGAGATGATGCCGATCATGCAGTTCTTCTCGCGGAGAATGAAGAGCACCAAGGGAGTTCCAAAGGGCAGTGTTGAGATTGGCTGAGCGGACAGACCGACGTTGCTCGCAGTCTATATTGCTCCTGCGTCAATGTGAGGCTGTATGAAAACAATCTCAGCGTTCGCTGCCGTGGAGCGTGTATCATGTGCTGCGCCGAAGGCGTTGACGAAAAGACGACTTCAGGAGAAGGAGAGGAGAGAGATCGGATACCCTTGGAACGGGAGGGTAGTCGCGAGTGAGCTTCTTGCTCTAAAAATACCAACGCAGTAGGCACGTCAACGGCAAAGAGACGAAAAAGATATCATGAGGAATGGATGGCGTTGAAGCTCCTTGGATACTCTTCTCATTGTCCAAGCCTCTATCTACAAACTGTTGGTCTTTCCCATCGTCCATCATCGACGTCCGCCATGCTGGTACACACACCCAATGCATCTGGCCACAAGAGACATGCGGCTGACCAGTCCAGCTGTCCCTCCAAAAATGCCTGGCTCATGCAGCGATCTTTGTACAGAGAATCGTAGTCAAGCAAAACCCACCACACACCAACGCTTCGTAACTTACACTTGAACTCACTAGGCCATCGGCCAGCGGAACTTCAAGCCCTCAGTCCACCTTCCGTATAGCACGTCGGCGAGGAGACCAGCATGTTCCATCCCTGGCTCGACTCTCCCACCCGGCATCTTCTCTTCCAGCCGCGCTTTCTCCTCCAGAGCAGCCTTCTCCCTTTCGGCTTGTAGCTGTTGGCTCGACCGCATCTTCTTGAGTTGCGGATTCTGTGGGCTCAACACGAGCTTGCCAGGACTGAGATTCTCGCGCTTGCTCGGCGATCGTAGCGAGCCAGTAGACTCGCGGGCATAGACAGACTTTGAAGGTGAAGACCGAGGTGTCATGTCTCGGGCGCCGACTTCGCTTTCGGAAACAAGGGGAGCCTTCTTCGATGGTGACAGGCGCAGGGATGCCAGTTGAGCATTGGCAACGCGCTGAGGCATCAGCATGCTGGCGAGTTTGGGATCTGCCTGGACTCGGTCAATGATGCTCTTTAGTAGCAACAGCTCGCCCTCAGGATCGACTTCATCCAGCTTCGACCAAGCCTCCGCAACACCACTGAGCGCTTTAGAAGAGGAGCGATCCGCGGTAGCAGCGTAGCATTCTTGCAAAGCCGGATCGATACACTTCGCGAACGCACGTCTCCCGAATACTGCTTCCTTTGTGGCGGGCACTGGCTGTTGAGAGCTTGACTCGGCAGGTGGAGGTTTGTTCTCGGCGTCGCTATCGAACACGCTATCCTGCGGAGATGTACCAGAGTGTTCGGGGCTGGACGGCCGATTCCCAGATGCTACACGTTTGAACTGCCGCACCGTGGAAGTGCCGTTCCCAAAGGACATGTCCAATCCAAGTGGCACCTTCGGCACAGGTGGTTGCTGCGTGCTGACTCGTCTGGCAGTGGGAGTCGCTCCCGATACGTTCCTGCTCGATATGCGGCGTGCCGTCGGTGACGCCAACGATACCTTTCGAGCGGCCGGCGTGGCGCCTGAGATCTTGCGAGCTGTTATAGCAGAGACTTTGCGTTGGCTGCTAACCGCTCTAGGCTTCGGTGTCCGGATCGTGGTGGCCTCGCGAGCTGGTGTGGTCGACATAGATTGTGCGAGCGGCGCTGCATCCAAGCTCATATGCTCCATTGCGGCCGTGGCGTTCTCTACCTCTGAACCATCTCCTGAAGGTATTCGATCCAGCCTCCGCCGCTTCATCGTGCTCTTGTTCACAGTGAGGGTACGCATAGCCCCCGCTGGCTTGATGGTGTCGAACACCCATTCCTCGTCGTCGGGCGCATGGTTCATGGATTTCAAGGTCTCCTCGTAGTACCTCACATCCTTCTCGCGCTCCAATCCATCGCGATCGAATTGCCTTGCTTTCCAGACTAGCTCTTGCAAGATCTCTGTCTTCCCGGCCCTCTTGATGAATGCGTGCTTCAGGAGAGCTCTCGCAGAGGGCCGCTTCTCCGGCTCCTTGTTCAGGCAGAGGGATACGAAATCCTTGAACTCCCTCGTGAACCGACTACCCTCGAGTCTCGGCGGCCTCTCTTTCGGGATGAGGAACAGAACCTTCATCGGGTGCACGTCGCTTCTCGGCGGCTCACCCAAGGCCATTTCCATTGCGGTGATACCCAAGCTCCAGATATCAGCGCGAAAGTCGTAGCCGGCTTCTTGAATGACCTCTGGAGCCATCCAAAACGGCGTTCCGACAAACGTGAGACGTTGCGACTTGATATTCGTCAGCTGTGCGGCAACGCCAAAGTCAGCAATCTTGACCTGTCCTTCTTCCGACAGCAGGATGTTGGCAGCTTTGATATCCCGATGGATCTTGCCAGTGCTGTGTAGGTAGTCGAGTCCTTTGAGAAGCTCTCTCATGATGATCGCAATGAATCGTTCCTCCATTCCTTTCGGACATGGCTTGAGCAGGTCAAGACAGGAGCCTCCTCCGAGGTATTCCATAACGATCCATAGCTTGACGCCGCGGACGAAGGAGGATCGATATCGGGTGACGTATTCGGAGCTGCACGTTGCAAGCAATGCTATCTCTTGCTGGATCTCTTGGATGTCATCATCGCTGCCCTCGAGGTCGATGTGTTTGATAGCAACGAAGTCGCCCGTGGGTTTGTGAAGAGCGCGGTAGACAGTGCCGAACGAGCCGCCTGTGGTGTACTCAGTATAGATCGATGTGTGTGTCAGTAGAGTTTGAATGTCTTACTTCCGAGCTCCTCGAGCACCTGATATTGATCCGCCATGGCGAATGCGCTCTCCCCCTGGCGCCCGTGCTACCGACTGCTTGTGTTCACTGCCAGATTAAGTGTTTTTGATAGGTAGCAATAACAATGGCGGCGGGGAGAAGTTGAGGATGGGGACTGCGGTATCATGAGAATGGGGCGAGAGACATGATGTGGAGTATGATGTGGCAGCCCGAGGCCAGAATGGTGGCCGTCGCAGAGGGTTGTCTGGATGAGGCGTGAAGTCAACAGAGGAGCATGCGCCGTTGCCTTCCCCATGGCAACCGCGACCGGCTCGTCGGTAGTCCCGTCCGCCGGCTCCCGTGCCGAAAGTACGTTTCATCCCGCTCTCCAGATGCACAGCTCCTTGATCTTCAGCTCTCGCGTCGTCGACAATACCTGATCATGTACAAAGCGTATAAATCTCCGGCACACAGCTCGAGTGCGAGAGACGATGGCTCACGCCAGGTCGCAGCCGCGCGCGTGGAAAGGCGCACGCGGCTGTCGGACCCTGCATAGCGGAGATAATGATAGCGCATCCGCCATCCACCACCTGGGGACGACCGTCATGACGAGAGTTCTGTCCATCGAGTTCCTCCACGACAACAGCCGAGATGAACAGGAGTACTTGCCGCAATCCCACAAGTATCAGCCACGCCATCTGCTGCGACGTCTCTTCTGGCCGCGACGATGACGTTCGCCTGGTGTCGGACGAAAGCATCTTTGGTATTCAGCTCTACCTGGCAAGGCGTGCGCAAGTTGCGCACAGATACCTGCGATTGATTGTGAGGCGGTGCATTCTGGACTCACGACTCACCTGCAAGGCAAGAACGAAGATGCGTCCGTCTCATGCAAATCTCGAATGCGACCAAATGCAGCTATCGATGCCATGCAGTTAGCCCGATACCTACCGGCTTTCACATATCACGTCTTTTTATCATCACAAGATCGCGGAAGCGGTGAAGTCAAACGGCTAATCTTCGCATCAATCGCGACATCATCAACCACAATTCAGGACGACATACACAATTGCCGCACCTACAAAGAGTCAGTGGTCATCAAAGGCAAGGTAGCTCTGCCCTGTCGCAAGCTACAAAGAAGGAAGGTACATGTAGCGATGAAACAAAGCGTGGCAACGGCTATCTCGGCCAAGAGAGTACACCGATACCTTCAATCTCTACCTAAGCCCGACCCGACCACGTCCGACGCCGGCGAGTGGATCCCACCGCACACCATTCAACCTACTAACATCGCTCTTTTCTTTCAGCTTGCGCATCACCTACCTATTGACTATTTCCCAATTCTCCAGACCTAGAACACTTGGCTGTGAAAGAATGCCTCGGGATGCTGCCCGCGACAACACAATCAAATCGGCAGTCATGACGGAGACTAATTCCGTGAATTCGAACAGCTCCACGGAGACGACACCGCTCCTCCGGAAAGAATCCAAATCTTCAGCGAGCGGCCCCTCAAGATGGTACACCTCAGTCGTCCTGAGAGTTCTGTTCACTTCCTTCTTAGTGTCGACGTCTTTTGGCGTGACTCAAGTTCCGTAGGTCCACGAGAGTGTGTACCGGTTCCCGCGCTAACAATAGGACAGACTTGTCTATGTTTTTGGCTTGATGACATGCGATGAATATTACAAGACACATTCAGATCTAGATCTCGGCTCTACGAGATGCAAGATACCCGAAATCGAAGCAAGTACTGCTCGTGCTATTGCTCTCTTGGGTGCCGGTACCACCCTCTTTGGCGTGGTCAACCTCTTCTTCACCGGCTGGTCCATCAAACGGTTCGGTGTCAAAACTGCTCTCGTAACTTCCGTCGCCTGGCCCGTGATCAGACTTCTAGTTCAGAATGTCGGCGTGGAAGCTGGTGGTGGTTTGGGAATCAACATCGTGCAAGCATCCCAGATCATCACCATCTTTGGTGGCCCAGCCGGCTACCTCCTCGCCCTCAATTCTTTTGCTACCGAAGTAGTCGACCCCGTAGATCGAACTGCGACGCTGGGAAGACTTCAAGGCGTCGCTTTCTTCGGAACTTCGGTTGGCTTCCTAGCTGGAGGACTGATAAGTGACATCTTCGGAACTATCGCCCCTTTTCGTGTTACATTGGCCCTGTTTGCTATCTCCGCACTCTACGTCTCGCTTTTCCTCCCCAGACTACCCAACAACATCACACCTGAGCAATTGAAGAAGACCGCCTCCCTCTCTGCTTTCTTCGAACCTCTACGCATGTTCGTCCCACAGAAATGGATCCTGAAAGACGGTCATGTCCAACGCGAATACGGTATTTCACTCCTTGGGACTGGTGCTTTCCTTGCCCTGCTCGCCACTGGCTACATCGGGACCCTGCTGCAAATGTATGCCACCGACGAACTCGACTTTGGAACGACAGAAAACGGCTGGCTCATCGCTGTCAACGCCATGGTCCGCGGCCTCTTCCTCACATTCGCGTTCCCGGTCATAATCACCCGTGGAAGGGCCTGGCTCGACAAGCGTCAACAGAGTAAAGAGCCCTCGGATAAGATCTCCGCTGAGGAGTCTGCGATTCCAGATATCCCTATCTCTGCTCAGGAATTCGAACCTGGTCCGATCGAAGGCGAAGCGGACCAAGAACCCGTAGAACCTCCCAAGCCAAGAGCTGACGGAGAGGGTGAATCTTTCCAATTCGACCTGCTCTACACGCGCTACAGCATTCTCGTTGACGGTGTCCTCACCGCTCTAGCGACTTTTGCGACGAAGGGCTGGCACTTGTACATCGTCGCCGTTGTGCTCCCGCTCGCTGCTGGTACGGGATCCGCAGCGAAAGGTACGATACTACAGATGTGCTCGCCGTCTCAACGAGCTGATGCTCTGAGCGCGATCAGTCTGGTCGAGATGGTAGCGAGATTAGCTACCGTGGGCCTTTTCGGATATGTATTCGCGGCTTTTGCTGCAATTGGAGAGCCGAGTTTGACTTTTACCGCCAATGGAGCCGTCGCAATTCTGGCGTTCGTCGTATTGCTTTTGACGAGATTCCCGCCCCAGGGCGCGAGAAGAATAGAGGACTCTAGCGAGGAGGCTGTGAGTTGAGCAGATGATCTGGCCACAAATGTATGATGACATAAGCATTGGCATCAAAAGGGGCGGAAGGGCCGGTCGAGGAAGAAAGGAAGAGCCAGGAATAGCGGACTGGGGGACTGGCAAGGAGAGGGGGCGTGAGAACCTCCGAGAATGATAGAAGACAGCTAAAAATGACGATTCCTGGCAATTTTTGTTCCAGGCTCGATGAGAAATGAGATAATGACCGCGGCGGATGAAAAGCATGGGAAAGGACTGTGCATTATCAGGAGTCTGGTAGACAGGAAGGGGTTCCGGCAGTCTGTCCCAAATTGATAAATCTCAACATTCGAATCGAGTCTCTTCGCACGGCTCAGAGGTATCTACATTCCCCACCGTCAGGCTTCACTGCATGTTTCGAAGATACTTTCTGTTTCGAGCGACAAGGCATATCTATTCCGGTGATTTGCGAGATGGCCGATTCTGGAGGCTGCTTTTGCATTCGCACTTTTCTCCGACTCATGGCTACCGCTTGGTGCTGTTTCCTGTCAATCTTGACGTGCTTGCCTGCGTGTCAGGATAGTTGCTAGAAGATGACTGATGGACTTGCATAGGAGGCAGACGTGGGCCGTGCTCACGCCAAGCCAAAATGGGATACACGGTATTGGGAGAGCCTTGGCTTCCACCAGTGAGGAGCTGGAGATGTCAAACAATTGCGAATTCAGGTCTCGTGCATCCTCGACTTCTTCGAGTAATCTTGAATTCGACAAACCATACTCTGGTCCACCTATCTCCAACTCGGATCACTGCGGAAGTAAATGGTCTATCCGCCGGCATGAACGACCTCCTGGCCTCTCCTCGGATCCGACAGAGACCTTCTGCATCCGCAAGAAATAGAAGTCGCGGCAGCCCTGCAACTCTCATACGCTAGGTACCTCTCAGTGAAACATACAATATTCAAAATGCGATGCGAGTTGAAGCACGGGTTACGGTAAACATTTCAGGGCTCAAAAGTCGAGAAGAGAAGTCGAGAAGAGAAGCGGACATTGATGGTGTAAAGCATCAGCAATTGTTGAAGGCATTTCGAGAAGTAGGATGGCTCGACGACAAGTGATTCAGTGAGTTTCCTTCCCCTGTAAGCGGCTAAGAGGCGGATATGCGGGAAAGTGCCCGTATGTGCCACTAGCTCACTTAGCTTACATTCACATGTGTCTTGGCACATGGTTCAGACCGGCTGAGGTTTCGACACCAACGACGTCTCTTCGGACTCCGTCCACGACTTGCACTCGGACGTACAGCGTCTTCGCACGTTGGAGTGCCATCTCGACGGCTGCTACCGCTGGACTTGCGCTCTCCGACTTGCTGTTGCTGTTGGTCTTGGCTAGGATCCTCAGGAAGCGAATAACAAGTCGATGTGGAAAGACGCTATACAAGTTGCATGGACGCACACCCTACACTCCAAGCGTGCAATCATGGCATCAGAAACCTGCCCCTCTGTTCCGAGTCTGCGCCAAGGCCAGTCCTGTCTGGCCTCGAAAAAGTTGACGCGAGCGGCGCAGAAGACCAGACTCTCAGCGCTGCTCGCGACGCACGCACCACCTCGCGATTTGGCATCGCTTACTAGCGACGTTTGCCATCACATGCACCAAACAAAGTGAGCTTCAAGTTCCCCTGACAACACTTCAGATTCGAACACCATTGTGGTCGCTCCCAGCCTTATCACCTCTTCCTTTGCTACCCATCGACTTATACACCATTCTCGCGCGCCGCAACGATGCAGCCAGAAACCTGCCACCACTGCACCATACCAGCACCAAGACCGCTGCTTGCCTGCTTGAAATGTGTTGATGGCATTGACGATCAGATGCGCGCTTGCCGCACCTATTACTGCAGTACCAAATGCCAGTCTGCCCACAAGAAGATTCATGATGGCGTCTGCATCAATATGAATATTCGGAAGGAGTTGCTTCGCTCCGGCGAGCTTCTCAAGACAATCTTCTTCCAGCTCCGAAAGGCGACCTATGACATCAAGGTCAGGGCGGTCGGCAAAAACGAGCAGGGTACAATATTGGTCTTTGAGGACGAGTACGCAGCAAACTACGGAGATGGACCTCTCTATCCCTTCCCAAGAGCCTTCGCCGACGGTTCCAACGAGGAGCGGGCACTACTCGCGTACCTGAGTTGCTCGGATATCTTCATATTCCTGGACGAGCTCAGCAAGAGCTTACTCGGAGGTATGAGATCTTGCCCTAGCTTGCACAATGGAGACTGACACGTTGCCTCCACAGGGATCACTACCGTCATGCAGGAAGCAGACTTCGGCTTCGATCAAGACCGCTTCCTCGTTCGTCGCATCTCACCATACGGAAGAGCAGAAGATCACAGCAGATACATGCATAGCGCACTTGCCATTGAGGCAAAGGACGGAGAAGCATACATCGTCGACGTCTCCGGCGCCCAGTATGGCCAACACCAAACCGTGGTACCATTCGGTCAGTACATGAGCGACTTCGCCACCAAGATCATCAAGATCACATCTCACGGTCATATGGCCCTCAAAGCCAGAGCTGTCCACGAGGGCTACAGAGACCGGCCGGTGGACATTTCCGCGTGGATGTCTGGAACCGCCGGAAACTTCGATTACCGTCCTTTGCAGATGCAGTACAAAGTGAAAGAGCGCATTCTCGCCGCGGTCAAGGAATGGGAGATGCTGAACAACTTGACTCTCCACGATCTTCTGGGTTGCGATCAGGAGCGCTTCGAGGCCTGCAAGAGTTCGCTACTGGCCAAGACTGATGATGACGTGCGATCGTTCTTAGCAAAATGGGAGGAGGATGGTTGCAAGCTCGAGCCTCGCGTCCGCAAGGAAGACGAAGAGGCCCCTTCGTGGGTACAAGACTTGCGTATGGATGAGGACGACGAAAACATTCCACAGATGAGCGAGTTGGAAGAGCAGTCTCGGGCCAGTCAGAGATATTCGGACGACAAGAAGGCTGAGTGCAGCGCTCTACTTGCCAGCAGGTTCGGGCAACAGTATGCGAATTTCTTCAAGGGGCTGTAGAGGTCCGAATGGCGAGATGACACACGAGCCTCGAGCTTGACGAGGGGGATGCGCCTGATGGCTGATACGACTGGCAAATCTGGTGGTCACTAATCAACTGTGGGTCTTGTCCGCTCAGTTGCAGTCTAGACAGCTGCAGAATAACGATAGGTTCAGTACTTCCATCGGTTCGGGACATGCTTGCTGTTGGCGGCTTAGCGTGCATTGCCCTCGGGATATTGTGATGGGTGAAGAGACAGTTCGAAAGACGGGACTGGAGGATAGTATAAGGCCAATCGCGAAAAGAGAGACAAGATTCAGAACATGCAGATTGTGTAGACGTCAGAGTCCTGTTTGTCCTCCCTCTTCTGAGCTCGCAACTTCTACAAGTCCCAATCCTGCTCCCGAATCAACTTGCTCACATCAACTCCACACTCCTCAGAACCGTTGACATCACGCTCTCCACAATCCCAACCGTGTTTAGCTACAGATTTGCCACCATCGATAATCTCCTTCGCCATCCATTCTTGATGTCCAGCTGCCAACGAGAATCTCAAATGGTCAGCAATGGTCCAGCCTGGATTGTACAGCGATATGTATCTCGGCGCATCTCACGCACGCATAAAGCCTTTGTTCGTCTACATACTACAAAGCCAGCCGGCTGTGTTGCGTTCTTGGCAACGTAGGCACCCACATTAAAGGTTGATGGTAGCCTGATTTTCGTCAGCGTTGGACGGACAGTTGTCTTGGAGACTTCGGATCGCAAGGATCGAGGTACTGCGTATAGGTGTGACGGACGAGATGCAGCCAGATAACGGGCTCTCATGGCGACGGACCTGCCCAGTATGGGTTGATGTAAGTGAATGTTCGGGATGGGCCGTGCTCTTCACATGACAACAGCCGTATGTGCCTGAGGCTGCCATTGCGCGGGGCAACGAAAGAGGCTCTCTAGCAAGGGTCCACTTTTGGCAACAGCCCACCGCCGCACAACAACCAGCAGCAGGAACGGGTGGAGAAACAATTCACTCGTGCATCTTATACCAACACTGCCCATACCTATCTTCTACTATCCACCTCCGCGGACAGCTGAACTCTGGTCCACGCAACACTTTCGGTAAGACACCATCCCTTCTTGGCGTCTTGCGTCGCCCTCCCACGCCCCTCACCACCCTGAAAACGCCGGCGCCTGCGACGTCACCCTACACGTCCGCGAAAAGTTCTGACCCTCAACCTCCAGGCAACCTCAACCTTCATTGATCGTCGCATCGAGACAACACCACCAACATGGTAAGCCGCAACTGCAATAATCCTCATACTAGACAACATACTAACATGCGATCGCGCAGGCACAATCTGGGTACGTTATCAGCAGCTGAAACATGCAACGGCGGTGCACATACGACCAACACTGAACTCCCTTCTTACAGCGTTTCGGTCGCACCCGAGTGCATTCAGGCCTTCAATGAGCTTAAGCTCGGAAAGTCCACCAAGTGGATCATCTACAAGATCTCCGACGACTGGAAGGAGATTGTCGTCGAGGAGACCTCCACCGACCCAGACTACTCCAAGTTCAGGGAGAAGCTGCTGAGCGCCAAGAGCAAGAACAAGAGGGGTGAAGAGGGCATCGGAGGTCGATACGCCGTGTTCGACGTCGAATACGAGGCAGACGGCGGTGAGGGCAAGCGCAGCAAGATCACCTTCATCTCGTGGGTGCCAGATGATGCGCCACAATACGTGAGGACACACGCCCAACGTTGTTCATTGGAGGGTGGCTAACAGCTGGTAGCCGCGCATGATGTACTCTTCCTCCAAGGACGCCCTGAAGCGTGCTCTCAACGGCCTCGCTGCCGATATCCAGGCCAACGACCCAGATGACATCGAGCACGAAAGCATCAAATCTAGGGTCTCCAAGGGTCGCTAAATATACCACGACATGGACCTGCTCCCAACCCATTGCAGCGGACGGCATGGAGGTAGAAAGCGGTACGGCGCTGTCAAGGAACGGGCCAGAGACGTGGGAGTGGAGATATATGACCATTATGGATACCACAGTAGATGACCTGTTTCCCGTTGTTTGCTGGCGATCGACCACTTGCATCACTCGAAATCTCAAAATGATTACCAGCTTCAAGCACACTCATCTTTGCCCTTGCGCTACTGACTGTCCTCACAGGTCGCAACAGCGGTTAAATTGCGTTCGCTTCGCCGTCCAGCATCATCAGCTTCCCCTTGCACTGCGCATCTATTCCTCAACCCAGGGTCGCCAGGATCTTCGAGTTTCCACTACCAGTATTCACGGGGCTAGTAAAGCGCTGCTCCGCCATAGTGCACAACATAGCCTGCATTGAAACCCGGCTTTGGCGACCACTATGACTCCGCCAACGATCAGGCTTGTTGAGGATGAACTACAGGATGCTCACCAGGAAGTAGCAGCCCAAGAAATTCGACAGTCGCCTCGTGCGTCACACGCAAGTTCTGAGCCTGACGGTGACGGAAATTCGGCATCTTACAATCGCGCCAATGCAGATTGGTCGAATGTTTCGACACAATCGACAGCACCGATCATCTCCAATTCACTCCAGAAACGAGCTACACAGGCCGATGCGAAAGGTGGAGAGATTATCGCTGAGGGGCCGAATAGCTCTACAAGACACCGGGACGGGCAGCCGAGTCGAGACAGACACATGCCACTCAACCGACATGGCGCACGCCATGCTGAGATGCCTGCTCTTGCACAGAAATTCTCCAGCCAACAAGCAAGTCTTCCACCGCATCAACAATCTGATCATGCAGGATCAGGTCCAGGGAGACTTCACAACGCCATCCATAGTCATGGGGACAGTGGTGGTCATCATGCCACCCTCTGGCAGCGACGAGCAACCAGGCCACTCTCGCCTACCCGTAGCCAGGCACTGGTCTACATGAGCCTGCGTGATGGCTTATGGCCAACCGAAGACTCAGCATATCGTGAGCTAGTATCCGGGCCAGGTCCGGCTCCGATCGCGCGGACCGCAGACGTCGAGGCACGAAGAGCTCTGAGATACTCTGTCACCGATTCGGTGGCTGCTGAGATTGACAGCGACGATGGGGTAAATTCCATGGTCTCTGAGCCAGCAAAGAAACGGCAGCGCAATGTCCTCCGAAAGAAGCAGTCAGCTCGAAAATCTTCGACCAGTGGAGAGCTCGCCGAGGGCGATGCCGCTGGTACCGAAAGTGGCGGGAAGCAGAAGAAATGGAGTGGCTCAAAGAGGCTCTGGAACTGGTGGAGAGGAGTCCCTCCAGAGCAAGGTCGCAGTTTCGACATCGCACGGGAGCACGTTGATGCCAACACTGGAGACGAGCTCCGTGACTGGAGACCAGGCGCATCGCCTTCACTTCCTGTCCTCCAAAACGTCGATTGGAGCACTGAGGATGCGCAATTGTTGCCTTTTGCGACCGAGACTCCTGCTTCTCGCCATACAGGACGGAGATACATCAGACTAGGGGCACGACGACGTCGAGTGTTGCGGAGCAGAATCGATTGTATGACACCGATATCCGAACGCACAGAGGGAAGCGACAATGATAGCGATGGAGAAGAGGCGACACTCGCCCCTGAAAATCTCGAAGAAGCAGAAGAGTGGATCACGACCAGTGGCGAAGAAGGGGACAACGAAGACGAAGAATCATCCTCGGACGACAGCGATGATGAGGACCCGCCGGATTCAGTTCAAGCTTTCCGGAACCGAATCCTTCACTACCATCTTATGAATCTGAACCTGATACAGTCTCGCTCTCTTCTACCTATCTCGGAGGACGATGTACGAATCGAATTTGCACAAGTGCGAGACGAAATTGGTGCGTATAGCTCTAGGCATCTTTCGATTCTGTACCAGGATTCTTCTATCATCGAACAGGAGGAGGAAGAGCAAGCAGCCGGGAATGTTGTTGAGGAAGATGGTGGTGATGATGATGGCTTCGAAAGTTATGAAGAAGACGAGGAGGAGAGTGAGGTTGCAGAATTCTTCGAAGCAAGGGTGGTGAGGATACAGATAATCACGTTGAGTGAGGGGAAGAGAGAGGAGCTGAGGAGGTTGAGGGAAGAAGCATCGAAAGGCACGCCCCCGCCTGAGAAACATGACTCCGTCGTCGAGACTATGCAACCGCATGCCATCGCTCTCCCCCCGTCTCCACCACCACATATCGCGGAATGGAGAGCAGAACAAGAAAGAAGGCTGAGAGATGTGATGGAAAAGCTCGAAGAGCTGAAAATTGAAGAGGCACAGATTCGATCACGTCCGGAAATGCAATAGAAATGACGAGTATGTAGAAAGAGTAGCAGGTGATGAACTACCGAAACTACGCACCAACAATATCACATCTTACCTCGAGAGGAGAAATCTACTAAAAGTGAGATAGATTGTAACATATTCCGAACTTGGGCTTGTTTGAGTTGTCAAACCGTCGTTCGAGACACTTGCCGGCTGAGATCTGATACCGGGATTTTGGAGATTCCGAATGTGTGATGTGAAGGTCTACTGAGATTCGCTTTCGCTTTGAGGAAAGCCAAGACCATTGCTGTAGTGACATAGTACGGTTCGAACATCCTTTCTCGTTAAGAGGTTTGGAGATACAGTAGAAAGGAAAACCTACATCCGCCTTGAGAACATCAGCTTGTTGTCTCTCAAGGAGAAATCGGAATGCCTTCGCCCCCTTCGATTCCACCGCTATACTTTGCGCCATGCTATCCGCCATGGTATTGGGCCACAGCCGTGTCCGTATGGAGTCCCAGAGCTGAAATAGTAGAAAGTTGTTGGCCTATGGGAAGTATAGTGCACTACGCCCGGCGATGTGTGGGTTTCCGGCAGAGGCTACATCATAGTTCCGATTTGTCTGCCGGGACCTTGCCAGCAGTGTACGAACGTAGGACACGACTTTACGTGGAGGATAAGAGGGCAATGCTGGCTTGGTCTTCGTTTTTAAAGCGTTACCCGTACGATCGAATCAATTGGAGGATCGAAACCCATCAACACCATCGTTCCGGAACGGGTATCTCATCATATATGTCTCCAGGACTCAATTCTCACAAGATCATCTAGCCATCTTTACGATGGGCTCTTTGACCAAGCATCCCTGAAGACCGCACTCAACTTCTCCCCTTCCTTTTCATCGCGCAACCTTTGCGACAGGAAACCCTTCAAATCAGCCCAGAACTCCTCAGTCTTCAACACCGCCGACGCACTCTCTCCTCCAAGAGGACTCGTCTTCTCCGCCTCCGCATGAGCCTTCTCGCTCTCCGGCGCCGGGCTCTTCTCATCAATCTCCATCTTATCCCCGGCAGCAGGAACTGAAACCGCAGGCTCCGGTGCTCTTTCCTTCTCCGTTACCGCGGGACTCTGCGTCCTTGGTGTCGTACCCGAAGCACCCATCAGCATAACACTGAATTCAACATCATCTCGATCCGCAGGTACGCCAAGTTCCTTGAGAGTTTTGAGATCCTGGGTGGGTTTCTTGTTCAAGAGGAGTTTGATTTTATCTTGTGGGAGGGATGTTTTGGCGGCATACTGGGTTTTGATTTCGTGGATTGTGGTGTCGAGGGAGATGTCGGAGAGCGTCACTGTGTCCGCCTGGCCTGCTCGCATGGGTTTGAGGGTTACCGAGAGAGATTTGGTAACTTTGGGGCCGGTGGTTGTTTTGCGTGGAAACGGGTGGGTTTGTTTGGGGAGGATGTACTGTTGAATACCTGTTAGTGACATTCTACGTGAGAGGCATAGAGTATGCGCCCACAGGACTCTGGTTTGGATATTTCCTTGGATCGCTGACATGGTCGGCAGGCAGCTTGATTGGCTTCTTGTCGAGGGTTGCGAGGAAGGACTTCGCAAAGGTGACTTCGGACATGATGTGCTTGCTATAGCGCGAGTAGAGCGTCTCCTGCTGCTGCTGCTGCTGCTCCTGATGTTGGGTAGATGAAGCCACGTTTGCACTGGTACAAGATATGTGTAGGTGTGATGTTGAAGTTGGAAGCTGGTGATGACGATGGCTTGAAGTGAAGCTCGCACTCCCCGCGAAAGCTTCGAGCAGCAATCACATGCAACGACTACTGGGCTTTCTTGCTACATCACGGCCACGCTCCGGCCCTCCACCACGTCCACGACCTAGCTCACCATGTCAAACCTCTACAACCTCGAACCGCAACCCACAGCAAAAGTCATCCTGAACACGACAGCCGGCGACCTCACCCTCGAACTTTTCGCAAAGCAGACTCCTCTCGCCTCGCGCAACTTCCTCCAACACTGCCTCGATGGCTACTACAACAACACAATCTTTCACCGCCTCGTACCAGGCTTCATTATCCAAGGCGGCGATCCCACGGGAACTGGATCAGGAGGAATCTCTGCCCTAAACGAAGGCGAGCCCTTCCAAGATGAAATCCACACGCGCCTCAAGCTCAATCGGCGCGGCCTGCTCGGTATGGCCAACGAAGGACCCGACAGCAATGCAAGTCAATTCTTCTTCACACTGGATGCTACTCCGGAGTTGCAGGGCAAGAACACCATGTTTGGGAGGATAGAAGGAGACACGATTTACAATCTGATGAAGATGGCGGACGCGGAGTTGAATGAAGGGAGCGAGAGGCCGATGTATCCTACCAAGATCACCGGCGCAGAGATACTGGTGAATCCTTTTGAAGATATGGTTGCGCGAGTAAAAGAGGCGCCGAGGACGAGGGCAGAAGGCGGAAAGAAGGAGGTCAAGAAGAGGAAGAAGCCTGCTGGGAAGAATGTTTTGAGTTTCGGAGGCGATGAAGGCGAAGAGGATGTTGCGCCTGTGTTGAAGAAGGTCAAGGCGAACCCGAAGCTGGTCGCTGTTGAACCTGACGAGCCTGAAAAGGCGCCGAAGGAGAAGAAGGAAAAGAAAGCCCCAAAGTTAGACGATGAGCCCATGCCAGACATCGAAGTAAAAGTCTCTAAATCTTCAAATTCAGCACCTGCAAAGCCCGAACAGCTCGAGGAAGCAGACGAAGAATCCTCCGAAGACGAAGAAGATATCCGTCAACGAAGACTCGATAGGACCAATGCTGAGATCCAAGCTCTCAAAGCAAGCATGAAACGCACAGTGGATGTCAAACCTAAAGAGAAGGAAAAGCCCAAATCTGCACTAGAAGCTATGATCCCCGAAACCAGCACCAGAGGTCGAAAACGCGGGAAAGCTACAGACGAAAAGGGAGCTTTCGACCTCTTCGCTAGCTTCAAGAAGCGTCTTGAGGACCTTCCAGAAGATGAGGATACCGGAACTACTTCCACAAAGCCGGCTGAAGCTTCCACGAATGGCCACAACGCCGTCGAACCTACAACCGCCGAGGATGAGGAAGCAGCGCTTTGCGATTTGCACTTCATTGCCAATTGTCAGTCGTGTAAATCTTGGGATCAGGAGGCAAACGACACGGTCGATGATGACAACGGTACCAGCTGGATGACTAAGCGACTTACTTTTGCCAGGGATTTGCTTGGAAAGGATCTAGAATGGAAGAAGAAGATGGCGGAGATTGAGGTTATTGATCCGAGGGAGAAGGCTAGAGAGCTCAAGGAAGAGAGAAAGAAGGGCAGCAAGGGGGAAGGGAAGGGAAGGTCGTGAGGTAGTGTAGCACACTGAAGCACGAACCTCGACATGCTGCAAAGCTGTACAGGCTTTTCTTCCATTATTTCCTTGCACGCGTGATATTTCCCGCCACTCTCCCAAACGCCGCGCTAATTTTTGCCAACAGTAGAGGCATCAGAAGTAATAAAGGAGCATCTGCTGCTTTCTCTTACGCAAAGACAACCCTGTCGTCCAGTTCATCAATCTCCCTCGTTCCTTCGCCTGTCCTGAGACCCATGTCCCTCTTCTTGACCTTCCTATCACGTGTCGCTTCAGCACGCTTGTTGTATCGTCCAGCCTTTGCCTTCCTCAAATCTCCTCTGATTTGGTTCGGCGACACGAACTCCTTGTTCTCATAGATGACCGGGCCACCAAAACTTCCCTCCAAAATCACGATTGGTGTCAAGACGAACCGTGGACCAATCTCGACGAGAGAGATGTGAGTTTCTCCCTTCGATCCAGTCTTAGCCACGGGTTGCGAAAGAGCCTCCTCTGCTGCCTCTCCGTCTTTGCTCTTCTTCGACGCCTCAGTTTCCTGGATCTGATAACATCGTATCCAGATCTTGTTGTCCGCAATCGTGAAACCCATGACGTGATCCACGAAAGGTTTGATCTTCCTACTACTCTGCGGAACGCCGAATGTGTGTGTCAACAACTCCTTTACGACCTTCCAATGCGCCTGTCCTTCGAAATGTTTGTCGAAGCTCAAGATTGGTCTTGAACCTTTCAAGCAATTCCCGGTGAAGTTGAGCTCTTCCATCGTGTGGACATTTTGGCAGTGAAATTTGATGGTGGGCCCATTTGGAGGTTTAGATAGCCATAGGTAGAGATCTTTTGATTTCCTGGCTTCGAAGAAGAGGATGTTGTTGCAGTTGTACAAATCGGCGAGTTCGTTTAGTTGATGGAGGTGGGTCTTTGTGTCGAGTTTTGCGTCTTTGCGGGAGTGCGGCAGGAGGGAATGGAGATCGGAGAGGAGGTGTCGGTGTCTAGAAAAGGGACCGCGATTAGTATATGAGGGCACATTCAGAAGAAAGATGGGTAGGGATACCTGTATGTGACACCTCTGGAGCTTAGAATGAGGACTCTCTGTCTGTTCTTTGGCTTGTTGTCGGGGTCGTCGTCTTTTGATCTGCCATTCGCCTTTTGCTTGGCGACTGATTTGTATACGGACGCCATGTCGATTTGTTGCACGTGAAGATTTGCTGTCGTATGCGACGAGTGTAGAGATTGAAGGTTGGTGGGAACTTTTCATGTGCGCATACGCTAGTCGGAATCGGGAGTGCACGGACGCGCTGCGGGCCGCTCCAGATCTTGCGAGCGGCAACGTTGAGGTGGCTTCACACAAAGAAGAGCCAGACGATTCCGACCGGCTACGCACTCTGGCAAAGCTTGCGACTCGCGCTGATGCAGCACACCCCGCAAGATCGATTCTCGTGGAATGGACCGAAATGCATGAATAGAAAATGATCAAAATCTTCACTAGTATTCGATCCGGAAATACTATATCTGAAATGGATGTGAAATGTTATGTGTGGATGGGGAGGTGTGTGCAGGTGTAGGAGCGCTGCGCAGAAAGCCAAACGCGCGCTCGTCTCACACAGCTTTGGATCTTGATCATCCGGAGCCGAGTTGGAGGGCCACTCAGCCATGCTTTGCTTCCAAGCACGCCCGCGCCTACCATCATCCGCCGCGCCTTTTCTTTTGTCCAACACCCATCCAATCCATCCACCACTCCATCCACCCCATCGCCCCAAATCCCCATCGCGCCGCGCACCTCGCGTATCCTCCGCGGCCGTGACGTGAAATCGAGGAGGAGACGCCGGAGTTTGATCGCATCCTCTCGGCGGCGCAGACGGGACCAGGGGCACCGCGAAGCCTGTTGCGCTGCTGCTTGCCGCTCAAGTCCATCCAGACACTCCTGCACATCCCCCGAGAGAAGGAGAAACACCATCAGGGCCATCGCCGCCGTCCCCGTCGACACATCCCTGCCCGCCATTGACGGGAAAGAGGAAGGACAGAGCTCGATGGCGCGGTGAAGATCCGGACAACAACAGTACCAGCTGCCACAATAGAACAAGCTCTCGGGCGCTCACGGCCGGAGCCACACATCATGGAGGGTCCCAACGCCTATACCTCCAGCGACCGCAACCCTCGACCTCGTTCCGGCTCGTACAACGGCGTCCCTCCATCGCCAAACCACTACCGCAGCGTGCCCGCGTCGCCCACTGCGAACCGATTGCCGCCGCCTCCATCGCCAACGACAGCGACTCGACCAACCTCGAGCTACTACGATCCCACGAAAGAAGATAGAGCCAGCATCAGCGTGAACAGTACCCCATATCAGCCTCGATCACCCGCCGAGGTAAGATATCACGAGCACGAGAGCTCTGAATGGCATGTATTACGAGTTCAGTACGGCTGACCCAACCATCATTACAGAGTCGTGCATCGTATGACCAGCACCCTCCTCCTTCACAGCCATATCTCAACGGCCACGGCACAGATCATCGACCGTCCATGAGCAGACACCCGAGTCAAGCCTCGCCGCACATGACCTTCCACGCCCATCCCGGACCACCACCGCCTGCAACGGACGCCAGGTCACCAGGTGCTTACGATCCTGTTCGCGGCAATGGCAATCATTCGCATACCACAAGCACAGATTCAGCAACAGCGCCGCCTCCGCCACCGCCAGAGCGAAAGACAAATCCGATGTCCATGATGAACATTCTCTCGGAAGACACTCCTCCTACGCCTCCTCCTGCTGAGAGCAAGCCTGTCGAGAAACGCGAGTCTCGTCCCAGCTCCTCGAAACAAGCTGTCCTAACACCTACGCCTGCAGCGCCCTCCAAGCCGGCAAGTCGCAAGGCAAGTCGCACATCCAGTGCATCGCAGTCTGGGAGCAAGAGCAAGGGGTCTGCTGGATCTGCCCCGACTCCAATCGCTCCTCAGCATGGCGCTGGTCAAGGTGCATCTTTGCAGCCTCTTCCCCCGCAGACAGGACCACCGAGTCTGACAATTCGCGATACCGAAGCGGCCTATCGGGAAATCGAAGCTCGTGACCTCTCTGATGTGGAAGCCGAAATGCCTGGTCTCGATGGTCCAAAAGGTGATTGGCAGCAAAGGACTCACAAGAGAGCGTTGGAGAACGAGATTTACGAACACATGGCCCGTAAGCGACGCAGATTATATTTGATGACCAAGTACCACGAGCATTTCAGCGGCGCAGTGGAGGTCGAGAGATCCATCTTCATCGATCAACACGAGCATGAGGTTGCCGAAGAGGTGCGCTTGAAGGAGGTTGAGGAAGACAAGGAGCGCAAGAAGGACCAGCAGCGAAAGCGTAGACGCGAGAAAGCCATCGCTGATGAGGAGCAAAAACGCGTAGAGGCAGTCCAGCTACTGGAGAATGCGAAGGATGAGGAGGAAAAGACGAAGGCAGAAAAGGAGATCCAACGGATTGACAAGAAGATTCGTGACACTCAGAGTCGCTTACAAGGCATCAATCCTACGAAGGAGTTTCGCAATGAATCGCCGCATAATGCGGCAGCACTTGGTCGACGAGAGCGTGAGGTCAATCTTGAGGGCGGCCTCATGACATCCTTCTACACCACCGGCCCCGGCCAAGGAAATGACGAGGGGACACCAGAATTCATCGCCGGCACGAGAGGAGGACGTGGAGGCAGAGGAGGTCGTGGCGGCGGTGCCAGTCGAGCGAGAAAATCGAAAGAGCAAAAGCTGGCTGAGAAGGAGAATGCTCGCCTTGCCCAGTCTTACATCGACCAAGGCCAGGACCTCCCACTCATTGCGCCGAAAGAAGAGGAGCGACTTGCAGCATATGCGGAGAGAAAATTGCTGCAGCGCGAAGACTCAGAGCCCCTCAGCGAAGTTCCGCCTGCATCGTTTGAAACTCAACCTACTGCCGGTCTCACCGGAATGGCAAGGTTCGAAAGCAAAGGCTACAACCAGGTCTACGAGCAGATTTCGCGTGATCTTGCGAAGGCTATCCCGAAGGTCTACCGCATCAAGCATAACAGTCTTGAGACGAAGATGTCCAATGCGAGAAAGACTGCGCAACTTGCATCGAAGGAAGCTCGACGCTGGCAACTCCGTACGAACAAGAGCACAAAGGATGTAGCTGCTCGTGCGAAACGCGCCATGCGAGAGATGCTTGGCTTCTGGAAGCGCAATGAGCGTGATGAGCGAGAGGGCAGGAAGGCCGCCGAGAAGCAAGAACTGGACAAAGCACGCAGGGCTGAAGCTGAACGTGAAGCAAATCGGCAGAAGAGGAAGCTGAATTTCTTGATCTCTCAAACGGAGCTTTACTCCCATTTCATTGGCAAGAAGATCAAGACCGACGAGATCGAAAAGCACGGCGCGGATGGTGATGGTGTAGCCCCGACAGCTCAGACAGTCACTGATGACCCCAACGCTTCCGCGATGGATCTGCCCGACAAGCTTGGAAAGAAGATCACGAATTTCGAAGAGCTGGACTTCGACGATGACGACGAGACTGCGCTCAAGCAAGCTGCCATGGCAAACGCACAGCATGCCATCAAAGAGGCAAAGGACCGTGCAGCTGCATTCGACAAGGGCGAAGGTGACGGCGAAGACCGTCAGGATCTTGCAGACGCTCAGGCCAACTTCGATGAAGGCGAGATGAACTTCCAGAATCCGACTTCGCTGCAGAGTATGGATGTGGCTCAACCAAAGATGCTGTCTTGCCAGCTGAAGGAATACCAGCTGAAGGGCCTCAACTGGCTTGTCAACCTGTACGAACAAGGAATCAACGGTATTCTAGCCGATGAGATGGGTCTTGGCAAGACTGTTCAGTCCATCTCCGTGATGGCATATCTTGCAGAGGTCCACAACATCTGGGGTCCATTCTTGGTCATTGCGCCGGCGAGTACACTTCACAATTGGCAGCAGGAAATCACCAAGTTCGTGCCCTCCATCAAAACGCTGCCATACTGGGGTTCCGCGAAAGACCGAAAGGTCTTGCGTAAGTTCTGGGACCGCAAGCACATCACCTATACCAAAGACAGTCCATTCCATGTCTTGGTCACTTCTTACCAGCTGGTTGTTCAGGACACAGCCTACTTTCAGAAGGTCAAGTGGCAGTACATGATTCTGGACGAGGCCCAAGCCATCAAGTCCTCTCAGTCTTCGCGATGGAAGTCGTTACTTGGGTTCCACTGCCGCAACCGATTGCTCCTCACCGGTACACCCATTCAGAACAACATGCAGGAACTATGGGCCTTGCTGCATTTCATCATGCCCCAACTTTTTGACAGTCACGACGAGTTTTCTGAGTGGTTTTCGAAGGACATCGAGAATCATGCGCAATCGAACACCAAGCTCAACGAGGACCAGCTGCGCCGTCTGCACATGATCCTGAAGCCATTCATGTTGCGTCGTATCAAGAAACATGTCCAGAAGGAACTTGGCGACAAGATCGAAGAAGATGTCTTCTGTGATCTCACCTACAGACAGCGTGCCTACTACACCAATCTTCGCAACAAGATCAGCATTATGGACCTCATCGAGAAGGCTGCCGCGGGCGATGATCAGGACACCGCTACGCTGATGAACTTGGTCATGCAATTCCGAAAAGTGTGCAATCATCCCGATCTCTTCGAGCGTGCAGACACCTGGAGCCCGCTGTCTATGTCATACTACGCTGAGACCGCCTCGTTCATGCGCGAGGGCAACAATGTCAACGTTGCATACAGCGTCCGCAACCTGGTCGAGTTCTGGATTCCTGGCATGCTTGGCGACGCTGCTGGAAGACTTGACCTTGCCGGACCGGAAAATCCTAAAGCTGGCTGGCGGAACAAGGTCCTTCAAAATGAGCTCAGTATCTGGAACGAGAACCATATGCGGTCCTCCGAAGGCAGGCGCAAGGATGGCAAGAGCAAAAATGGCGCTTTCTCGTGGCTACGTTTTGTCGACAGATCCGCTACCGAGGTTGCTTTAACTGCTCGAAGAAGCCTCATCGAGCGAGTCGTTGAGCTTGCCAAAGATAGGAACAGACTTGGGCAGCTCAAGGTAGCGTACGATGACGACGAAGAGAAGGAAAACGCTGGTTTCACTCCCATTCATGCCATGCTCAACATCGTCGACCGCAACGCGCGCAAGCCGCTCTCGGACGCCACCGAAGGTGGACACCTTAGCAAACTCTTCAACATCTCCCAGATGGCAATGGAGGAGAAGGGCTACAGCGTGATCGAGTCTTGCTACCTACCGGCTGCTTCTGCTCCACCTGTCGATCTTGTGTGCCCGAGTGACTACGCTCTTCGAGAGAAAGAAACCGCGCTCTTCAATGTTGCAACTCGCCGCGCGCTCTACCCGATCGACACGCCAACCGAAGAGGCTTTACTCACGGCAAAGCTGCCGCCTTCCAAGTTCCCGGTCACCAACTTGCTCCCCAGTCCAGCATCCGAGAAGCAGCGATACACAAAGGTCCAGGTCCCTAGCATGCGCCGCTTCGTCACGGACTCTGGCAAGCTAGCCAAGCTCGATCAACTGTTGCGACGATTGAAGGAGGGTGGTCACCGTGTACTGCTCTACTTCCAGATGACCCGCATGATCGACCTAATGGAAGAGTACCTCACCTACCGCAACTACAAATACTGTCGTTTGGATGGTTCTACGAAGTTGGAAGACCGAAGAGATACTGTCGCGGCTTTCCAAAGCTCGCCAGAGATCTTTGTTTTCCTGCTTTCCACTCGTGCTGGCGGTCTGGGTATCAACTTGACGTCCGCTGATACTGTCATCTTCTACGACTCTGACTGGAACCCAACCATCGACTCGCAAGCCATGGACCGTGCCCATCGTCTCGGACAAACTCGACAAGTCACAGTCTACCGTCTCATCACCCGCGGGACAATCGAAGAGCGTATCCGCAAGCGTGCACTGCAGAAGGAAGAGGTGCAGCGTGTTGTCATCTCGGGACAGGCGGGCAGCAATAACATTGTTGATTTCAACAACCGCAGTCGCGAGAACAACCGCACCAAGGAGATGGCCATGTGGCTCGCAGATGACGACCAGGTGGAAGCCATCGAGCGACGCGAGGCAGAGGTGCTCGAAGAAGAGGCCAAGGCTGGCAAGGGCCGCAAGAGGAAAGCTGGCGCCGGCGCCAAGAAGAAAGAGGTCAGCATGGACGATATGTACCATGAAGGTGAGCCATTCCATCACTTTGAGACTCGTGATGATGACATGACAATGCTAACTGGCTTCGCAGGCGAGGGCAAATTCGAAGACAATGCCTCTCACGAACCTTCCGGCGCCGCGACCCCTGTTTCCGCGATGGAAGGCCCGCCAGCCAAGAAGCGCAAGGGCATTAGCAAGAAGGCCAAGACCGTTCGGCAGCGACTTGCTGTGGTTGATGGAGAGGTCGGATGATGGTCCGATGCGCACGCCAACAGCCATGCGAGCAGCTAGCTGGGTTTTGTTTTCCAAAGGGATGTATTACTACATGAACGGGAGTAGGATGGACTGAAGGGCCTGTGAACGGACTGCGAGCAAGACGGCAGTAGATCCACGACGATCTGTCCACTTTTATGGCTTTTCTTGTGATTGAAACTTTGATGATGTCCGTCTGCATCAGAAGACGTGGTGGTTTTCGGCTCTGGTAGGACGGATAGTTGTCTGCACAGGTCCGACGAACATTTTCTGCGCTATAGCATGTCGTTAATAGAGCTTCCATTGTACTCCGCTTATCTGTCTCTCATTCCTGTGTTTTTTGTGTCTTTGTCCAGGTCCCATCTTTTCACATTTTCTGCTCAGGGGCGGTGGGTGACTTCCTCCGTTCGTTTGGATTTCACACGGCGTGATGCGGCGAGCTACATACACTAGGTCCCTTTCCACGCGCGAGATTGGACACTAGCGCCATATTTGGGATCCCGCCATGATGATGCCGCAGGAAGTTAAGGTAAATCCTCGAGTCCCCCCCCTCACCTTTGACAACGCAACCCCATTCAAAATAAGACAAGACAAGACAAGACAATGTAATGTCGCTCCTCACGTCTGCGCGCATTTTCAATGCAGACACTCAAGAAGCAATACGACGACGACATATTTCAGCAGACACAAAAGGGAAATGTTTTGGTTGAATCCTATGAGGGAAAAAAGTTATGAGGTTGGGACGAATTGAGTGAGTATCTATCAAATCATATTACTTAACTTGTATTTTGATGAAAAAGGACAGGATTCTTCTTCTTCTTCTTCTTCTTCTTCTTCTTCTTCTTCTTTCATCTTCCGAAGCTAGTGTATGTGTGGATGAATGAGGTAGGTCATCATTAAAAGAACCGCCCAAACCCACCACCAACAACAACTTACCTTACTGATGATACGCGTCATCAAGTCCCTTGCCATGAAGAAGACCAAGAAGAAGTCAAGCAGCAAAAACTCTCATACACTTTCCAACATCCTTTCATCTCAAATGCTGAAACTCTAGATACCTGACCTGACCTGACCTGATGCCGCGTCGTCGTCGCGTCGCGAGAATTTCCTGCGGAGAGAAGAGGAAAGAAACGGCACCGCTGGGGAAGGGCGTGGACGGGTGATGCTGGTCTTATGAAGAAGAGGTGACGGGGTGGGGGGCGGACGAAACAAGGTCATCATCAATTGCTTGCTTGCTTGCTTCAACCTCCGCAATGACGAGTACCAGTAGACAGCCATCACGAATCATGTCCACTAGATCCCACGGTGGAGGATTCTGATGAATTTATGATTTCAAAACAAAACAACACGACAGGCGTTTGCATTTCAGGGCTTGAAACTTCATCCAATTCTGGAGACTACTTCGTCAAACCTCCTTTCGAGCTGGGCTTGCGTGGAGAGCGATCAAGAGATCAGAGACACGAAGACTGCGCGTCCTTAGATCATCCGACACGAGTGGTCGGATGAAAGATGAAGCTGCCAAGCAAGACAACCAAACGCTGTAATAGCGTTCTGGAGCTTCAACAGACACAAGTGACATGGAGCCTACGCTGCGATGGCGACATACAGGCGTGGAAGGCGAAAAGTAACTTTTTTCAGGTTGTCCAACCTTCTTTCCCAGCTTGTTGGGAATAGCAGCATCAAGCCTTCTTCGTTGGTGGGTTCGCGTATTTCAGATCCGTCACCAGAATATTGTTGTGGGTCTGGCGTCGTTTAGGTCTGTATCACATCTACACCTGCTCATTTGCTATACCCCTCGGAATTGGAATCAGCCACAGGATGAATCGCTTCGTCACGGGGAATGCTCCTCCTCGGCATCTGTAATCCGAGCTTGGACAGGTGATGCCAGCCAAGATCCCCAATTCACTCCAGCCTCTCGACGTCCTTCGGGTTGTCCACGTTGAATGCAAGCCATGCAGCAGCAAGCACGCAGCTTCCAAAAGTCACACCGATGATGACACGACCCCGGGCTCCCTGTTTCGCTTTCAACGTCTCGTCCGGGCCCAGAATGGTGACCACGTTCTTCAGGTATGCATAGCTGAGGCCGCTCCAGGCCGTAGTACCTGCAACGAGGTACTGGTAGTACCCCATAGCCGCATGAAGATGGTCGGCAGTGACTCCAAAAGCATCTAGAATCTGCGCCTGCTGTCCGCCAGCCGCAAGCACGGGTAGCGCGAGGGAGGATCCGATCAACACCAGCTGCAGGAATGTATTGTACTTGGAGAGGGTGGTGGGGTGTACCTCGGCAGAAGGCAGGGAGAAGTCCCAGTAGCGAAGGAACGTTTTGGGTGTGGGAAGGGATGCATAGCGATAGTAGATGGCGGCGACTGCCAAGGATGCATCTCTGCCAAGAATCAAGGTCGCCAGGTATACTATTGGAGGGTACAGTTAGTCAGCCAAGAAGCTTTCACGGCAGGCACAACCTTGTGACAAAGTCGCAAGATTCGCAGTTTCCTTACATGGTATGGCTCCTTTGACTGCAAGGGTTACGGTGAGAATGATCATCAACGCTTTATCGGCCATGGGATCGATGACGCTGCCGGCGACGGTCTGCAACTTCCATTTCCGCGCCAGCCAGCCGTCGACCAGATCCGTGATACCGGCATAAGCAAAGAGTGCCAAGGCCCATGTGTGATGGTCGTGCAGTAAGAGGTAAGCAGTGGCCGGAGCGGCAAAGAGGCGTGTGACGGTGAGGAAGTTGGGCAGATTGTAGATGTTCTCATGTGGCGTCAAGCTCGAGAGGGAGGAGCGGACCTTGTCCCCGACAGCCTTGGTGCGTTCCCGCGCAGCTTCTAGACTTTTGGTGACAGGTCGTCGGGGCGAAGGCTGTGTGGATTGCTGCAAAGGAGAGACATGTTAGTTCCCATTGCCATTGTGATGTGATCTGAACGTGGCGTGCTCGTGGGGGAAGGCGCAGTCCGTGGTCCTCCTTCCCGCGGTAAGTCGCGCGCGGCTCATTGATTGCTGTTCGAGGTCGACCTGCCTCTCCCATGGCCAAAGCAGACGGACCGATGTGTTTGCTGGATGCGAATGGCTGGCTGGTGCTGGTGCTGGTGCTGGTTCCGTGGATCGGTCGCTCGAGCTCCAGTGGATCGGCAGCAGTGCCGAGGCAGTCAGCACACGATACCGTATCCCATCAGACGCGGCCCCTCTCTCGACTCCGCAACGGACTCTGCGGCGGGCTGGAGAGGGTAAGACACGACTGCTGCTGCAAGTCGGGCGTCGGTGCGTGTGGGCATGGAAGAGACGTCGACCCAAGGCGCGAGTGACAAATAAGCGATCCCAGAGAGGTGATTGACCAGATGTGATGGGGCGGCAATGTGCGACGACGCCGGGAAACGGGGCCCAGCAGGACGAATACCGCGGTGAGAAGGACGACTTACGCTATCACTTGTCTGCCGATCGACATGTCTCTGGGCTGATGGTGCTGATGATGATGGTGGTGTTGACGATGGTGTTGATGATGGTGTGGATGATGGTGTGGATGACGGTGTGGGTGATGGCGTGGACGATGTTGTGGATGATGGTGTTGATGATGCTGGTGGCGGGGCGCGCTTTCCCTCGCTCGAATTCTCCGATTGCGACGAAAGGAGACGGATGCGTGGCAGACGGGCCTCTCGACGCTCGACGGCACACCTCCTGCAGTGCGATGGTCAGTTTCCATGTCGTGATCGGATCCCGATGAGCTTCGATACCGCAACAGGCGACCGGGATCACGCGCGTAGCATCGCTGGTGGAGGGCGTGGTGCCGCGCTCGCCCCTGAGCCCGCGGCGAGGGCGATGACACTGCCAGTACGGCGTCTTGTACGTGGCTGCGGACGGACGCCGCGACTGCTGAGGTGCACTTCACATGGCGAGGATGGAAGTGCAGGCGGAGGAGGAGTGCTTCAGCCATCGAGACGTTCAAGGCATCATCGTCGTCGTCGTCGTCGTCGTCGTCGTCGTCGTCGTGCTGGCGGGGGATGGCAGCAGAACGAGAAAGGGGAGAGTCAGGTGACCGAATGGGGAAGAGCTGGCGGAAATAGCTCCTTCTGCCTTCGCCTGACCAATCACGGTGGGAGGGACGTTCCCGGCTCTCGGGACTGCGGTGTCCTGCGGCGTCCTGCGGTGGCTGTGGCTGTGGCTGTGGTAAGTGGACTGCCAGCAACACACCGACCCGGCTCTTGTCCCGATCGCCAGCGCAGCTCCGTCATTGTCTGCATGCACCGGTACAGTATGCGCGACTTTCTTCCAGGCCACCGCCGGCCGACTCAGTCGAGGTGTGGAGTTCCCGACAACAGCATCGGGCCACGGGTGCTACCCAAGATATCCCTGCAGACGATCATATCCTGTGGACCAGTATATCGCCTCGGCATGGATGTACCTAAGCGAAGCTTCTTTAACCTCCAACGTCGTGTGTGTGTGTGTGCCTGTCAGGTGACGTCTGTCCGGGGGAAAAACGAGAGTTGACTTTGCAAACGACCTCGCGTTCGTTCCTCCCGGATGCTTAAAGCATATCTACTATCATAATACGACTTCAGCCTTGTCCAACATCCTGTCGCATCTTCCCTCTCCGAATCCGTATTCGTATCCCTCTGGATACTTGGTACATACTGTTCATGGATAGGATTCGGGTGCTGTGACAGCATGTGATGTCGAGGCATGCAATACTCATCGTCGAGGCAGGAACTCAATCCACGCGTGCATCTATCTTCACATCGAGCGCAATCCGCCACGCCCTGTACAAAATGCCAGACAGTATCGTCGCACTGCACATACCAACAAGCAGAACGTCCCGCCCACTGCTCCTTCCCCTTCCCTTCCCAAATCGTTTCTCATCGGACTCGTACGTCAATGCGTGAGCTCCAGCCCATACCGAACTTTTCATTTCAGAACTCCCCTTCCCCCTCATACCCATTGCAATCGTCCATCGAAACAGCACATCGCCTTGCCTGTCCTATCAGTACATTCTCGCTGCCGCCTCTCTCACATGCCTTCGAGGCCGCGCCTCGCATACTCCAGATGCATGACTGTCCTTGCATCCCTTCGTAGGGGTGCACCTTCTGTGTCGGCCCACAGGCCCTGTTGTAGAGTCCACGTGCGGGTTCGATCATGATCAAACCGACGGACCATCAGGAACACTAGCCCTCTCTCTCTCTCTCCTCGTCTGCGCACTCAGCTTCCTCTCCGGTGTGGGAACACTCGGCCGCTTCAGCAACTTTCTATGGAGCGTAAGGGCCGGCACTTTGTGCGTGACCGGTCGTTCCGTAGCTGTAGCCAGGACCGTGAGAGGGCGGTGCGTAGGTCGAGGTCGTGCTGATGCCCAGGCCGTGCATGTCGCCGCCGGGATGACCAGATTGAGGCGTCTGGGGCACACCGTACGTGCCCGAGCGATATGGCATGCCGCTGTTGTGCAGCTGCGCGTTGGGGTCGGATCCGATGCCTCCTGGAGTCCCCGGGTGCGCCGTCTGCGGGCTTTTGCCGGATGGATGAGGCGATTGCGTGACTGCACTTTGCGGCGCGCTCGACATACTGTAGCTCTGCGTCGGGGAGCGGACGGCGTACGGCTGGGATGAAGCGCTGCCATAGGGCTGCGGTGGCTGTCCATTGGCAGACGGGCTGTTCATGCTGCCGCTTCCCCCGTACGAAGGCCGACCGCCAAATGCGGAATTGCCTGGCTGTACTGGAGTCTGGTACATTGGGGGGCCAGATACGGATCCGCTTCTCTGCATGTTAGGATAAGATGGCGCGTACTGGTTACCGTATGGCATGGCCTGTGTGCTCGGCTGCTGGCCTTCGGTCTTCCCATTCGACTGGTCCGCACTCTTGTAGTAGCTGCCGTAGGTCTGACCGCCATACGCCTGGTGTCCTGCGTATGGGAGCGAGCCGGCCGTGGTCTGCTGACCTGGCCACGAGGATCCAGTCATTCCACCGTAGAGTCCGGGTCCTGTGGACGCGGGCATCCCGTACATGCCTGGATATGGGCGCGAGCCGAAATACTGTCCCGGAGCCACGCCATAAGGTCCACCAGCCATCGAAGAGTACATCATCTGAGGATGGGCGTTCATGTGTCCGTCGATGGCGTAGTGCTCAGTTTCCTCGACTGGAGCGCGGAAGTTTTGCTTGAGATACAGCTCTGGGCGTACGGAGATGTTCTGCAGACGTGGATCCGAGAGAGGTCTTGGGAGTAGGTTGTTCTTGACATCGTCGACTTTGTAATAAGACACCATGTGGTGAGAGATTCCGTTGACCGAGATGCTCATCGTCTTCTTGACGAGTCCGTCAGGACGAAACCCATAGCTGTCCACCAGGGATCCGATCAGAGACCGTTCCAGCTCCTTGTCTTGGTCGGTGCTGGGCACTTCGGGCTTGACCTCGCCGCCGACATTGTTCTGTTCCGGGGGCGTCAGTGGAGTCGTCAATTCGGAATTCTCATTCTCTTCCGAATCTCGTCGTGGATAGGGTTCCCCAGGCAGACTCGTGCGCTTTCGCTTCATGGCACGCTTCTTCTCGCCTGGAGGGAATGGCTTCTCTAGCTCGCGGTAGATGAGAAAGTTACCGAGAATGCGACTGGGACTCCATGCTACACCGTCGGTCCATCTCTTGATACCGGATGCGTTCTCTTCGTAGATGAAAATGCTGCCGCTCTTGATGAGCGAGCTTCGCTCTCTGTCATGTGGTCGTCGGGGAACGTGATGCAGCTTCCCACTGAGGCAGGCCTCGAAGAGGACAAGGCCGTCCATGCTGTTGTGTACGAATCCATGGAAAGTTGGGACCAAAGGTCCAGCTCCGCCGCCTGCGCTCATGGTGGAAGGTACTTCGCGCGCAGCAAGGTCGGCGTTGGAAGGGGGAAAACAGAGTGTTCAATGAATGGAGAAAGCGGAGAGCAATGGGAGACCGAACGACTCGTAGTTACAGCCGTGCTGCAGGATTGAGCTGTAGCTGTCACGGTTCAGATGGCCAGTAGGACTCGCAACGCATCGAGTCGTGCGGCTCCGAGACGTGGGAGGTGGCTGTCCGAGACCCAGGCGGGTGTGGAAGATGTTGGATATCGATGCGAACTGCAGCAAGCCCGCGGCGCCTACTGATCTGACGGCGGATTAGCGTGCAAATAGAGACGTGTGGATGCGATTGCATACCAACTGCGGTGCGGAGGTGCCGGTGGTGAGGGTGGAGGTGAAGGGCAGTATCTGTAATGCAGACAATACGCGATGTCGATGGGGGTGGTAGCGGTGAAAGTCTCGCGGAGACAGACGACGCGAGATGGGTCGAAGGTTTGGAAATGTTTTGTACCTGGCGGGTGTGAAGGTTAAAATGGAGCGAGGCTCAAGGTTTGTTGCGCAAAGGAAGTAGATCAAAGCTTCCTTCCGCCAGCCGTTGCAGGAGCGTGGGTCGCGCTTCTCGAAATTGCGGGCTGCGCCGGGCACTCGAGTAGTGATATAGGCCGGGATGGAGGCGTGAAGGGGGGAAGGCACGGAGCGGCGCAGGAAAGGGCGAAGAGTCAGGCGCGCGCAGGCGGGTGGAGTGGCGTGCGTGCGCGCGGCAGGCAGGCCGACGGGCAGGCGGGTAGGACGACGACGGCGACGACGATGACGATGGTGGTGGTGATGATGATGAAGAAGAAGAAGAAGAAGAAGAAGATGAGGATGAAGCGGCGCGCAGCTGTAAGAGAGGGAGTGAAAATGTTGGCGTCGATGAAATGGAGCAGGCGCGAACCAGCAAGCAGCGCACGACGCACGGCGCACGACGACAGGACTGGTGGGGGAGTAGTAGTGTGTGAGTGTGTGTGTGAGTGTGTGTGTGTGTGAGGGTCGGTGTCGGGGGTGGGATGATGGGCACCGGTGGTGATTTGAAGGGCAGCGACCAAGCAAGTGGGAGAGGAGGGAAGCCCGTGCCCGCTCGGACCAGCGTCCAGTAGTGTGCGGTGTTGCTGCTGACGGTGGACGGACACACTGACGGTGGTGTGTGTGTGTGTGCTTCACGCGTTGCCCGTTGGGCTTCTTGACGACACTCACTCGACCGCTGCAGCAGCACACACGCCTGTGCTTGGTGGAATACAAAGCGGCCGCGACCGCTGGATCCCCACAATAACGGGTGGGCGAACGACGGGCCCTAATTAAGCATACCTTTCCTGTGAATCTCGGCCGCGCCCACACCTGCATCGCATCCGCGCCGGTGCCAGTGCCAGTGCCAGTGCCAGTACGAGACCAGTACCAATACCAATGCCAGTGCCAGTGCCGGGCCCGGTGCCAGTGCCAGTACCAGTACCAGCAGTACCAGCAGTGCCAGCAGTGCCAGCAGTGCCAGCAGTGCCAGTGCCAATGCCAGTGTCAGTGTCAGTGCCAATGCCAGTGTCAGTGTCAGTGCCAGTGCCAGTGTCAGTGTCAGTGCCAGTGCCAGCAAGCCCCAAAGAACATGCACCAGCACTCGCTGCCTGTCCGGCCTGTCCTGCTACCCTAGGTACTATACCCTGCCCTACCCTACCCTACCCTACCCTACCCTACCCTACTAGCTGCGCGCTGCTTGTTACCGCTTTCTGCGGGCCTGCGTGCATCAAACGCTGCTGGGCGAGCCGGTCCTCCCCTCCACACTGCTCTAATGTACTGCTCTACCCTAGTCCCTCTCCTAGCCTGGGGCGATAAAGTTGCGTCGCCGAGTTGAGATGCGGGCGGACCACCTCGCTGGTCGCGCCAACCGCTAGCACTGCATTCCCAGTCCTCCTCCCACCAGGAATCGCTTCCGGCGCGCGGAAGGATATCGCTCTCTGCACCTGTGAACAGTCATCATCTCAATGCCTGCAGGCCATCCGTGAGCGACGCTTCTGGACCGCTGGCAATGCCGCCCACGCAACGGCCGCCTGCCTCTCTGCGTGGAGACCCCTGCGAGCAGCCAATAGCGGCCGCTGCGCCCTCAACCACTGCCGCCGCTTGGCACGATGCACCATCCCAATCCGTGATGGTGCTGGACGAGCGCAGCCATATGTCAGAGGCGCGGCAGAGGCACCGCTCGCACTCGCACTCGCGTGGTATCGTCGACCAGGTCAGCTAAGCCTCACCACCTGCGCCTTGTGCCCACTGGGCACCGCGAGCACTCCAGGATCGAGGACGTGGAGAGCGGGAGCCCGACCGCCCAAGCTGGCAATAAAAATGTCGCCCTGGTCCTAACATCCAACGCTGCAGCGATCAGGCTCCTTGGCCGCTAACCGGATACCCGCACGCACCCCGGCGATCCGGCCCGCTTGCTGTCTGCTCTGCCCGGTGCTCTTCCACACCTGCCGTTGTCGACGGGACCAGACGCCCATCGGGCCCGACTTCTGACACGACAGCACACCCCGGCAACCTCCTACAGCAATGTAGTGCGGCTCGAGCTTGACGGGTCGACATCTGCTGCGCGACGACGATGGCGGTGAGTTGGGAAGGCATAGGCGGAGCTTCTCGCAGGGCGTGCGTTAAGATTGGGATGACGGCGACGCGGGATCTGCTTGGGCCAGGCCGCGAGCTTGTTCGGTGCTGCTGCGTTCTGCCACCAGATCTTTTGACGCCTGAGAGTTTGATACACGCCGGGTGCCGAAAGGTAATAAGGCTTTCGTCTACCCGTCGATCACTCTGTACCACCTACCCGTCCAAGACACATCCGCGAGTCCTCTCCATACCAGTGCACAAGAGTGGTTCCACAGAAGAGTGACTGCGGCGGCATCGTCTTCACACGTTCTTCGACAGCGCCAATTCTGCAGCAACATCTGCCCCTTGTTACGTCTGCGGTGGAATACATCCAGCTTCACCCGAGCCTGACCAGTCAGAGCTGAGCGGGCTCTTTCTCCTAGCGTCGCTGGCTTCTGTGCGTGGGCAACGACCGACGAAACAACAGACGATTGCGAATTCATAACTGCATGACTAGCCAGCTCGAGCAGACAATCAGCAGAAGGACTGCCGGGCCGTGTTTCTCTTACTTCATCACATGCGCATGCTGGGCCAGCCACACCCCAAGTCCAGGTTGCGAGGTGGTTGTAATGAGCGTCTTCCTGGAGAGCTCGGCGCAGCAAGATTGGCTCTCACGTTCCCCCCTCGACGGCGCGGAGCTTATGGCACTTGCCGACAGGCGTTCGCTGCCTGCGCATCAAAAACTCTGGGCTACTACCGCAAGCACCCTGCCATCCATCAATCTTCACAGACATACAACTTTCACGCTCTCTTTGCAAGTTGAATGCATCGACGCGAGGAGCTCTGCCCGTCTGCCAGTGCTGCTCGGTCGAAACACACTTGCAGCCTCCTGCAGGAAGCGCCGAGATCGGCTTGATCGATCTACGGCAGATCCCATCCTCTGACCAGGCTTGCCAGGATCCTTGCTGCTGGCGTTGTTCCAGCTTTCCCGGCCGTTGTTGACAGCCACCTTTCACGCGCAGGACATTGCTTGACGTAGGCGTCTCGACGGCTGTGCGCCCCGTGACAACAACCGCGTGAGATAGGAAAGCCCATCGCCAGCGGAGATGCTGCTTCGCGCGCGCTGGCTGGCGTCCCAGACGAGAAGGCGGGGCACCGCCAGTGGAGAAGTGAACTGCTCCTCGGTGTACAGCGTCGGGAACTAATTCACTTGAGCCGATTTGGCGCAGACCAGGGTCTCCCGCCCACTTGATTGGCCGCATGCCCTGTGTTGACGGTCTCGGGGGCGAGCAATAACCTTCCGCTGTGTTATGTAAGACGCTGTACACATCTCGGTCCAACCAGGCGCCGTCCTCACAGCTCGCAGCAGCGACCATCCCCGTGTCGACATCGTGCCGCGACGAGCCAATGGTGTTGGCTGACCGGATGTGCTCATGGTGCGCTGATCGACACTTCTAGCTGCAGCAGCCGACACCCTCTCTCGACCTCGCTACCCGAACAGACGATTGTGGTGATGGCCGCAGAAGAGCAGAGCGCGGCATACGTCAACTTGTTGGCTCTCCAAAACAAATCCCATGCTTTGCGAGCATTTAGCCATCGTCTTCACAAGAATTTCCTTGTGAATGCTCAGGATAATGGCGGTGCACTCCCACCGCGCCGACGATTGCTGGTCAAAAATCGCGACCTTTGCCCGCAGCTCTTCCACAGACGAAGGACGCTCGCACCGAATATCTTTGCCGCCTCCCGGCCGCTGAATGGATCCAGACCAGACTCCAATCCACATGGCACAATCGTTCGTAGATGAAATTGCGTCGTCGCGTTGCTGCGCGGCGAAAGAAATCGATGTCCGAAACTTGATGCTGGCCACTGACACGCAAAAAAGGGGAGGAAGGTCGAAACGCGTAGGATTTGTTTCATCTGGCTCGGATGGAGGAGGGCAGGAAGAGAGTTCTCGAGACACATGGCGACACAACGTTAGGCTCTGCTACCGAATCTGTCAGCCGCTTGGCTGTGAACTCTAGCGCAACGCAATTGGCCTTTGGCTTTGGCCTTGACACGACCTCACTCTTTCTCTCGACAGGTAGTCGAGAAAAGAAGACGGTGGAGTTGAGGAGGGGAGAGCGCGGTCAAGAGGTCAGCCAACCCAGGGGACCATCATCCTGCGATGTTCCAGGCCGTTACCCACGTAGGAGTCCGCGAACCGGCCAGCGTCGAGGGACAAGCGACCGCGCTCTCTCAGCTCTTGAGAGATGGGGGGGGGGGCCCAAGAGCAGGGCAGCACGAGCACCTGTCAGCGCACGGATGTCCAGACCAGGTCTCTCATGAAGACATGGTCACGAGTGCAGTGCCGTGTTCTGTTGACCAGGAAGGCGAGTGGTGGATTCGGTCCACCTGCACTCACTACCGGGACGCTACCTTGTATTGAGCAACAGCAACAGCAAAGAGCAGCAGCAGCAGCAGCAGCAGCAGCAGCAGCAGCAGCAGCAGCAGCAACAACAGCAACGGCAACAGCAACAGGGACGGGGGCATTTGGAATGCGACGGCGATTTGTGGCCTCTGCCAGCAGCGCGCTCCCTCAGGCGCGCCTTCACCGTCCACTCCACTTGTTGATGTGCCATCGGGATAGAAGCGCCTCGGCAGCCCTGCTCCCCTGCCACCCCTCACTCCCACTCGAACTACTGGTAGGTATACCTACCTAAATGCGCATCGAGCCGCCTTTGTTGATGAAAGAGGCAGCAACATCCCCCGACGTGGGATGATGGAGTCCAGAGTTTCGCTGGCGCAAACTTTCGGGGCAGATGGCGGAGGCGTGCCTTCCTGATCGGAGTGCATATGGCGCCCGATGGGGGAACGATAACAGCCCACAGGCCGCAGTCGCTGGGTTGGCCATGGTACAACCATCACGTTGGCTCTTCTGCCAAGCCTCGACTGACTCTTGCTAACCGGCTCCCTCCAAGACTCAAGCAACGTCAAGCTTCCCCTGTGTCAGCATGCGGACGACTTCGACCAACAAGCATTCCACACACTGCACACCCGGGAATAATTGCTTGCTGCTGATCCATCCCCTCGTCCCGCAACCCCGAATGCCTCCGTCGTGTTGGAATTGCAGCGACGTGCCTCCTTCACCACACTACTCTTCGGCGCCAGCGCGATGGAACGAGAAGGCATGTCCAGGCGACTATTCGTCTCCCATATAGGAGATTTGTCTTCACCTAGGAGAGACTCCCTCCCTCTCGCAACGCCCAGCAGCTTCGCTCGCATCGCAATCGTCTACCCTTTATGCCTCAGCGTTGGGAATACAATACATATCCGCAACAGCCGCTATGCCGGCTCCTCGGGCGTAAAGCTCGTGCTCATACATCCTAGATCCGTCAGGAACCCGCTCGCGCGGGTTGGGACTTGCTCTCCTGACCTTCCTTCGGTCCTCGACGAGGGTCGTGCAAATTTGGCCCTGGACGTCGCGGCCCATACGTAGTCCTATCCTCCTGTCGGCTTCTCTGGCGGGGCGACGGCTTATTACGCAGGACCCTGATTCTCAGGAGCTCTCCTCCATCCGTCCTGCTTGGCAGCGAGGACGAGGCGCGTCCATCGACATCCTTCGGCCTTGGGGATACCGGCGTCTGGCTACGGGATTTAAAGGCGAATAGAAATCGCCCGCCGCCGGCCTACGGCTTGTACGAGAATTACAAGTGACTTCAGATGTCACCTCCGCTTTCCAGACACATCCTAGTCATTCGTGGTTCCCGCGATGAATGCCCCTGGCTCAGAAGCGGAAGGTACCCGGACACGGGTTGCACCGCAGTTCCATTCGTACGGGCTTGCTTACTCACTGACTCGGGACCGAGGATAGACTGCAGCGGCCCTCTACTATTCGGTAAGAAAGGCTTCGAGACGCCGTGCCTGACCAGAGAGATGTCAACCAATGATGCTGCTCATCTATGGGGTAGATACGCTGCCAGCAGAGCTTTGAATCTCGACATCTTGTCCTGGACTCCTCAATCGCCAATTTACTGTCACTGGTCGGCACCAGGACGTGGACGAAATATCGATTTTTTTCTTTTTGCCCTGAGATCGTCTCCTACCAGCCCGTGCAGCGGTGGCATTCGAGGCCGTACTCTCCTTGATCTCAGTCCGTCAAGCTGGAGTCGTCTCTTCCATTGGCAGGACCCAGTGGACCACGAATCGCCAAGGCAGTCTCACGAGTCTCTCAAAGCATTAGCCGCCACTTAGCATTGCCACAAGCCCTTTTTCCAGCAAGTTCATTCACACCGCCAGAATCTCGCTGACAGCTGCCTAGAAAAAATTCTCGCATTGTCTCAGCCCCATCACGAGATCCCAACGCTAACTGCCTCTCGTGGTCATTGTTCCTCTCTTCTACTAATCGGACACGCAGGAGAATTTTTTTCTCTGATGCCTCCTCGTATTAACTTTCTCCTCAGGGGTTTGTTCCCATCCGTGCTCTCATCGAAGCGCTTCGTTAGCGTTACTAACCATAGTAGTAAATCTATGCCGAGCGTGATGATGCAACTGTTGATAACACACGCGCTAAATATCACGAATCTAGGTGAGAACGAGAACACGAACTACCACTGAACGAACCCCTGGCAAGGTCAGTGCTTGCTACGTCCAGAGTCTTGGGGCTGAAGAGCTTGCATTAAACAACTAATACTTGTTCTTTGTCTCATTCTTCAAGAACGCCTATGACGACCAGCTTTCGCCAATCGAGAAAGATCTGGAACCGTATTGACTACATGAATCCATATTCTCTTGGGTCCGATGGCACATAGCCCAAAGTCATCATGCATCGTCACGAATAGTGACCAAAAACCAAAGGGGACATATAGACGGCGAGGATTTTGCATCAAGACACACGCGTAAAGTGGCGATGTGAGTCGCACAAGAAATCGGATTGAAGGGGAGGCGGGTAAACGCAACGACACACAACCGTTCAGAAGGGGGGTATCTGAATTGTGTCAAGTCTGCAGGCCAAGGGACTTGATTTTTCGTTTTCCTTTCCATCCAGCTTTACTAGTACAAGGCAAATCTTTCCCTGCTTTTTGGAGTCGCCCGCCAGACCGCCGTCTGCGGCACGTAGAGCTCTTCATCCAATGCAACCTGCGCGAAGACATTCATGATTCCATGAGAGAGTCCAGTAGTGCCCGGGAGCGATGAGCTGAGTCCTACGCATCTCCTGGGAAGGACGATGACCACTTCTCACTCCATCTAAGAGACTTGATCCAGGTCATCCATCGCATCTCCGTTGTCGATGTTGTCGTTGTCTGCCGCACCGCCGTCCACGACCGCAGGCTCCTCGAGCGGGCCTACTGCTGCCTCCCCGACGATGGCCTCCTCCACCGCAGCCTTCCGCTTCCAGACACGAACCCAGCGCATTCCCCACTGCTGAATCAGATCTTGTTCGACGCTCTCGCCATCGAAACGCTCAATCATTTCATCCTGAGCGCCAGTCGCAACGCCAGCGACAGCATCTCCGATGGCAGTGAAGAGGTCAAGCATGCCGTGACGCTCCCGTGGCAAGGCCTCGTCAATCTGCTTGCGTTGTTCGAAAGACAGGTTGAGGTTGTTCCGCTCGCGCGAGACCTGGCGAACCCTGTTCGTGACCTTGAACATGGTGATGGAGACCATTTCGTAGACTTGAGAAGAGGCGAGTGCGCGACCACGATCCATGCGATCATTCAGAGCCCACTGGATGACAGACATCGGGGTGATGATGCTGTAATTGAGAAGTTTGTCAACAATGTTGACTGCCGTGCCTGGGTGGTCAGCCCAGAACTCGACAACAGAAGAAATGACCTGGCGTCGAGCTGCCTCGGACTGCTGTCCGATTGCGAGCAGGCGGTCTTTGCACCTGTCGATAGTCGAGAGGACGTGTGACAGCGACTTGGACCCGATGCTGAGAATGGCAGTCATGTAGATGTCGGTGCTTGGAACAAGTGGATCTGCAACTCCCAGTCCAGCAGCCTGCTCGTGGACAGAGTTGAGCACTTGCTGAATTTCCTCTTCTGGCGACTTTTTCTTGAGCAAGTCCAGTACCGCACGTCCCTCCTTCGCGTATGGAGTCTGGTCTTTCTCGAACTTGAATGGAGGAATGTCTCTCTCCTTGCTGGCAGGAATGAGGGGATGGTACACCTCAGGAAGGGTCTCGCGGATACGCTTCGCAAACGACAAGCGAATCTCTTTGTCGAGCGCACCAATGATGAACGCCTTCCTTGGATGCAGGTCGGATAGATCGACATCGTTCACCCTTTACACTGTCAGCATTTGTAGGTCATGGATTGGTACTTGCAGCAAACTCACCACTCAGCCCACTTCCATCTAAATTCGAAGTTGCTCAGGTGGTGAGCAAACCAATCCATGAAGCGGTAGGAAAGCTCCATGTCCATCTGGGAGATGTTGCGGAATAGAAAACGGATAGCGCGACCCAGAGTGGGCGCAATTGCTCCTGGAGAGATCTTGCAGGACTCCGTGATGAGCGAGTGGTAGTATACAACGCGATGCTCAGGGGTGGGGAGCTGGAAGAGCTGGGAGAAGATGGCATCAATGCATACGTCTTCAGACTTCCACGTAGGCTTGCCATCTTCGACGTCTCTCAGCTTGTCGAAAGCCATAGATCGCTTCACGAAGCTTCCGGTGCTCCAGAAGCAATCGATCTCGGTCAGGATCCTGGCCACGGCAATGCGGTTAAAGTCCAGTATGTTTATGGTATCGACAACAGCATCTCGAATCAAACACGCTGCAATGTTTGAAGTGGGTGGCACAGACTCGACCTCCTGGTCAGCGAACACTGAGAAGTAGATTTCAGGAAGTAGGGTTCTCGATCCCGTGTGGAGTTGCGCCGGAACGGTAATAACGGGGAACGCGTGCTTCGTCGCCGGAGTTTCGGTGTCGGCGTCCCCGTTCGTCTCTCCGTTGCTCTCGTCTTCTGCTTTGACCACTGTGTGCTTGTAAGTTGGGTCGTACGGTCTTGGCATGCAGGAGAGCTTCCAGCCGTTGCTGGACTCCTCGGTCACTTGGGCTTGAAGAAGCGAAATGACGCTGGCGCAGGTCATGGGCTTCTCATCCTGTTCGTTCGTCTGCGGGTAGGGATCCACCAGGGTTTCGAGCGCATGCGTGGTGCTCGCAATGATATCCGTCTTTTCCAGCAACCCAGATACTCTCGCCTGCAACGAGTCGTCCGTTGAGTACGCGACTAGGTAAGGAATAGTCAGCAGAATGATTTTGACAAGTTCAATGCCAACAGCCTAAGACAGTGTGTTAGTAAAATCGCATCAAAATCCACACGCAGTGTGCGTCTCACATCTTCAGACGAGGCAGTTTGCAGGTCAGCGGCGCGGCCAAAGAGCTCATCCAGAATCGGCATCACTCCATCCTCCTCAAAGAGACGGCTCAGGGAGGCAAAGAATCGCAGCAGCAGCTTGAAGTCCCTCCATCTGCCCTCCTCCAGCGCTTCCTGTAGCTGTTGTCCAGCCTTTGCGATGACATCTCCTGCGATTTCCGACTTCTCCGTGTTCGCGTACAGCACCACGGCCGCCACAAACGGAATCTTGAACGGCTGCTCCAATACCAACTTCAGCGCGGCGATGTTGAAAGTGTCCTTGACGTATTCGTCGTCGTAGTTATCGGCGGTCAATTTCGCAATTTCAGCCGCGACTCGATGCGGCAGTTTTCCGTGGTCTTCTGCTATTGCGAGCAAGTCTCGTCGGATTCTCGTGCCTGGCGGCGGATCCGGGCGATGGCGCTGGTTGCGAAGGCCTTGGTCAAAGTCGTCGTCCTCTGCGCGCGGCAAGTTAGTTATGATGAAGTGAACGGAGGACCAATTTCAGGAGCTCGTACCGCGACCTCGCTTGCGCTTGCCACCGCCTGAGTAGCGCCCGCCGCCGTGTCGATAATCGGGTCTCCTGTCGTAGTCCGCCATTGCGATTGCCGTGTACGGATAGCTTCGATGTCGGAGTTGTTGGATTGGATGGAAGTGAGCTGCGATGAAGTTTGCCGCGTTGCTTCAGATCTGGAGAGCTGTCGCGCAAGCTTGGGCCTGTGGCTTGACCCGAACTAGCGCTTCGGTTGCTCCCGTGCGCCACATGAAAGCGCTACTCCAAGCACGAGACAACAACATCCATCCTCGCCATTTCAACTTCCAACACCAATCGAACGGACAGAGTGTAGCCAAGATGCCCGCCCTCCGCACGGCCAAGAACCGCAAGCCGCCACCAGATGGCTTCGAGGACATCGAAGACACCCTTCTCGAATTCGCCAATAAAATGAAAGACGCCGAAAATGCCAGCCACGAAGGCAAGAAGAAGAATGAGATGTCCTGGCCCATCTTCCAAATTGTCCATCAGCGTACGTATCCTCCCCCAGCCTCGTCCAGCTACGAGATCTTTCACATGCATGGAAACTGCCCCAAGCGGCCGCGAAGGTGAGGCTATCGTTCTCATTGACCTCACACGGGCGGTGTTGCGGGCATATTTAGAATCGCATACTAACAATGATTGACCAGGCTCCCGATACATCTACGACCTCTACTACGAGAAAGAAGCCATCAGTAAGAAACTCTACGACTGGTTGCTCAAGAACGGGTACGCCGATGGAAATCTCATCGCGAAGTGGAAGAAGAACGGCTATGAAAAGGTAAATATGACCATTTCCCTTCCCGCTAATTGCCTCCCGAAAGGAATTATGTGCTGACTTTTGGGACACGTCTAGCTCTGCTGTCTCCGCTGCATCCAGACCAAAGAGACCAACTTCAACGCCACGTGCAGATGCCGTGTGCCCAAAGCACAGCTGAAAGAGGATCAAGATAATCCTTGTGTCAGCTGTGGGTGTCGAGGCTGCGCGAGCGGTGACTAGGCTTATTGCTATATCTCTTCACGAATCCGCATGGATGGCTGGCTGGCTGGCGTATATGGCGTTAGGGGCAATAGATTCGTGGCAACCGTTCTGGTACCAATAAGTATGAGTTGGCTTACCCCAAAATCAGTGCCTCTTTTCAAGTTACGTTCGCGGCTTTGGCACCATAGGAGAAGTCAACACACCAGCGGCGGAACAACCAAAACATTAAATTGGGTATCATCTACGAAGCAAGAGGACTCTTCGGCCTTTCATTTGGACCGCCGCCATTCCCTATCGGCCAGTTTGCTGGCTTCTTGGGCTTTTTACGATTCTTCTTCGGGCTGACTGTACTCTGAACGTGCATGGCATCACCCGAAGGTTCCTTCCTACTCATATCCGGCGAGCTGTCTTCATCGCGTTCATCATCACAATCGCTCTGTGGCCCACGCAATGCAGGCGAAGGCGGCTCGACCAGAAACGCTGGTCCCTCTTTGCTCTGCGGTCGGCTTACTTCCGAGTCCGTCAATGTGTGCGCACCGGCGACAGGCTCAGTCTTTGAACGCCAGAGCTTTCTCCTGAAGAGACTGACGGGACTTCTGCTGTCTGGCGATGGACTGTTAGGTGGTGACTCCCAGCCGCTTCGTAGAGCTGCAGTCGAACGATTCATCATCTGCTGCATCAGTGGCATCTCCATGTATCCGCCACCTCCTCGTCCAAACAAGACTAGCGCCAGGCACAGCAATAGCAGAGTCGACTGCACCATGCCGAGTCGCTTTTGCCAAACAAGTTCATCCGCCACCAAAGTCAGCCGGGCGCTGAGAGCAAGCATCTCTCGTTGGTATGCCTCGCGCTGTGCTTCTAACTCGATGACCGTACTCTGCCAAAGCTGGTCATAAGCTTGCCGAAACCCATGTAGCTCTGCCATCACAGTTCCGTTGAGTTGCGAGAGGAAGTTGGATGTGGTGGAAAGCTGCCGCTTCTCCACCTTGCTGAACGCATCTCGGAGTATGCGTGACTGCTCTTCGATATATTGCAGACTCAGTGTGCTGTTGCTCTCGAGCTGAGTCAAGCGCTTGGCGAACGATTTGAAAAAGGACTCCTGTGAGGACGGCTGAGGTGGCTGCGATCCCATGGAGGGTGACGCAGTTGCACGCGCTGTGTTTATCGTCGGCGTGTTGACGCTGGTCGAGTTGGCGTTCTCGCCCATCGTAGTGACTGTCCCAAGGGACGTGCTGTTCTCACCACTCCCCAAAGAAGTACTAAGATTTGTTTGTGTCTCGTTTTGGCTTTGAGCAGGGTTTTCTGCAGTGGTTGTGTTGGTCACGGCTGCTGGGATTCCTGATTCCGAGTTGTTGGACCGGCTTGCGGGCGCCGATGTCGAGTTTGCGGGTATGCCATTTAAAACGCTGCTGTCAACTGCAGCATCCCCAACATGGGATGCTGCGCTGCTTTCGCATGGTGTAGTGAATAAATGTGCCTCTGAAGTGACAGTAGAACTTCGGCATGTCATGTTTGAGTTCGGGAGCTCATGGACTCCGACTTGCATCGGTGGTGCGGAGCCGTCAAACGTCAAGCCAGTTGAGTTACTCGATGCATTTGTCTCTTCCGGGCTCAGTTCTTCCACAGCGCTTGATATTGTCGCTGTCGGGGCCGTTTGCTCCTTCAGATCGTTAGTCATTGGCTCATTTACGGTTGATATAGGTTGTCCAGCGCTGTGGTCCGTAGTCTCTCCAGAGCCTTCTGCTACCGGCGGCACGGCTGAAACGTCCGGCTCGAGAGCAATTTCTTCCTCGTTCTCGCCTCGTGCAAGGTCCTCTGCATGCCGATAGTCTTCGATCATGGTTGTGCCATGGACCCGAAGCAAGCTCACCGGGCAATAGTACTCCGTACCGTAGTGCGTCAGGAATTCGATCCGGAGATATTTTGCCCAGATCAGCGGGTTCTCGATGAGGAACGCCTGGATATCGCGGACGTTCATGGCTTCAAATGTACCCAGGTCTTTCCACTTGTCCATCTTGACTGGATAGCGATCGGAAACGGACACCCGGAAGTGGCGGAAACTTGAGCTAAAGAACTCATAATTCGCAAGCACAATCGTGTCAATCTGAATGTCATCGCACAGCTCAACAATGAAGAACTTGTTGTCTGCTGAGCATTTGTTGAGCATGTAGCTGTCCTTGTTTTCGACCAAGACCGAGGAAGCCGACTTGCATTCCTTGTTGGACTTTAAGACGGTGGCGGAACAATCGAAAGAAGCATAGTTGGTACGCTCTTTGCATGTCTTGCCTGCATCCTTGGAGCGACTGACTACGCTTCCAGACGGTCCATCGTGGGCGCTGGCTGGTGCCGAAGCATGTGATTGAGGGCCATCTGGTATCGACATCTGTGCACCTCCTCCAAAGCCTGAAAAGTCAAGGTTGATTTCGCTTTCCTCGCCTAATGTGTCCAGGGCGTTGTTGATGCCAGGGCGTGGACGATGAGGGTCAACAAGTTGACCGTGTCCTACATCGTCAGGTGATTGGCCGGTCTTGGCTAAGTTCTGCTTCTTCCATTCCTCGAACGACAAAAAATTTGCGTTGTCGAGAGGCGAATCAGCTTCTTCAGCGACAGCGACAGAAGGTTCGAGAGCTGTTTTGGCAGTGCTTGTGACCTCTGTGGAAGAAGTGACAGTCGACGTAGTGGTAGTTGTCGAGACGCCGGTATCCACGGTCTCTATGTCAACAGATGAGGTCTCATTGGAAGGGCCTGGAGTCGAGGGGTCTATATGAGCAGTGGGTGTTGTTGACCCAGCATCCTGGTACGTGCCTACGTTCGTCGAGACCGTTTCCGTGGAGTTTGAAGCAGCAATATGGGTGGCGTTATGGGGCACGCGATCAGTCCGCAGGCATTGGCGTGGAAGGGTATGTGTGATGTAATTCACGGTCCGGCTGGGGCAGGTTGCATTGCCAAGCTTCGAGGAGAGTCCAGCAGTATCGTAGAAAGTCGTTGAACTCGTTCTTGGTGTCGCATGCGTAGTAGTCGTCGTACTTGGAGTAGCAGCTGTGGTCTCTGGGCCCGCCGAAGAAGTATTGCCGGTAGCGCCGTAGACCCCCCAGATAAGGACTCCAAGTCGCAGCAGTCTATTCATGTTGCCGCCGCATTCTTGGTCTTCAAGTCCACATCCATATATGCGAGAGATCAGGTGCCTTGATCTTGCAGTTGTCGGGCACAAGACAGTCGCAGTTGACAGCTTGCGCTCTGAGGTTGCAACGCCACACGGAAGCCGGTCCCGAGGTCAAAGGCCAAGTGGTCGGTGTGGCTGGCTTCGTCGTTCAAAGAGAACAATTAATACGCCGGAGACCTGGTCACGTGCTGGTCAATCAGCTAGTCCTGGAAGTGGAATCCTATGGTGAGGTGGATTGTGGACTAACGTAAGATATCTTAGGTTAAGTTGTGATCGCGTCCCCCTATGCTTAATTAAAGTCTGTAGGGCGTAGGGCTCGCGGGCAGACAGCCGGATCCGAATCCGAGCACTGCAACATGCAAACCACGGCTTCCATTGCCTCTCACGTCGCGTCGGCCTCTTCACCATCGTGAGCCGCAAAGATGACGCTGGTCTTCTCTGCTAGAGCACGCATGCTCTGGGGCCATGCGCCTCGCGTAAGGTCGGCGGCTGCCTTCCGGCGCACACTCGCCACGGTCGCCGACGTCCCATCAAGGTAGGTCTACCTAAACCCACTGCTCTGGACTTTCTTGACGAATCTATAGACCGGCTGTAGACGTAGTCGTCATCGGCGGAGGACACGCAGGTTGTGAAGCCTCTGCAGCCGCCGCGCGATCCGGTGCCCAAACAACACTCGTTACGCCGTCTTTCGACAATCTGGGAGTTTGCAGTTGCAATCCGTCCTTCGGCGGTATTGGCAAAGGCACGATGATGAGGGAGATCGATGCGCTGGATGGAGTGGTCGGAAGGATCACAGACAAGGCTGGGGTACAGTTCAGAGTGCTGAACAAGAAGAAAGGACCTGCAGTATGGGGACCGAGGGCTCAGATCGATCGAGCCTTGTACAAAAAGCACATGAGAGAAGAGATCATGAATTACGCCGGCTTACAGGTCAAGGAAGGTAAGGTTGCGGACATCATCATAGATCGATCTCCTGAGGCGGCAGCAGAGGGACGACATGGAAAGATCAAAGGAGTCAGGCTGGAGTCGGGCGAGATCATCGAAACACAAAAGGTGGTGATTACGACGGGTACATTTCTTGGAGGTGAGATACACATAGGACTGGATGTATTTCCATCCGGGCGGATGGGAGAAGCTGCCACGTTTGGTCTGTCGAAATCGTTGAAGGAAGCAGGCTTCACGCTGGGAAGACTAAAGACGGGAACACCTCCACGATTAGACAAGAAGTCTATCGACTTTGCGAGATTAGAGGTGCAGCCCGGCGACGAGCCTCCAGTTCCCTTCTCCTACCTCAACGAGCGAGTCGCGGTCGAAGAGCAATTGAACTGTTGGAGTACTCATACCAACCCAGAGGCGCACAAGATTATTCGTCAGAACCTGGACAAGAGCATTCACATCCGAGAAAGCGTTAAGGGACCCCGATACTGTCCATCTCTGGAAAGCAAGGTCATTCGATTCACGTCGAAGAACCAGCACCTCATCTGGCTTGAACCCGAAGGGCTGGACAACGATGTCATCTACCCCAACGGCGTCAGCATGACTGTCCCAGCGGAAGCCCAAGAAGCTATGCTCAAGAAGGTCGTCGGTCTCGAGAACGTCAAGATGATCCAGCCAGGCTACGGCGTCGAATACGACTATGTTGATCCTCGAAGCTTAAAAAGCACCCTCGAGACCAAGGCGATCAGCGGCCTCTTTTTGGCAGGTCAGATCAACGGCACAACGGGCTACGAAGAAGCCGCAGCACAAGGTATTGTCGCCGGCATCAACGCCGGGAACTCCGCAATCGGTCGCCCTCCCTTCACCATGTCGCGAGCGGAAAGCTACATCGGCATCATGATCGACGACCTCATCACAAAAGGCGTCAGCGAACCCTACCGCATGTTCACCAGCCGAAGCGAATACCGCATGTCCGCACGCGCCGACAACGCCGACCTTCGCCTCACCGCCAAAGGCCATGAAGCCGGCATCATTACTCCCCATCGTTGGTCAGCTTTCCAAGACGAAAAGAATCAAATGGACGAAGTCCGCTCTCTCCTCGAATCCAAACGCCTTTCATCTCAAAGCTGGATCGAGAACGGTTTCCCAGTCCGAAGCGACAGTATCAAACGCTCGGCTTTCGACCTCCTCCGACACAGCAACATCTTCGCCTCGTCACTCACCTCTGTCATCCCAGAACTCAAAACTTACAACCCTCGCATTCTCCGCAGGATCGAAATCGAAGGAACCTACGCTCCCTACATCGCCCAACAGACCAACGCCTCCGCAGCCTTCGCAAGAGACGAGTCTCTGCTCCTCCCTCCTAATATCGACTACCAAGCCATCCACGGCCTGAGCTTCGAGGAGAAAAACGCGCTGTCCGCAACGAGACCCGAGAGTGTGGGGCAGGCGAGGAGAGTGGAAGGCGTCACGCCTTCGGGTGCTCTGTGTCTCCTGGCCTATGCCAGAGGCGCGTGGCGGAAAGAGCGGAAATCCAAGGTCTTTGTCAAGGAAACGGATGAGGCTCAGCCTCCGGGGCGAGAAGTCGAGGTTTTGGCGTAGTGCGGTTCATGCCCGATCGGGGGTTTCAGTTGTAAGATGCAAGCAAAGCGACGGCGTTGGGCGGGAATGCATACACGCATGCGCTGTGAGTTCATAGTACTTGGCTGGCTGGTGTAAATGCGTTGAGTCTACACTTCAAAATCATGTGAGCAATGCGTACCTGCAAGAGGCAATTCACATTGGCATCCAATTGCTATTCCATGAAGCCGCGAGAGCCAGGACCGCGCCGTCTTTACTACAAAGGTGCGGCATCTCACAACAATGCGATTCATGTGTAAAGATATAGTCGAGAAACAACATGAGCCATCAAGGCTCTCCTTTTCGTTTTTTGTGCTCCTCACTATGCTAGGTACTCGTTGCAAAATACGCGCACACAGAGGTAGCCGTGTCGCGTCGCACCATCAGACAAGAAAAAGAAGAGCAAGCAAGCAAGCAAGCAGCAGCAGCAGCATCATCTCAAAAACTTTCCCTTTTGTAGTAGTCACACTCGCAGAGGGTGTTCCTCTAGCCCAGCCAGCCAAAAGATTTCCCACTCTCCGCTTTCCCTTGACCCCTTTTCACGCCGATTTGATGGTTCTGACAGTGAGGGTAGAGGAGGGCCACTTCAGCCCGCCCTGGTAGACTAGCCAATCGTTTGCCTCCCCCACGTGCCCTCTTGTCCGCTTCATGCCGTTCCCCATCGTGGTTGAGAAGAAAACATTCTACTTTCTGAGCTCACTCACACACCCCAGCTAGAGAGTAGCATTCCCACGCCAATCTTGCTTGCTGGTTCGGACCAAATGCACGTCCGCAGCTCAATGTGATGAGAAGGAGCAGCACACCGCGAAGTGTATGGTATTTCCCGTTAGTCCAAAACGTGCGCCGAAGACTCCAGGCCCGCAAACGCCGTTGTGAATGCATCGCTGCGTGACATCATTACTGAAAGCTCATTGCTCGATGCAATGAGTTCGAGAGAGGTCGACTGTTCTCCAGGTCGCCCTCTCAATCCAGACGAGCAATCATTTGATCCTTGGTCAGCGGTGTCAAGTTGTCAATGTCCAGTCCCTTGGCGGCCAGGACCGGCTTCATGTGCGCTGGCACAAGCTGGTGGTTGAGTTGGGTTGCAATCGACAGCTCTGTGGATACGTGTCAGCGTGGAACCATTTGAAACATTGGCTTGGGCGCGAACTCACCATGGTGGGAGAAATCAAAGAGATTTGGCAGCTCCTTACTGCCTCCGTTGGTGTGGCGAGAGTCCGGCAATTTCGTGTTGGGATCTCGGAGCTCGTCGAAGAACGGGTGCACCATGGCGTCAATAGCCGACAGGCGCTGCGTCGGCGTGTACTCAAGCAGCCGCGAAATCAAGTCGATCGCATTAGGGTCGGCCTTTCTAAACACCTAAATAGACATGTTATCAGCCCTGATTCTCATATAAGCTCTGCAGATCAAATCATACCTTGCTGAATGGGTGCGGCTTGATTTGAGGGAACTTGTGCTCCATGTAATTCGGGTTCATAGTCCGGATCTGGTCGCGAGTCGGCGTGCCAAGAACTTTGATGATCTCCACCAGCTGGTCAATGCCAGACTCGCCTGGGAATAGCGGCTGACCGAGCATCAGCTCCGCCATGACGCAGCCGGTGGACCAAACATCTGATGGAAGCTGTTAGCACATGTTCTCCGAAGTTACGGAGATTAGGCGTAATGTTGCATTTCGAAATGGGGAGGACATACCGATCTTGGTGGTGTAGTTGGTCGCGCCAAAGATGAGCTCTGGAGCGCGGTAGTATCGCGAGCAGATGTACGAGACATTTGGCTCGTTCTCCACCAGGATCTTTGCGCTGCCAAAGTCGCAAAGCTTCAGGATGCCAGACTGCGGGTCCAGGAGCAGATTCTGCGGCTTGATGTCTCTGTGGCAGATACCCTGGGAGTGGATGTAGGCGAGCGAGCGGAAGAGCTGGTAGATGTACAGCTTGACCTCGAGGATCGGCATGGTCGTCTTGAGCTTGTTGAAGTGTCGTGAGGCTCGGTAGACGGTCTCGGGGACGAATTCGAGCACGAGGTTCAGGTAGACCTCATCTTTCTGCGCCTGAATCAGAGCTGTTTGCACACCCATCTTATTATCGAGGTCTCGGACCCTGTCACCGTTGGAGTAGTAGAACGCCTTGAGTTCGACAATGTTTGGATGGCGGACGATGCGCATAATCTGGAGTTCTCGGTTCTGATAGAGGTCAGCAGCGGCGTCGTCCACCTCATACTGAGGTGTCGCGGATTCGGTCGAGCGTACCTTGAAACGCTTGTCCTGTAGGACCCGCTTGATGGCTGCATCCTCACCCGAGGGTGAGAGCTTGGTCTGGAATACTACGCCAAAGCTGCCGTTGCCCACAATCTTGCACTGGGTGTATTGCATCTCCTTGGTCTCGCCTGTGAGGCCATCCTGAACCTTCTCGCGAATGACTTCTGCGGTGGATGTTAGCTCAATGCCTTACCAACGGGTATCACGTGCTTGGAGTGCCATACCACCCATCCTCAAGCCTTGAAACGCCGACGGCCGATTTTGTGACATGCTGTGGGGGTTGGAGTGGTAGGTAGCAGATACTCGCGCGCGCAACTGGCCGTGGTTGCTATCGCGAGTACGGCGGGCTGCGATTGAGGAGCGGGTTCGGCGACGGGGGCGGGGCGCAGATGAGGTCCGTGGTGGGCGGTGGCGCGGGCGGGGACGGAGGTGGTGGTGTGAGAGGGCGCGCGATGGCGGATGGTACGGTGATAGCTCTTGGGGTGTCGAGCAAGCAGATGATGTCGAGAGTCAGGTGCCACGAGAGCCAGCGGTCGTGGAAGCGGCGAGTCAGAAGTCGGTGCTCGGCTCGAGCAGCAAGCAGCAGCAGTAGCAGCAGTGGTGGCAGCAGTCGCTACCTTAGGTAGCAGCAGCAGTGCGGTGGTGAATTGAGGCTGCGGGCTGGCCTGGGCTGGGCTGCAGGCAACGCGGTGGTGCAGAGGGCAGGCGGAGGATGATGCGGTGCGGCGCAGGCGGACGGTAGTGGGAGGAGTTGTCGCGGTGGATGTGAGCGGTGCGCAAGGCAGCTCGAAAGGGTAGGAGGTGTGGGTGGAGGATGTTGGATGTTGGAAATGGTAAGGTAGGTAGTTGGTGGTGGTGGTGCTGTCGGTCGAGGTTTGGTTTGGGTGATGCACGGTGGAGCGTGGTGAATGAGGTGCACAGTGAGTGGTGGTAGAGTGACTACCTAGTAGAGTGATGGATGTGAGGTGGGCCCCTCTTCGATTTCGCACGGTCGACGATTGGGCCGTTGCTGCTGTCGGGTCAGGTCTGATCACGAGTCGCTCCAGTCGCTGCTCTGTGCTCTGTGCTCACTCTGCTCGCTGGCGGAGGGCGGCGCGGCAACGGAAGGTATAAGGTAATGACGGGACGCTCAGGCACAGACCACCGCTCCTTCGCACCTTAACCTCATCACACATGCAAGTCAAATAATAACGGAAGGGAATCAAATGAGCGCTACGCCGTGTGCAAGCCAGTAGGGGCTCTCTTGACGGTCTACGAATCGACGGGACGGTGGACACGCGCACGCTCGAGGCGCAAACCGCCTCTCTGTCTCTCTGTCTCTCTCCCTCCCTCTCTCTCTCTCTCTCTCTCTCTCTCCCTCTCTCTCCCTCTCTCTCTCCCTCTCCCGCTCAGGGTGCAATGCAATTTGACGGTAGTGGAGACTTCAGTAGTTGCGCACAGGAGGAGAAATGGAAGCCAGGCCGGTACCCACAGCTGTAGCTCGGAGGCCATGTCATGTGGTCACATGCGTTCTGCCATCCAGCAAAATCAGCTCTCCCGCCTCCCGTCCTCCCGCCTCCTGTCCGCTGAAAGCCTTGGCATCGCTCCCTCACCAACTACCACGCCGCCGCCGCCGCCGCCGCGATCCTCTGCAGCCGCGCCTGGCCGCCGTCACACACAGCAGTTGAGGCCGAACGACAATATTCACTACTGTCGCATGCCGTGGTTGAGATGCCGATGCCCACGTGCCGTGAGGAGCGCTTTGGCCTCCCCTCTACCGTACCTACAGACGCCGGTCATGGGATTCTTGCAGCCGCAGATCGCTTGTCCGCGTCTTATTGGACCGCATCTCTCTCCATCTCCTCTCCTCCCTCTCGCTAACCTGCTGCGTACTTTGGTCTGCACATCACGCGTGCTCGACGCTTTCGTATGGCCACTTGGGCCGAGCGGAAGCCTGTCCCACTTGTCACTGCCAACGCTCCCCCGGCCGCCGCACTTCACACCGGGTCTGTCATCGGCGGCTCTTCCACAAAACATCTGCTTCACTCGTGTCTGCTTTGCCTGCGCCCGGGCTCCCGCAGCAAATAGCCTTCTCTCAGCGTCCGCTCCACTGCATGAGCTCGCGCGTGCATCCGCTTGGAGCTTCGTCCAACTGCATCCTCTCGCGCTCGTCCTAGAACATCGACCTGCAGCAGTTACAAAGCGGTACATACCAGCAGAATGACGGCTGGCCCTTCACTCAATCTGATCCTCGAGCCAATCAGCGAAAAGCCGATCGAAAGTACGTTCTACTCCCGACGGTCCAAGCGCCCCAGCTTTCCAAGCTTTAGCAGCGACACACGCCATCGGGCGTCTGGCTACGACCAGGCCAGACCCAGCCCGACCAAGCAGTCGTCTGCTTCTATACCGCTGGCCTCGTCAGCCTGATGCAGGCTCGAACGTCGTGGTGGAACACTAGGACCGCGTGGTCTGGACGCCCGTTGTGATGACATCCTGAGCAGCGGATACGGAATTCGCTCATCTTCTTGGAGAAATGGAACAATTACCAAGCACTCAGGCAGATATCTGCCATGTGGCTTCACCATTTGAGCTTCGTACAACTCCGGCCTTACACCCGCAACCTCAACGAAGGCGCTGTTGTGGGAGAAGGCAGATGTGCTCCCGTTTCGGAACATGACCCGAGATCCTGAAATCCCAGCTACTCATCAGCACCTTCCACATGTCCTTTCGCCAGTCGCCACCACCAATTTTAGGCGAGCGAAAATTTGGGCACGTATTACATTTTTTTCTGGACCAACCTATGCCCGAGACCAATTGGTCGTAGAGCGAGCAGTGACTGCGTAACATTCAGCAGACAGTAATGTGAACCTACGAAGTTGCGCCGCTGCCGAGCGCAGTAGTAAAGCATTGCAGCTTCCCGTCAAGTTTGCCAACTTGCAGTAACCCCGACATCTCCACAGACCTCGTGCCCCGGTGTGGAGTCTCCAGATGTCATCTCACTGACCTCACGCCAATCGCGGCCTCTTGCAGTCCCTCATCTTGGGCTCCAACCCTTCCGATGCTTCACCTATCCAGGACTGAAAGACTGACCATCGAGAACAAGAATATATGCCAAGATAATTCGGTTCTATTCTCGAGTTCAAAAGCTGAAACATCGATGAAAGGTAAAGCCCTCTTGCTTCGGGGGAAACACAACAAGACTCAGCACTTCGAGCTCTCTCCCGATCATGTCCACAAACTGCACAGCGGCACATAGGTACCGCATCTCTGGCGCCGATCCCAAAAAAAGACGCCATTGTGACCACACCCAACATGGATCCACTTAAATCACCGTAATATTGACACCCACCCGTCCACTATCCGCGGAGTAGCATCCCAGCTGCTCGCTCCTACTGCATACGGCATGTGACACGGGCGGGGACGAGCACATGGTTAGGTGCGCTTATAGCGACGGCGTTCCCAACGGACTCACCAGTACAGCGCCAAGTCGTCTCACGATGTGAAACGGCAGAGCAGGAGTTCATACCGTTTCGTCGGGTCCCAGGTAGACTGAAAGTCTTACCGCTCCATGAGCCTCAGCACCGGCATGGCTCAGCCGAGTGCTATCAGCCGAGCGGCTGAGGTATTGTGGTCATCGGCTGGTTGCGTAGACATCACTGTGCCGAAGACCCGGATATAAGCTCCGCGCGAATTGTGTTGTTTCCATTACTGCTGACCCTATGGAAAGAAATCAGGAAACCATGCTCATTGACCCAGCACAACCACAAGGGCAAAACACGCCTACTTTTTCCAGGCACTGTCCTCATCCAAGCACTGTCTGAGATCTTTCAGCGACGGATACCGCTTCTTCAGCTCCGGCAAATTCGCCCCGTACCCGTCGGTCCTGAACCAGTCGAACATAATGCTCACTTTCTCACTCAGTAACCACTTCAGAATGACTATGATGAAGGGATAAGTCGTCGGTATCTCATTTCCCGTCATCTCCTTCAGGCTCTTCGCAGCTTCGTCCACGGTCAGTCAGGTCATCGCCGACCAGAGAAATCGCACCATTCCGATATTCTTCAGTCTCCATCTTGAGCAGCGCATCTGCCGCTATCTTCCCGAGACCGACGTCGGAACCAGTTGCAACATGGTGTCCCTCCCTGTCCCGTTCAGCGCCCAGTAGGAAACAAATGCTTTCCCAAGAAATTCATTGGTCATTGATCAGATTATCCATGAAAGCGACAGGACCCATGAAAGTGTAGGTGAAACTTTCTCTCTTTTTTGCCTATTCCTGAATATATTTCTCAACATGGTACTTGCTAATGAAAAAGCGGCACGGGCGTCGGATCGTCCTCCCTCTCCTGCGGGCCCCCTTTTTCTACCGACGTAAAAGAGAACGAGCTTCACGCCGGCTCCGACGGCTGCTTTTGCCATTGCTTTTCCTTCTGCTTCTTCTTGTTTCGCATTCGTAGTCATGGTGACCAGGGAACATGCCCCAGAGGTCTTTTACTTGACTGAAGATCTCGGCTGGTTTTGCGAATTTTCCCCTCGATTAGGTGGACGTTGGAGATTTTCTGGGGCGAGGCGTTTGGCGCTGTTGGATGTCTTGTCGCGCGTTAGGGCGTAGCGAAGGCTTTGGGTCGGGAGGAAGAGGGTTGCCTTCCTGTTGCGCCTGTTACAGCGAGGCGGCGGAGGGGAGCGGCAGCCACAATGGATGGAGATGCTGCTGTTCGGTATCGGTCATTGTCGAGGTCGGGTGGCTAATGCGTCTCCAGTCTATGTGTACGATGAGTAGATGGAGATGCTAGGAAACTGGATAGAACTGAATTGCCATGTGCTGGACACGGCCATGTACTTATTCATTCCTACGCTTCGCTCTTCGCGCCTTTGGTGTGCCGGCTCTTAGTGATTTTGAATCATCCACGATAGGAAAGCGTGCGCAATTGACTTTCGAACACGCCATCTGGAGGCGGATGAACAGATGGACGATGCGCGGTAGAGTGGTGGTCGAGATGTTTCTCAGACGACCGCTTAGCGCGGTCACGTGCTGTGGAAGCTGTCTCGGCGGCACTTTACTCCGACGAATCACATTCCACTCTCTCTGAACGATACAAACAAGCGGTTTTCTTCCCGCCGCGGAGGCCCTCTCCGCACGAACTCGAAGAATGGCAAATTCATTGGAGCACAACACAGCGAAAGACACCATCGGCAGCTGTGGGGTACCAGCTTCGAGCGCTGAGGTCTGGCAGCTCGAGATGGCGGATGTTCAATACTATCAAGACCTTTGCTCAGCGTGCCAAGGAACGGGAATGGACACGCTGGACGCGGCTAATTTGAATGCTGGTATCATACAGACAATATCGCAACTGGAGATGGAATCGAGAGTACCATCCCAATGCCAGTCAATGGCATCGGCAGCGTCCCTCACCCTCCTCTGCTGATTTCCAAAATGGGGGATGACGCCGGCTCGAAAGGACAAAAAGGCCGTCTCACTATTGTCGGTGGCGACATAATGTACGTCGCAAATGTGTCGGAGCTCGAAACCAGCAGGAGAATCTTGGAGAACATGAACGATTAAGATCACTCTTCGCCTTGGATATCGCAACGCTACGCTCTCCGCAAAATTTTGGTCTTCTGGAGTTTGCGAGAGGTTGCCTATGGCAATCCTGCAAATCCGATCATGACTGTTTCCGGGCTCTGTAAGAGCAATCTTCTGCGTAAACATGACAAGGCGCCGGATGTTCTTGAGAATATGGCCCGTACGACAGAAGTAGGTAGAAGAACGCTCGTGCATGCTGGTTAGTCCGGAAGTCGGCAAGGAAGCGCACAGCGAATTGCTGAGGGATGCAGAGATGGATCAGAGGGATTGAATGTCACCACCGCACAAGCAAAACGACTCGCGAGGGAATGGAACGATGAGATCTTTGGACATTTGAATGATCTGTTACTAGGTTGTTTTGCGGGGCTAAGGAAGGAACGCCCATTTCCTTGTATCCAATCGCCACATCGACCACCACCCCAAGTCCATGTACAAGACGAAGATGTCTAATAACGCCACCCATGAAGGCATCAACAGATCATGCATTATTGTCTGCTCAGCGTGTGAGTGAGAGGTGTTTGGTGCGAGCTAGGAGAACCATGTACGGAGCTTTGCGGGAAAGTGTGTTAGTAGTGATTCACACAGAGGTTGCGAAATTTTGATGACGGCCGGGGTCCAGCGTGGCGGTCATCATCTTCGGGCTCTTTGCTGTGCGGTCGAGGAAGTCTCCGCGCATCATGAAGGAGCATTCTGCTCGCCTTCCTACATGTAACCGCCTATCTTACTCAGACACGTCAGGTACAGGTAAGCGGTCCTGGATCATGTTGATTTTTGGTACCGGAAGCTGGCGTCGAGTCCATCTCTTCCCGCGTCTTCCGTTCAGCTCGTTCATCTCACTTCACGTGTCCAATCCTCTCGTAATTTGGCGAGCGTGTTGCGGCAAGGATCAGGTAGTTCTAGGGAAGCCAAGAGTAGGTAGCTTGGCCAATGAAAGCGCGCCTGGACCGCGGTTCTACAATCATCACCGCAGTGGACACGAGACCGAACCCAACAATCTCTCTGGTCATCACTATAAATTATACTATGAAATGGCTGCACTCTCTCTTCTTTAGGACTGCCGTGGTAGTTGCCTTTCTCGGGACGGCGGTCGGCATGTACAGTGAGTTCATATTGAGCTCGTCGAGGATTGGAGAGAAACGGAGCTAACGAGGTCCAGCAATGCTCGCTCAATCGGTACGCCATCTGCACGATCAATCTTACTGCTCCGCACGACATTGCTAACGTCTACCAGCTTTTCCCGTTTGCCCTCTCCTGTACGTGACCATCGCGAGACCTCTGAAGCATTCCATGGTTGACATCCGAGATTCCAGATGGCTTCCTCATCCATCCCAATTTGGCCACGGCCAAACACCATCCCGGTGACCTCCGCATGAACCAGATTCAAGTCGTGGGAACGCACAACAGTTACCATCGCGAAATCAGTCTTGCAGAACGAACCGTGTTCGAGAAATTCGTCCCCAGCCCGGAGAATTACTACTACTCGCACTCCAAATGGACAGACCAGCTGGACCACCAACAAGTCCGATCCTTTGAGATCGACCTTCACAGCGACCCTGAGGGTGGACTCTATGCTCACCCTTTGATCTGGAAGCTTAGCAACCTGACGAATGCCACGGTGCCGTTCAACGATTCGAGCATGGAGAAGCCCGGCCTCAAGGTGTTCCACATTACCGATGTGGATACGAATGCAATTTGCCATACCTTCAAAGAATGCCTTACACAGCTGAAAGATTGGTCGGACAAGAATCCGCACCATCTACCTCTCACCTTTGACTTGGAGCTCAAGTCCGATGCGCTAGGATGTAGCCTTGGGGGTGTCTGCGCAGATGCGGCGAAGAATTGGACTCTCACACAGATTCTGGACGTTGACAAGGAGATCCAATCCATACTTCCGAGAGAGAAGCTCATTGTGCCGGATGACGTCCGACAGCCGGGATTGACGCTTGAGCAGTCGGTGTTACAACATGGCTGGCCGAAGCTCAAGCAGGCCAGAGGCAAGTTCATGTTCTACTTCGACAACGAGCCGGATGCGAACCCCAACATCCGCAACATCTATCGCTCGGGTGGACACGAGAGTCTCGAGAACCGGACCGTGTTCACAAATGGAGTGGAGGGAGAGGCGGATGCTGCGTTCATCAAGCACAACACACCCAATGTGACCGAGATCCAGAGACTGGTGAAGAAGGGCTACTTCATAAGGACGCGTGCCGACGAGCCCATCACCACGATCTTGACGAGGAATACCACTACGCGGGACTGGGCTTTCGAGAGCGCTGCGCAGATCGTCACCACCGACTTTCCAGCTTATGGGATGAGCGCGCGGTGGGATAGGGACTATGCCGTGCAGTTGGAGAAGGGAAAAGTGGCCCGTTGTAATCCTGTCACTGCGCCGAAGTGGTGCAAGGACAAGATGCTACAGTAGCCGTGAGAATACGAGTAGGATAATGTCGCCAATGTGAATACCATTTTGGAGCCAGTACCGCGCTGTCGATATGACGCAGAAGCGAGTATTGCCGCAGGTTATGCCTGCATGTGGTCTCGTGCCTGCGTGAACTTGGAGAGGGTCAAACTCTCGATATCGTCATTTATTAGCCTCATCTTCACGGTCACCGTCGCACAGGCAATCATCATGATTATCAATATCTGTCGAGGGCCGATGATCGGCAGATTTCGCATGCTGCAGCGCAAAAGATTTGCCGAGTATGACTGACCGTTCCTGACAAAGGATGGCCGAAAACGAAAAGTCTACCCTCACCCACCCACCCCGCGCGCACCGCCATTCGCCCATTCTTCACCACTCACCCCCTCCACACTCCCCCCCTCTAACAATCACACTATCTTGCCCGTGCGACTCACCACCACCACCTAAGTGGAGCACGTGAACAATTCCACTGTCTCTACCGCACATCACACCATGGAGTTCCCGCTCATACGCCGGGAACGCTCGGCCGTGGACGCTTCGAATTTCATAAGCGGCATTCTCGGCGACACAAGACCGCACGTGCCCGAGAGGAATCTGCCCGGGGGAGGGAATTGGGTGGTACAGAAGTTTGGGGGCACGAGTGTGGGCAAGTTCCCGGTGAAGATTGCGGAGGAGGTTGTGCAGTAAGTCGCTTGAATTTCTTTGGCATTGGACATGCATGGGGAAGGGGAGGGGAGTTTGGTGCTGAATACAACAGGGCAGGTCTGGATCCCAAGGGCGAAAGGCGCGTTGCGATTGTCTGCTCCGCGCGCAGCACTTCTACCAAGAGCGAGGGAACTACCAATCGATTGGTGCGTTGTGCGATTGATGTTCTGGACAAGAGCTCGGGGAGATTCCGTAATATTGTCGAGACGATTCGACTGGATCATCTCCAGGCGGGAAGAGATGCGTGCGGTGTATGGGGGAGCAGTAGCGAGATCCTCCAATCATACACCGAGCAGGTCAATGCGGAATGTCGCATGCTGCTCAAGATCTTGGAGAGTGCGCAGTTCCTGAAGGCGGTGACGGACCAGACGGAAGATATGATTATCTCCGTGGGAGAGAAGTTGAGCTGTCTGTACATGACTGCACTTCTCCAGAGCCGAGGTGTGAAAGCTGCATATTTGGACCTGAGCGATATCATCAATTTTGAAGTGGGAAAGACCTTGGACGAGAAGTTCTACCTGAAGGTGGGACTATCTATCGCAGACAAGATTCTTGCGTTGGGAGAGAATGTGGTGCCTGTCATCACTGGCTACTTCGGAAACGTTCCAGGCGGTCTCCTCAAGGAGATCGGAAGAGGCTACACCGACCTCTGCGCTGCTCTCACAGCAGTCGGCCTACGAGCCCGAGAACTGCAGATCTGGAAAGAGGTCGACGGCATCTTCACCGCAGATCCGCGCAAAGTGCCCACCGCACGGCTCTTGGACTCGGTCACTCCCAGCGAAGCCTCCGAATTGACCTTCTACGGCTCCGAGGTCATCCACCCCTTCACCATGGACCAAGTCATCAAAGCCTCCATCCCCATCCGCATCAAAAACGTCAAAAACCCACGCAACAAGGGAACCGTCGTCCTCCCCGACCTCGAAGAAGAACTCCGCGTCCGGAAACCCGGTTTCTTCCGCGCTCGCTCCTATTCTAGCCTCAGCCAGGATCTCCAACCAAAGCGTCCCACAGCCGTCACCACGAAACGCGGCATCACGGTGCTCAACGTGCATTCTAAACGTCGCACCCGAGCCCACGGCTTCCTCCGTTCCATCTTCGACATCTTCGACAACCACGGCCTCTCCATCGACCTCATCGCTTCTTCCGAGGTACACGTTTCCATGGCCCTGCACAGCGAAATCGCCCTGCTGTCCGGAAACGGCGAAGACGAGATGAAAATCGAATCCAACGCCCTACAGGGCGCTATTGACGATCTCAGCTTCTGGGGAGATGTAGATCTCGTTCCCGGCATGGCCATCATCTCCCTCGTAGGACGCCAGCTGCGCAGCATGGTGGGCATTTCCGGGCGATTCTTCAGCACGCTCGGCGAGCACGGGATCAACATCGAGATGATCTCCCAGGGAGCAAGCGAGATCAACATCGGGTGTGTGATTGAGGAGAAAGATGCCGACAGGGCTCTCAATGTGGTGCACACGAATCTCTTCACATTTTTGGAGTAAGAAAGTGAGACGAATTGTTTTGCCGCATAGCATAGCGTTTTGGGTGGTGGGCGAACTTCAACCAAAAGCTTGTGTCATTCTTGAAAGTGATGCATTTCGGCATGTCTATAGCTAGATACACGACTGAAAATACAGCTGAGCCAATGGCAGGCGAGAAGATGGATGGGTTGAAAGAAGAATTTTTAAAAATGTCAGTCATCATTCCAAGCTTCCCCTCTTGCCGACGTCAGGAATGCGAAGTCGAGCAAATTGTTAGCCACATGGGTTAGTGTAAAGGTCGAATGCGCCATTTGATAGACGCGACGAGATGAAAGCTCAGTCATGCGAACCGACATGCGACTCAGCGGTAGACCTGCCCGCGCGGACGATAAGCGGGTGGCCGCAGGTTGGATACACGACGCTTCATGCCTGTGCCGCCGTTTCTGAGCGAGTTCTCCGACGCCAGTGCGAGGTTCTGATCAAGAGTGACGCTAGATGGTGGTGGCGGAAGGAAGTCATCCAGTAGGACGCTCTGCGACTGTGACTGTGATTGCGTCTGCGTGACGGTGTCTGGAGGACGATGGTACGCTGGAGCGCGGACAGTCGACGGAGGGTCTTTACGCTTGGATGGAGGTGTGCGTGGGACTTCGATAGGGCTTGCGTGAAGTTCAGATGGCCTGAAGCCCCCAATCGTCCTGTCGAAGTCCGTGCTGGCTGGCCGAACCCGAACAGGAGGCTTCACAACAAAGTGATGAGAGACTTGTTCTTCAGGCGGTGGCTGCTCGTCAACAATGCCACTCGTATCGATGAGTTCGATGATGTCTTCGTCATACTTCTTTGGCTCCCAGTCTTGTATGGCTCGCTTGTAGGCCGCGTCGAAATCCGCGCTGTAGTAGGGATGCCGAAACCACTCCATCTCGAGGCATGCGGAAGCTGTCAGTCTGTTGCTCTCGTCTGGAGCAAGACATCCTCGGATGAAGTCCTTGGCTCTGTAGCCAACCTTGTCCCAGTGCCTGCCATAATCAAGCACGTCGAGATACTGCACAAGCTGTGTCATTTCGGTGGTCTTAAGATCGACGGCGTCGGGTAAGATTGTCTCGTTAGTGAGGCAAGTTGCGGTCACACAGCCAATCGCCCATATGTCGACTGCTTGGGTATACCCACTCCCTTGTTGCAAGTCTCGCTTCACGCGCGCGTACACTTCCCTGTGGATGGTGATTAGTGGAACGTCAGTGAAGTCAGGAGTGCCCGATGCTTACGGAGCTGTATAGCCGTGCGTTCCGATCATCGTCGACATGCGAAAAACGCCTGATCTTTTTGCGGCATTCTCCATGTCGGCGATCGTTCTTGACTGACCGAAGTCGGTGAGGACCACTCGGGCACCCACGCGCCAGGATGTCATGAGGATGTTCTCTGGTTTGATGTCGCGATGAACGACGTGGTTGTCATGCAAATACTTGACCGCCTCCAGTAGTTGTCTTATGATAACTGCAGCCTGTTCTTCGGGTAAAGGTCCAGTCTTGTCCAGATAGGAGAGCAAATCGCCCGCAGTGAAAAGCTCTTGAAAGATGTAGACATTGTGAGTTGTCCGGAAGACCTTTTCCAACATGATTATGTTAGGATGTGAAAGCTTCTTGAGCACGGTATACTCCCTGGCTATCTTCTCTCGCATCTTCTGCAACTCAGGATCCTCGCGGAAGCCAACAGGCTGCTCGTCAGCATCGATTGTCGGGACACGAAGAACTTTGCAAGCGAATTGCCGCCCAGTGTGCCGCTTCACAGCGACATACACAGCGGCGTACCCACCCATGCCCAGTACACGAGGTGTCATCTGGTAACGGTCTGAGAATCGTTGGACCTCAGCTTTCTGGACCGTATCGAGCGGTGGTGGTTTGTAGGTATCCTTTCCCATCCGAAATACCACGGAAACTTGGCGTGTCAGCTGTAGAGAGTCTCCCGAATTCAGAAGCATGTCGCCGCATTTCTTCGTAAGATCAAGCCATCCTCCTTCATCGTCAAGACCATGGCGTCTGAAGATGACGGCATGAGAGGACAGAACCCGAGCATACACCATTGGAGCTACTCGTCCTTCTCCATCATCGTCATACACAACGCAGCGGATGCGAAAGTGGTGGTTTGATACTGAACGGTCCTCCAGTTCCAGTGCTCTGGACACATCTTCACGGCCGACATCGAATTCATCATTGGCGTAGATGCCGATACAGCGTTCGATTGGCCTGTCGGAGTCAGGTTGAGCCAGTCTCCGAAAGACCAAATACGCGGCAGGCTGAGGCTCTTCGTTTTCAGCCATGTTGAATAGCGGATAAACGGGGTAAATGTTGATGTCGTGAAAGATGGATTTGGGGACGCGATGAAGTGAAGTCGAAGCTCGGAGAAGTCCCATCACTTTGTGGCTTGTATCCATCAGGTGACCTACTGACGTTCGAATGCCAAGCTGGCCCGAGCGCAGCTGCCCTCCCACTTCAATTTGAAGCTTTGGCAATAATCAACTTTCTCTTCCTCATCCAGCAACCTCATCAACGGCAAACAAGGTACGCATCCTTGCTTTCATCCGCATTTATCTGCAATTCACTGACGATACCACAGTCAAGCCAGCCAAGATGAGAGCTAAGTGGAGGAAGAAGCGAGTCCGACGCCTGAAGCGCAAGAGAAGAAAGACGAGAGCCCGCAGGTACGAAACAAACACACCTATGGGCCTTACGTATCCGCACTAACACAACCTCTCAGCAAATAAACGACTCGCTCTCACTTCGACGAACACACCCATCATACCACAAGTCAAACATCACCAGTCACGCGATCGCGCACACTCGGCGCTGAAGGAAGGATCGGAAACCTGACGGCGCCTTGGAGCACGGCGTACAAGCATTCACCAACTGCATGGTGGATGGGGTCAAGGCACGAATCGACGACATTGAAGAAAGCGGCGTTTATCATGAAGATGGCTACCAGTGCACTCTAACACCGGCGACCGGCAAACGGATTGTCTTTGAGGGATTGGAAGGCTCTTTTCGGCAGTAGCTAAGTTCGTACTCGACTGTACAAAGCTATGGACTGCTGCATCCTTGGTTTCATATCTGTTTGTCACCTGCTGCTGGGGTACCGGCTTGCCAATGGCATGAGTGGTGGGTTCCGTGACGAGAAAGACGACATGGTGGTATGGATCATGCTTCCGCATCCCTTAATGGATGCACTCATTGATTCAGTATCCACATTCACCAGCCTGATGAGCCTGACGCAATCGCTGCGCAAGTTTAAACTAATGGTGTCCCCGACTGTCCAGCTACATGCTACGGCTCATAGGCGAGACCGTCTTCCGATCCTCGGCGTGAGTGCTACGCCCTGTATGTATTGACAAGTACAGCTACGACGATCTCATTTGCTTAGCCAGGCGTGCCGGGTTCGAGCATCCCCCAGAGCTTGGAATGGTCCTTTCCTGCTCCCCAAGAAATGAAATAACTCCTGCCTTCGACCATCTCTTCTCCCACTTTCTCGCTTAGTCTACCGCTTCCGGTCTGCGTATCTACCTATCATTTCTTCTGCTTTCAAGGACTGAGTCAACACCGCAGATTGACTCATCAAGCACACCATGGTCGCCGTGGACGGGATCGAAACGCTTTCGAGGCGTGCGGCTGAGGATGCCAGCCAACCGGATGGCTTTTAACCTCCCATGAAAGCGCTCACCAATCCACGGTCGATGACGAACCGAGATGTCACGATTGTTTCGGCTCTTCGTACAATCCCCTATATGGATCCAAGATACCTGGGCGCGAGTTCTTGAAGATAAATCTTCCGTAAACTATTCCATCGACCAATCCCAGACTCGCCTGGTGAGAAGTTACACCCTAATAACTTCCTTTCTCAGATCCCACGGTATGCATTATCTCGGAGGGAGTAATGCTGGCCTTTTCATCTGGGTCGATCTTCGACGGTACTTTCTGAACGAGAATGATGATCCGAAACATTTGAGAGTTTCGTCTGCTTCATGTGAGTTGACAAGATATCGAGCCAAGGAAGATCTTTTGAGCAAGACGTGGCAGGAGCGAGGGATGATGGTAAAGAAGGGATCTGCGTTTTTGACGGAGGAAACGCATGGGTTGGTTTGGTGTTTAAGGAGGAGCAAGAGGCTTTGAAGGTCGGGTTGCAGAGATTTGTGTACGTTTTGGAGGAGTTGAAAGCGAGTGGACGGTTGTAGAGAGGCATATGATGCGACAGAATACATGAAGCATAGACATAGATATCCTCGTAGATGAAAACTCCTTGTTGATTGCACTTTGAGCCTTTTGGTGTAAAAGTTTGGCTCCGTGACAGTCCGTGACAGCTCACTGCGCGCACAATGTCAATTTGACACTTTCTTCTTTCTCGGAAGCTGGACTTACCTGTTGCTCGGGCATCCGGCTACTGACCTCGGCGCTCTTTCCCGACGGTGTCTGCGTGAAACGGTCACAGTACCCTGTGATGTTGCACTTTGCTTGCTCACTTCGAGCATTTTCCATGAATCCACCCAGTGTCCCACCCGTAATTCTGTTCAAGGAGTCGCCAATCGAGGCCTCTCGGATGCCTGCTTTGGTCCTCCTTCCTTGTCACTGCTCGCCCATTTGAGGATGTAGTAGCCTCCTAGTCCCCATAGAAACAGGAGACAAGCTGCAACTGTGGTGAACATGATGATGGGAAAGACGACGATCAGGGCCAGGCCGACTGCTCCGAGGGTGAAGAGGATTGCTGCAAGAAGGCCAACGACTAGGGCAACTACCAGGGCGAAGATGAAGACCGAGAGACTGAAGAGGATGAAGAGGCCCAAAGGTATTCCGGTCAGGGCGAGATTTATTCCCAGGAAAGCCTAGTGTGTTGGTCAATGGCAGCTCATACGGTCTTGAGTGCACGTAAACATACGGAAACCTTGGGATTCGCCAATATGAAGTCTTTTAGCTTGGACACAAAAGCAGTTCGTTTCTCTGGAGGAAAGACGGAATCGAGCATTCCTCGCGCCTTCTGAACAGTCCGACCTCCCCAGTAATCTATTGAACTGAGCGCACTATCCGTCGTGTCCTCCATTTTCTCCGGTCCGCCTGAAGGTGGAGAGTCCTTCCTCTTCCCTTGCACAGAAGCCGTCATGCCTTTTGTTCCATCCGCCATATTGAACGCTCGGCTCGGGGAGAGAGACGTCTCCCTTCGGATGACAGTTCGATTAGGGCGAGGAGAACCACGCAGTTCCAGGTTTCGCGGACTGCGTTCTCGTTGGCTATCTGCTGGAGAAGACGTGGTCGGGAGCAGCGAAGGCAGACGAGAGCGGGGGGAGAAGAAGGGAGAAGAAGGGAGAAGAACGTGGACTTGCGAAAGGGGGTTTCAGTTGATCGCGGGTCGAGAAGGATCGCTTCCAAGAAAGCTCGACGTCGACGGAAGCTTCTCCCGAATCCAGCTTTTCACATGCATGGCGTCGTCGCCCAACCAAAGTATCGCGTCGTGCAGTTGAGAGACAAGAGAGAGTCGGGTCCTTCGCGTGAGATAGAGTTCACGAAGCTTCGCGTCGCGAGCCAATCGAAACGCATTGACCCGATCGGGGTTCGCTTGCTGCCGAAGAAATTTGGTCGTGAAGCTTCACGTCCGATTCAATACAACGACCTTGATCTGACATCCCACTCGGCAACGAGGCGCAGAGACAATGGCGGAGAAAGAGAAGGAGAACAAGAAACGCAAGAGGGCATCAAATGGTGTGGAGACTCCAAGCAAGAAGGTGGCATTCGACGGAGCAAGCGGCGGAGATGGGAAGGTGGCTGTCTCACACGTCGAAGAGAAGTACTGCCCGGTCGTTCTATCAGCGAAGGGCGTGAACGCACCTCGAGTACCGTTCAGAGGATACGCGCAGGCGAAGGCTCTGAAGGACACAGACGGATCTGTCCAGCCAAAGACACACAATCTCCTGCTGCAGTCTTCACAGCACCCACGACTGGACTACACGGCCACACCGAGCACACTGGACCAGAACTTGTCGCATTATTTTGCGGTTTTCGACCCAGTGACGAAACGGTTGCAAGTCACACCGGCACACCACCTTGAACTGAAGACGACATTGCGATCGGAAACACTGGAAGTGGAGAAGGACAAGCTCACCAATGCTCAGCAGCGGGAGCAGCTAGGCAGAGAGTTCGGAACAAAGAAGGCGAAGAAAGCAATCGCTAGCAAGACGGAGAATGCAATCACTCAAGACACCAAGGGCAAGGGCAAAGTCACAGATGTACAGACCGCAGTTCTTGAGGCGGTGGAAGATGCAACAGCTGGTGCCGCTTCGAGGAACGTTGCAGAAGGGGCAGACGCTGCGTTCGCAGCGAAGCCTATACCCAAGCCAAACCTTCAAGCCGAGAGTGTAGAGGGAGTCTACCCGTACAGGACTCTAATTCCACCGGGTGATGATCGACTGGTCAACATCAAAGACTGGCAAGACATGGCTCGCGCTGACGAAGCGATCAACTTCAGCCATCGCTTCCCGGCATATCGAGTATCCCGGCTTGGGAAGTCGGACGAGACCATGAAGCTGAAAGCCCTTCGCTACCTCACGCTTCTTCTAGAATTCCACGACGCGCTCAGCAATGCCAGAAGCGGTAGGAAAGTACCGAAGAGCGACATCCTGAAGAGGAAACTGGCAGCCTGGCCATCGCAACTAGTGGACAACGTGCGTCGACGCTTCGCCAACGAGTCAGGTCAGGAACTCGGAAAGTGGCACATGGAGAACCTGTACACGCACATGTGTGCCTTGTCGCTCTATGTGGATGGATGGGTGACGGCCACGACGGATTTGAAGGAGGATCTGAAAATGGAGCAGAGAGAAATCTCGAAATACTTCTTGGAGTTGGGATGCAAGGTCAGCGCACCGACGGAGGCGGATAAGCATTCCAAGAACATCACCAAGGCTCAAGCGAGCGTGACGAAGATGGCGAAGTTGAAGCTGCCGCTGGAGTTTCCCAAGCCCAGGGCTGGTCGAAGGAGGTGATGACGCGGTTGGCTTAGTGAGTATCGTGAGGATGATATACGAAGGATGGATGTCATTCAGGCTGTCACAGCGGTTTCCTCCCCACTGTACAAGCGGCGACCATGAAAATCTTCCCGTCCTCAAAATGCTCCCTCGTCACTCTGACCAACTCCTGTCGCACGTCCTCGACATTGCCTTTCCAAGTACTCATCATCATAACAAAAGGTGGATTCCCCGAATGAATAAAAAACTCGGCAAAGTCCTCCGCACTCTCAAAGGTCAGATACAATTCCGTCTCCTCGCTCGTGATGTCCACGAATCCGGCCTCCCGATACGCCTCTTCCAGATCCTCGGTCGTCTTCAACGCCTTATCAAAAGCGGATTCATTTGGTTTGAAATGTGGATCGAGATTTCTGCAGGCTTGATTCCAGGGATCGGCGATGAGATTTTGGGACCAGATTGCGTTCCCTACCACTCCGCCCGGCTCGAGGATGGTCTGCATTTCTTTTATGGCGAAGGGGGCGTTGGGGATGAATTGCAACATGAACGAAGTCACGGCGTGGGTGAAGGATTCCGCGGAGAGATTCTGGGGGACGAGGGGTTTGGTGGAATCGAGGGGGATGATCTGGATGGGGAGATTTCGTTTGGAGAGTTGGTCTCTCATTCCGGGGGCGATGTCGCCGGCTGTGATTTCCATGCAGGGGCATTGGGAGTGCAGGAGGGCTGTGAGGGCTCCGCTGCCGCAGCCGGAGTCGAGGGTTTTGGAGTGTGGTGTGAAGGGACGGAGGGTGGTGAGGAGGGAGAGGAGGGCTGAGCCGCCTTGGCTTGTTACTTGGACGATGCGGCTGTTGTAGGTGGATGCTGTTGCGGACCAGGCGGAGGGTTTGAGGTCGGTAGACATTTTGGTCCTTCTGGAGGGTTGAAGAGGCAAGGTAATGGGAGATGAAATGGGAAATGAAATGAGACGATGGAGCTGTAGAGACAGGAGAGTCGTGCGGACCTTGGTATCATGTACGATGCAACCTTGAGCTCAGCATTCGTGCGTACCTTGGTATCAGCTGTGTTGGAGATGACTGAATTGGCGAGAGGTTGTATCCCTTGTCTTGTCTTGTCTTGTCTTGGGAGAACGCGGGAGATGTCGTGAGTTCGCGCGTCGGCCTCATCAACCTCGGCACCTGCAGGCATCGGCGGCTTCTGGGTGCTTTGGCTGTGGCAGCGGGTGAGGTGAGGTGCTCTCTCCAGAGCGTCATCGCGTGCCCTCCCACAACGCAACGCATCCACACTCGCTCTCTCTGACCATCTCCATTTCTCCTCCATATCCCATCTCGTCCTGTATCGAATCTACGGCTCTGCACAAGCTACACTGCACAAGCTCGAGCTATAACACAAGCTACCCTAGACGGATCGGAATCGCCAAGGCATCGAGTTTGTCGGCCTGATGCTGCGAATAGAATGATTGCCGCGACGAAACGTTGGTTCCGCCGCAACAGAAACTCGTTAGTCATTGGCGCGGGCGTGATAGGAGCCGGCTACCTCGCGGGTCACTATGTCCTGGGCAAGATCCAAGAGGCGCGACAGCGCATGAGCGAGGAGCGGGTCGCGAAGGAGAAGTACGGACATTGCTGTGTGGGCGTATGATAGCAATGGAGCCGCCGGACTGACAGGTGCCCACTAGCCTCCGCCGTCGATTCGAACAGAACCAGGAGGATTGCACCTACACCGTCCTCGCCCTCCTTCCCACCGTACGAGACGAGATCGTCGCCGCTCTTCCCGTAGAGCACATCACCGAGCAGTTGCAGCAAGAGAGGCAGGACCGACTGAAGCGATCAGGCGCCTCCGAAGCCGCTTCCACCGAGTATCCCTCCGCGCCGCCGAGCACCGTCGACGATGACGGCAAGAGCCTCGGGAGTCTACAGAGTAGTCTACAGAGTGGCAGCTACGTCCATGCCAGTCAGGTCGCGCACTCAAGCCTCAACCTCGGCGATACCGCCCCCAGACCGAAACGGAGCAAGGCGCAACTATGGCAGGAAATGAAGATACAGTCGATCGCACGTGCATTGACGTTGATCTACACCCTCTGTCTATTGACACTACTCACGCGCATCCAACTGAACCTGCTGGGCCGCCGCACTTACCTGTCGTCGGTCGTGGCATTGGCTTCTCCTCCCCCACCTACTCAGTCGTCTACGATCTCGTTGGAAAACAAGGATGACGACAACTACGACAATGTATACGGGAACGATTTTGAGACGAACCGCAAATATCTTACTTTCAGCTGGTGGTTGCTTCATAGGGGAAGCAAACGCATCATGGAACGAGTTATGGCTGCGGTCAAGGAAGTATTTGGAGGAGTGAATATTAGGGAAGACATTACGCTCGAGAGGCTTGCGGACTTGCTGATGCGGGTGCGGAGGAAGGTCGAGGGTGCCACGGAAGAAGAGCGTAGAAGTATGAAGTGGCTGCCATACCTGCTACCTTCGAAAGAGGATGAGGCCTATGTTATTCGACAATCTGGTATGTCAGAGAGCGACGAATCGCCTTCGTCGGAAGCACACGAGGTAGATCCGATGAGCAGGGCTGGCGAGGAGGGCGAGGTCGAAGATGAGCTTGTCAACGAGTCACTACGGCGGCTGCTAGACGAGACATCCGACCTCATTGATTCGCCGACCTTCTCGTACATACTAACTAGACTCCTGGACGCTGGCTTCTCCCATCTCGTCGACTTCCGCATTGCAACCGAAGCCTTCAAATCCCCAGGAGCCGGCGCTCCTGGCACCGAGCAAAGGATTGTAGAGATCCCAGACACGAAATGCAAGCTGGCACACATCCTGCCCGTCTTTTGCAAGCAAGCACACACCATTTCTATGGGCAGCGGCGAGCTCGATGCGATGGCTGGCGTGGCAGCACAGGAACCGCTTGGGAACGAATACTTGGCTGCCGTCGATCAGGTCAGCGACCTCGGCGCTTTTGCGGCCGTCATCTATTCGAGTAACTTCGAATATGAGGTACCGGAGATTGCCACCGCGGCTCTACCCCCACGACCTAACGAGACGTCAAGCTCCTCCATCAGCCCGGAATCTACTGCTCAACTGTTCGGCTCGCCGCCGAGGGGCGCTGGCGAAGATGTTCTGGGCGAGAGCGGAGTTCTCGTCCTCAGCGGCGGTCCGGAGAACCAAACGGAGCCCGAGGCGCAACTCGAGGTTGAAGGTAGTGGGACGGGGAATTTCGAGGCTGCCTGGCAGAAGGCCACGACTTCAGATGATGAGAAGGAGAAGCCTGCGGAAGAGGAAGTTTTGAGGCTTACATAACACGCGCACAAGCACTACGGCGTCTGTGCATGAATAGATACCCTCTTGTGGCTTGCATTCAATGATGAACCTATCGTCACGTGCCAATTTGGGTCATGATATTCTTCTTCAAGTCGAACACTCCATGTTGCCAGGTGAAAGTATTGATGGGAATAACGTTCAGCATCTTATTTTCAATTGAAGAGTTGGAATGAGCTTTCCCCCTCATGTCGCTAAATAACAACAGCTACCACCGGACCCAATCCCGATCAAAAACGCCCATCAGTTCATGCACAAGAGAGATTTTTTAAATATCATATCATATCATTCGTAGTCGCCGCTCCGAAGCAAGATCAGACCTTCTGTCCACCATTCTAACAAAAGGTCATCAATCGGATGTGCAGTCCAATCGTCAAGAGAGCTTTTTACAACACAGGCTTCGCATTGCTATTGGGCGCGCCCAGGGGCGCAAGAACGATATCCAATTCCAACTCCCGCACGGCCTTGCCTCCGGGACCGGCGTGCTCTTTCATGCTCGAGGGGAGGGATTCGAGGGGCTTGAAATCGACGACCAGGTCGTCTTTCACGGCGAAGACGGTGTCCGTCTCGAGCCAGGGGTCGTCTTTGGGGTCTGTGGGGAATCCCCAAGTCAGCATGGAAGAGGAGAAGAAGGGGGAGGAGGAGGAGGGACAGCGAGACTTACAGATCTGCGTGATACAGGGCTTATACGACTCGTGCGTCACCATCAGATGAATATGCGCCGGCCGCATGGGATGGCGGTCGATGCTCTGCAGCAATTGCCAACTCGGGCCATCCTGGGGGAGGGAGTAGGCCGTGGGACGCAGGCAGTAGAGACGGTATTCGCCATTCTTGTCCGTCTTGAATTTCCCGCGGAGGTTGTTGTCGGACTGGTTCGCGGGGTCTTGGAAATCGTATTTCCCGTTGGAGGAAGCTTGCCAGATGTCGAATGTGACGTTGGGGATGGGGTTTCTGGTCTGCAGGTCGCGGATGATGCCGTGCATGTAGGTTACGGTTCCCTCGTGGGGGTCTTGGATGATGGATTCGCCCAGGTTGCGCCAGGGGGCGTTGGGCGACCTAGAGATATTCTCTGTCAGAACGGGGGTTTCCTTTTCAACTCTTGGGTCTGTGTGGTTCCTTTCTCTCTTACCAGAACGGCCCGAGGATAGCAGCACTCGTAGGAACATAGTTCGGCTGGTCCACCTGGACGAAATTCGCAATCTCCGTCACCAGACTCTCCAAGCCAATGATGTCCGATAATCTATGCATCTCATTCCTCTTTCCGTCGGATTCCGCCCAGAGCTTGCCGGTCTCGTTGAGGAACTTGACGCCTGCCAGCCATTCTTCGGGCGTGAGGTCTACTTCGCGGGCAAAGTCGTGGATGTGGCGGACGAGGGAGCCGAAGACCTGCCTCATTCGGGGGGAGGTGTTGGGGCCGCAGGTGTCGATTACGTGGGGAGTGAAGGATTGGTCGTACTGGCGGCCTGAGGCCGATTGGCCGGAGGGTGGAAGTTGGGTGGACATGTTGGTGAGAGGGAGTTGGTAGTATGGTGATGTTTCTATTCTTCCTTGTCTTCTGAGGATCCGGTGGAGGGGGCACGACAGCAGGAGAAGGTGAGATTGGGGAAGAGAGAGAGAGAGAGAGAGAGCAAGGAAGAGGATACGAATGGACCTACCACCACGAGGCGGAGGATGACGGCGCATTATATCCCCATGCGCAACGATGCTCTCCATCCCGCACCGCAGCCGGCAGTTCACTCGGACGCCAAAGACACAGCGAGGACGGGCAACTTCTGCGGCTGTTCCACGCCAAGCGGCACTCACGATCCCCGGCGGAGGCCCCGTTCCGCGTAGCGAGAGTCCCGTCTGGCGGGGTACATGTAGCGTGTCGTCGGCGGGTGAAGGGTGGCTCAGGTTGGGTGCGCGGGTGTGCGGGCATTGTTTGCCTGACGAAGCCGGACACTGAGAGGCTTCGGAGAGGTCAGTCGGCACGCTTGGCAAGACGGAACGACCTTTACGCGCCCGGGAAAAGACTCTCCCGGTCACGTGCACCGCGAGTCGCGGAACTTCACCTCCTCCGCCCGACCTCTCATAGGCAAAACGAACGTTGGAGATTGTTGGTGGGCACTCTCCGTCTGGCATTCGTCTCTTCTGTACAAGGACTGCTACTGATCTGGACATGCGCTGAATGATAGCCATAACTGCACACTTTCCGCTCGACAAACGAACGACGACGCTGAAGATCAAGCAACAGCACGTCAAGAGACCTGTCTTCCTTTCGCAGCCAATCGAGCTCGGGCTCTTTCGTTTCGTGCTGCGTCCATCTCCTTGCCATTCGTCAAGCTGACTGTGCGCTGCTCTGCCGGAGCACTCATGGCATTCCACGTTTCTGACGGCTTCGTGTTCTCTAGACTGCCAGGCTGCCCAGGCCTCAGATTTGGCGATACATTCTCCTTGGTGTCTACTGGTCTTGACCAAGGTCGCAGTGTCGACTTGATCGGAACGGGCGCGCCGCTCAACACATTCGGGCGTTCCGTTGCTGCATCTGGCTCGAAGGCACTGGAGTCCTGTGCCGGGATGAGACTGTCCTCATGGCTGGGTTTGACGGGCTCATTTGTTTTCCCATGTGCTGTCTTTGCAGGAGGCTCCGGACAAGGTTTCGGGAGCTCAGGAGAGCGCATCGGTGAGTCTTGTCGCTTGTCTCGCTGAGGCGACGGAGGCTGCAGGCCCATCGACATCGCAACTCCCATTGTTCCTTCAGCTAGTGTGTTGCCGTTTCTCGATTTTAGCTCTCCAGCTTCGTTTCTGGTCGCCGCTGCTCTGCTTGGCGACGTTGAAATAGGCGGCTCCGCTTTGTTCGAATCCACAACCAACGACGAGAGGCCTTGAGCCCAAAAGTCATCTGCCATCTTCGGATGAGCATCCCGAGGCCGTGTCCTTCGTTTCTTGGTAGCGTCGCGATCTTTGGCAGGATCAAGTGCTCGAACATTGGCTTCTGACAATTGTGATGCTGCTGTCACAGCTGCTGCAGTTGCTGGGGCTTGTATCTGCTCGGAAGGCTGCTCAAGAGCTCCGTCACGCCATGATCGTCTCTCTGGTCGTGCTGGCTTCTCATCGGTCTCCCCCTTTGCTGTCACTTTTGCAGGTCGGTCTTTTTGAAGCTGCGACTGGAACTCCTTGAGCTGCGCTTCCAGCTCTGCCGTCCGCTTCTCCAGTCTCTCGACTGTCTCACGCTCCTGACGCAGTTGCTTCCTCAGCTCAACATTCTCCTCGTCTTTCTCTCGCGCGTAGTCCTTCGCCTGCTTCCGCTTCTCAACGAGCTTTCTAACCTCGCGAGTCGTGTTTTCTCGATAGATGTCGTATTCCTGCTTCCAATACTTTCCAGACTCAGAGTGTGGTTCCGCGAAATCTGTCGTAAAGTCTCCTTCATCGTTTGACTTGATAGGCTTGCCAGTCTTCGATTTCCGCTTTGCCGATTCCTCGCGAACTTGCTCCAGGGCCTCAGTAAGCTTACTTCGTCCTCTTGACTTCGCAACCGAATCCTCCGTATTGTCCTTCTCCGCCGTCGGCTTTGACCATGGACTTGGAAACTTCCCAGGGCAATCGTCGGGTAGTCCACTCTTCATTGGTCGTTTGTCCTCATTGTCTGCAACATTGTCTCCAAACGATACCGTTTTCCGTCGTGCAGCCGCAGTTCCCGGCGTCAACAGGATTCCCTTGGTAGGGGAAGGCAGTGGCTCCCGTTCCTGCGCGTTTTCAAGCTTTCCCATGGTCTGCGTATCATTTGAGCTCTTTGGCCTGTCTATCCGAGGTCGAGTAGTCGCCCGTGGCCGCGTCGTCTCATTGTTCGAATTTCGTCGCGGATGTCTCGGCTGCTGTACCGTCTGCGGTGTTCCGAAGATGGCATGCTTGAAGGCACGCACTGCGAACACAGGCGCAGGCGTCTCGGGTGGCTCTACATATTCCGTCGTGTCCGGGTCTGCGTCAAATGAGCAACGCAACTTTTGATTCGCGCGTGGTGCGCATGGTCTTACCACCGTTGTTGTCATGCCCTTTCTGGCCGGCAAGCCAATGTAGCATATTTGGAGTGCGGATTTCGAATGTATGGGTTAGCTCTGTAGCATGCTGATGGCAGCGATTGTTCCGAGAGGCAGCGCTGGTTGTGGTGAGGTTTGCGACAAAAGAAGATCGTCCGAGGTTGCAGCAAACAACCAAAGCACAAAAGTAAACATTGGCCTGAGGCGCGCGCGCGACACGTGGGGAAGATCCCTGGCGACCCGATTAGATAAGGAACCTTAAAGTCGGTGTGTGTGTGTGAGTGCTGCGCCTGGCATGTGAACGTCCTCATTCAAGACATTCCCGAACTTCATCCTCACTCCCGAATCTCCGTGGAAGATCAGAAGATGCAATAGGGCGTACAGCTTCGGCTGTACGAGATCATCCCCGTCGTTCGTCTCGAGACGACGCCATCACGACTCCTGCTGGACGCATATGTGTACAACATGGCCCCGAAATCGCCCTGGAAACAGACTACACTCAACATCAATGCCCAGAAAGCTGCCGCCGCCGTCAGTGATGCAGCCTCACCAGCTATCAACTATGCAGAAGTCCAGGCCGAGGAGATCGAAGCTCTGCAGGCCATTTTCATGGAAGACTACGAGGAAATAGCAGTCAAAAGTGCCTGGAGCAAGACAACTGATCGAAGCTTCACATTGAAATTACGGCCCTACTCCCTGGACTTGGCGAAGCCTGAAGATTTCGTGGTTTTGAGTGGAAAGATCACGGCCACCTACCCAAAATCCGTCCCTCTGCTGGAGATTCAGGGCTTGGAAAGCTTCCATGAACGCACGCAGAAGCGCATTCGCAACATCATCGAATTACGGCCCAAACAGCTGCTTGGTGATGTGATGATCCATACCATCGCGATGGAGGTTCAGGATGCTCTCGAGGATGCAGTAACAGCACGAGCTCAGGGAGCCCTGCCAAGCCTCGAAGAGGAGCGTGCTACAGCAGAGACATTTGCTCTCAATCTGGCAAGGGAAGCTGAGGAGGCAGAGGCGCGCCGTCTGCAGCAGGTTCAGGAAGAGGAAGAGCGAGTTCTCGAGCAAATGGTGAATTAGTCCAGCAATTCTGGCAGACTTCAAGCTCATCTTTCGCAGGTTCACCAGGAGATAAATCGACGAGACAAGCGGAGGTCTCTCAAACCCGACGCGGACATGCTCAGTCTGAACCACGACATGGACGTGTCAGAAACCATAATCTTTGATCAATCGGCAAAGGTGAAGGTACAAAGCGAAACGATATCCTTCCGCGAGGTGACTATAACGAGCTCACTTTCAACCGGTCCGACTCGCACCTACCTTGGTAAACCCAAGACTCTGGAACCCAACGTGCCGTTAGTCGCTATCGTACGGCGCAAGGTGGAGAAAGATCGTAAGGACATAATCGAACTGGAAGCAGTACTTGATGCGGTGCATCGTCTACACCACACGTCGCTCGTCAACATCCTCACTTATCGTGTTGAGCGTATAAACAACTGGAACTCGACACTCACGATATGTCGCGAATATGCAGGTGAGTCAGACGAGACTCTCCAGAGCCTGTGGACAAGACTAGCTACCAACCTGCTCCCCGCTGGCGCTGGATCAGATGTTGTCGCGCAGACACTGACGAGATGATAGACCGAGGCTCTTTGCACGACCTCCTCTCCTTGAGCGACCTTCACGTCAGTAAATGTCGACAGTTTACAACCCAGCTGCTGGAAGGGCTGGAGTATCTACACCAGAACGGAATGCCGCACGGAGGCGTGAGCACAAAATCAATATACCTATCTAGTACCCCAACGCTTTGTCCCAAGCTGGCAGACTTTGGTTATGCGTCCATTATCGGAATCAAAGATGATGCTTTTCATGTAAAATGGAGGGCACCGGAGATGGATACATCACTTTCTGGGCGTCGACAGGCCGACATCTGGCACCTTGGCGTTGTATTCCTACAGATGGCCCTTGGATTGTCGGTGACTAGCCAGTACTCTTCACCTTCCGCTCTGATAAGCAGACTTCGCCTCTCGGATGCTTTTGAGGATTTGGTGAGCAAATTCTTTGCAGACACCAAGAAGCGTCCCTCCTGCTTCGATCTGCTCCCAACAGAGTTTCTCCGAACAGACAGCCCGGTCTTGAGTGAAGACGCGTCCATAAAAAGACACCACGCGAGAAAGTCTAGTTCTGGCATTGCGAGCCCACTTCATCGGCGTTCCCGCCACAATTCATCGAGTATACATGACGCGTTGTCCTTTTCGCGGTATGTAAAGGACTTCACCGAGCTAGGGCGGCTAGGCAAGGGTGGATTCGGCGAGGTTGTTCAGGCTCGCAACAAGCTTGACGGCGGTGTTTACGCCGTCAAGAAGATCAGACAAGCACCGCAACTACTAGACAAGGTACTTTCGGAGGTAATGTTGCTGAACAAACTCAATCATCCATACGTGGTGAGATATTTCAGCACTTGGGTGGAGGAAGACTACTCGACCTCAATTCAAGAAGAAGCTGTTTCAACAACCGAGGAAGAAACGGTATCGGATAGCGAGAGTCGCATGGATTTCGGGTACCAGAGCACTGGAGGGTTGGACTTCGTTAGCTCCAGTGGCTATGCTGGAATCGAGTTCGGTGATGAGGACAGCGAAGAAGACACAGGTCCTGAGCCGGAAGAGGATGACTTTGATCCATTTGATAGAGGGACTGATGGTACTGCTGACAGGCCCGCTCATGGCGCGGTTGCCAACGAGTCCATGGGGACCTCCCAGGCTAATAGCCTGGGACTCAAGAGAACTCAATCCGACTCGCGTCGGTCGACTCTCTACATCCAGATGGAATTGTGCGACAGACGCTCTCTCCGCGACCTGATCCGTAAAGGAATGGACGAAGATGAGGCTTGGCGATATATGCGTCAGATTACAGAAGGCCTTGCCCATATTCACGGCCATGGGATCATACATCGGGATCTCAAGGTAAGTAAAACCCAGTGAACAAGTCGGCATGCTCTCTTGGCGCACTACCAAAGCCATGTCAATCAACAGCTAACTCAGACAGCCCGAAAACATCTTCATCGATGCGACACTGAATCCAAAGATAGGTGATTTCGGCTTGGCCACTACAGGAAGATACACGGACTTGCAAGCGGGATCACAGTCGAAGGGATCTCCAAACGACACCATGACCAGAAGCGTTGGCACTGCTCTGTACACTGCGCCGGAGCTTCTGTCCACGTCGCGATCGGCCTACAATGAGAAGGTGGACATATACTCTCTTGGCATCATGTTCTTCGAGATGTGTCACACGTTCCGTACTGGCATGGAGCGTGTCAACGAGCTACAGGCACTAAGGCGCAGAGATCATGAGCTACCGTCGGCATTCCAGGCTCAAGCCAATGGCGAAAAGGCAGCGCAGGGCAAGCTCATCAACCTACTCATATCTCATAAACCAAGTGAGCGTCCAACTGCCTCAGAGCTGCTACGCAGCGACATGTTACCTCTCAGGATCGAAGACGGCGCAATTCGACAGGCCTTGAGTGGATTGTCCGATCCCAAATCCCCGTATCATCAGCAACTCATGTCTGCATTATTCGCACACGATACTGCAAGTGCACAGCGTATAAAAGCGCGCGCGTGGGAAGCCAAGGCACATGGAAATGCGGAAGACGTCGCTCGCACCCGTCTACGAGGAATTGCTCACGAGTCCCTTCAAACAGTGTTCAGGAGACATGGCGCCGAGGAAGCCAGGCGGGACAGCATATTTCCTCGTTCCGGCATCTACACCAACCCCAACGTGGTGCAGCTTTTGGACGCTTCTGGAAATCTTCTTCAGCTTCCGTATGATCTGACGCTTCCGCATGCACAGCAACTCGCCCGGCAAGGATCGAACCTACGGTGCTCTTTCGCTTTTGGGTGGGCTTATAGGGACACCTTCAATGGTGGCCCGCCAAGAGCAAACGAAGAAGCTGACTTCGACATTGTCAACGTTGGGCGTGATGACGACTTGGCTTTGGACGATGCAGAAGCTATCAAAGTCATGGATGAGATTACTTCAGAGCTGCCTGGATTTGCAACCTTGCAAGGCATCTGCTATCAGGTGAATCATTCTTCGCTTCTCGACGCCATACTGGATTTCTGCCGGGTGCCTGCGAAGCAGCAGCATGCTGTCAAGGAGACACTGAGCAAGCTTGGAGTTCATCAGTGGACTTGGGCGAAATTACGACCCGAGTTACGAGATCTCGGTCTCTCGGACACAACTTTGGATGATCTATACCAATTCAACTGGCGTGATAGCGTGTTCGACAAAGGCGTCGGCCGTCTACGAGACCTATTTGTTGGACTTGAGTACCCCCTAAAGGCCAGAGTCGATGATGCTCTTCACCATCTCGCGCGCGTCTTCGCGACCGTCCAAAATTTTGGCATGCAAAGACAACTCTACATAACACCACTCAGCTGTGTCAATGCCAAGCTCTACAACGGCATACTGATACAGTGTCTTCTGGAGAAGAAGAAGAGCTCCGTTGTCCTTACTGCAGGAGGGCGCTACGATGCCTTGATTGAATCCTTCCGGAACGCAGACAGCCCAAGGCAAGGAGCTGTGGGTCTCTGCATCGGCATTGATGGCATAGTAGGCCACATGTCGAAGACGCTTACACTGCGAGCCAAGAGTACATTCCTGAAAGATTCTGGAGCGTCTCATAACAATCAACACCTACCGGGGCGCTGTGAAGTTCTTGTGGTAGCCAGCGGTACAGAGCGCCTGCGAGATGCCGGTATCAAATTGATCTCTTCACTCTGGGCCAACGACATCAGCGCCGAGCTGGCGAGAGAATATGCCACATTTCCCGAGCAAAACTACAGCTTCATCGTGGGAATGCGGCATGAGACCTCGACGACAGTGAGAGTAACGAATCAGCTGAGCGACACCGACGAAGACATCCCGCTGCCTCAACTAGCAAGCCATCTCCTCCAAGAACTCCGCGACCGAGCCACCAGAACAGCCCGCCAGTCCCCTCCATTACTCCGCAACCATTCCAGTCACCAGGAACACGACCGCCGCACCGACAACGTCCAAGTCCTCATGGCCCGCCACGGCAGCAAGAAATCGAACAAGTTCGGCATCGTCCAGGCAGCCCAACAACGCTGGTCAGAAAAGCTGGATCAGATCAAAAACGCCCCGATCCTCGCCATCGAAACTCGTGACGAAGTCTTGAATATGATTCAGAATACACGATTGAGTGATGGGGAGAGTTGGCGGAAAGCGATACAGGGCGTGCAGCTGAATGAGAGGCAGTATCTGAAAGAGGTGCAGGATAAATTGGAGAGCTGGAGGGCGGAATGGAAGGATGGGGAGGCGGGAAGGGAAGTCTGCGTTTACAATTTCCGGACGGGCACGTGTGTGTATTACGATTTGGGCATTTGATGAAGATGGGAGAAGGGATGCTCTGGAGGTAGTGGGAGAGTGATTGTGACCGCAGCAGGGACATCTTCTGTTTTGAGGAGACTCGAAGGAGGGCTCTGCACCTGATACCGACGACGGATAAATGAACGCAACGAAACCATTCCAAAGCCGTGCAAGGGAATCCAATTTCTGTCGTCTGGTATCATCACACATTCATCACAGAGGTCATGGAAGTCGACGGCTCCAAGGAAGAAAACCCGCTCGCCGTCCCCGAATCCAACCAACTACCCGATTCAAAATCCACACTCCCCAGCCACTGCAGAAAGTCCGCATCACTGCTGACATCCGCGCCGAAAAACAAAGAGTTCTGCTGCTCGACCCTCTCCTCATCCTGCCGTGGTGGCCTCGAAGAGAGCACACGATCCAAGACTTTCCGAATGGGATTCAGACCCATAACACAGAGCGTATAATTCCCCTCCCCGGGGCGAACACTCTCCAGAGCAGGAACGAGCACACTCAGTTGCTGGAGAACTTCTGAGCGCGGGAAATCGAGACTCGGCTGCGGTTGGATTAATTCCATGGCCAAGACGCCTGCGGCGGGAATGGCGTAGAATGCGAGCATGTCTGTGAAATCGACGCGGATGTTGCAGAGGAATTCTCGTTGCTCGTAGGCGGTTAGGATGAGTTTGAGGAGCTTGAGAGCGATGGAAAGGAGCCGGGTGGGATCTGCTTTGCGGCGGTTGACGAGGACTTTTTCGAGGAGGAAGTCGGCGTGCAAGCGCTGGCGCTGGATGGCGAGAAAGCAGTGGACGTCCACTGGCCTCCATGTGACACCGCCTCGTCCTGGAATTTGGTACGAGAGATCGCTGCGGACATTCGTGAGGAGCTCCAGCGGATCGAGTTGCACGAAAGCTGGCATTGCTTTTAGGGCTTCTTCTTCACACCTGCGAACATCACTGATGGTCTTAGCCTTTATGGTGAAAGGTGTCGGTTACGACTTACCGTACGCGAGCCTCGACATCTTGTATGTGTGGAGAGACGAGGATTTCGACAATGTCCTCTCTCAGAGCAAACCTCTTGGAAGAGGCTTTCATCCATGTGATTCGATGGGGATGGCCAGTAGTCGTCCAGCCGCCTTGCAAGCGTGCAAGAGCAGAAGCCAAGGTATTTTCATCACCGCAGACTTCCTCGTCGCTGAGATCTTGAGGCTCTTGAAGCACGCAAAAGCGGTAAGACATATGGGGAGGTCGTCCTAGGTAGGTAGACAAGAACTTGTCGTTTGAGTACACCACACTGAGGAATCTCACCCGAAGCTCACAGAGCCAAAACGGCGTCCTTGCATCCATGCGCTTCTCGAGATGCAGACCCATTAAAACGACAGTATCGCAGACTTCTCCGAAACTCGTCCAGACTTCATTGTGCATGTCGCCGTTGATCAAAGACTCCGTCATGGCCGCGTCGAACAGCAAGTGAACGCTCAGCTCGTTCCTAGTGCCGCATTTCCTGCTCAGGTCGACGACGATCTTGATGAGATTCGATAACTTCTTCAGAAGCTCCATCTTTCCATAGGTGCTGGTTGTGCCGGACCTGAAGATGGTGTCCCATGGAGCCAGACACGTAGCCATCCGGGCGATGGACGACAGCAGTAGACCGAGTGTTTCCCAACGAAGGTTTTCACCAGTCGACTGTCTGGCCCATTCCAGTGCGGACATGTTTCCATGACACTGCAGAGGACGTTGAGTATTTCGCCAAATGGTGAGAGAGCGACGTTCGAGCCTTTCGGGCATCTTGTCTTGTTTCACTCCGTCCATGAACGACTTAACGCCCTCACACCATGTGCGATAGATTGGCTCGTAGATAACAAATCCACCAAAGTTCATGTCCAGCCAGCGATCAAGGAGCTTCCCGAATTCTTCCGTACTCTCAAAGAAGCGAAGTACTTCAGCGCCGTTTCTTGCGTTGGACTCGGACACGAAAGAAGTTTTAGGTGCAGTCGTATCTTCTTCAGACCGAACCCGTATCCCAAGAGTGTTGTTTAATTCGTTGACAAAGGCACTAGAGCTTGTGTCGCCGAAGAAACCTGGCTTTACGGATAATGACGATGATTCCATAAGGATCCCAGCGGATGAGGAGTACCGCTCTCCCATTACGCCCCTCAGACGTTGGTCGAGGAAGTACGGTGGCTCTGGCCGTAGTACGGGGCTTTGGACGACCGGATGGTCTCGCACATGTCTGCTCGCATGTTGGAAGGCAGCTGAAGGCGGATTGATGCCGGAGGAGGATGGCTTCAGCATCGTTTTCTCCGCTGTTTTGGTCATTGGAGCTGGATGATAGTGGCAGGCAGTGGCATGGCCTCTCCGAGTGCATCTTCCACACGCCGGTGTTCGATGGTCACAGGACAACTTCCTGCGGCGACATGGCTCGCAGCTTTGAAGCATGCCATTACGACGTTTGCCAGGAATCGTTCTAGTTGGAGCTTCTGGTGTCATTGACCAAGAAGAAGTGGAAATGGAGAGAAGAGAGGGAAGTTGGAGCCATGTAGGTCTTCAGCCTTCACCCTCGGCGCTCGGCGATCGGAGCTCGGAGCTCGGGGCGGTGGCCTGAGCTTACAAATCCGCAAAATGGTTTTGCCGGTTTTGCCACCGCACCACCACACTCTCACACT